CACTGAAATCACCAATGTCAGTGAGACCTCTTGGCTTGATGACAGGGCTCAGCACCAGCCCTGCAGTGACGTGGGGCAGCCCCACATGTGGCTGCTGTCTCACAGCCCTGCCACACAAGCACCGGGCCCCACATCTGGCTGGGCATGGGGTGCAGCCAGAAGAATTGATGCTGGGAGGGCCTGCACGTCCTGGCACAGTGCTGCTCGGGGCAAGAGCCATATAGCAGTGTGAGGCCAGGACAAACGTCACCCAGTGCAGGACCCCAACCCTGACAGCAGCGGCTGGAGGTGCCTGGTGACAGGGGCAACAGCACTTCCAACACCCAACCTAGGATAGCTGTCGGGCTGTCAGTGTGAACTCCCTGTGGCACATCACAAGCCATTTCCCCGTTTCTGTACTATCCCTCTCCCGAACGTGCTCTGAGTCCATGTGCCAGGGAGGTCCGGCTAACAGGGCTCTCATTGTCCAGATCACTTTTTCCATTTTCTGAAATGCAAGCAGTGCGTTTGCTCTTCTCCTGCCATGTGACACTGCCCGACTTCCCCGCTCCGCTGGCAGGCTTTGCTCCGTCCTGCCTGCTGCTCCTGGACAGGGAGCTGCGGCACAGCTTTGCAGATCGGCAGACTGGGCTGATCCGTGCGCAGCATCTCCCAGTTTCAGGCTGGGGGTCCTTCCCGCCAGTTGACACAGCCTTACGGGACTGCCACAGGACACGAGCACTGGTGCTCTCTGAGGACCAGGAATCTGCAGGAACCACACGCATCCCCCGGAGACAGCTATGGGCAGAGGTGCAGACCGCCTGGGCATGGCCAGCCAGTACACGTCGGAGGGGCAGGGGGCCGCGAATCACCTGGGACAGGGTGTCCAAGCATGTCCCTTGGCTGCTGCTGCTGCACGTCTTAGACAGGAACCGGGCACAGCCCTGCCCGGCCTCGCCTGCCCCAGCACCCCGGCTGTCCCGCTGCCAGCTGCCTGTCCAGCCAGGGACACTCTCCCCTTGGACTGGGGCTCCTGCCAGAGCCATCGGCCGGCCCGTGCCGTGCCATGCTGAACGTGCCTGTCCCGGTGCGTGAGTCAGCTCAGGCGCACGGCAGCGCTTGCGCCGCAAGTGGAAAGGGCTTGGGAGGACGGGCTGGCCCTGAGCGAACACCGGGCGTGGGAGTCGGAGAGCAGCCCAGGTCCTCGCCGCTGCCCAGGAAACCTCAGGAATGTCCTGGCCGGGTGTGTGCAGGGCCCCGAGCTACCTCCCAGCCCACGGTGCCGCTGGCCGGCACGGGTGCAGGGACCCTTTGATGCAGAGAGCAGCCCTGCACAGCAGCAGGAGCCACAGCACTGCTTGACCTGCTCCCACGCCAGCCCCACTGGCTCTTGCCTGTCTTAGTGGATGACGGGGACTCTTGTGCCCCCTCAGGACAGAGCCACCCTGGCAGGGCCTGCAGCTCTCCTGGCCAGGGGCTGCCTCCACCGCTGCTCTGCTCCCCCGGCTGCGCCTTGCGCGGGGGCTGCCCCTCCCAGGGAAGCTCAGCTGTGCCAGAGGGGGTGAGTGGTGCCGATGAGGGGTGCCTGGAGCCTGGGGGGGATGCTGGCTCCCAAGGACTGTTCAAATCTGACGTGCCATTTGGCACTCACCGGACACTCGGAGGGACATTGGTCTGCTCCAGCAAAACCCCAGTGAACAGCAAACAGACCTCAGGAAGGGGCAGCTCCTGATGAACCGGAGCCCCTGGCAGGTCAGCGTGTTTGATCAGCATGCACAGGGCATCCTTGCAGCTCAGGGACGACATCCCAGGCTGCAGCACCAAGGAAGGGCCAGGCCATGGTGGGCCCTGCAGGAACTTGCTCTCTTAGCAGTGGCCTTAAGACACATGCACAGGGACATGGAGCAACCCAGGCACTGACAACTGGAAAGACTCAAAGAGCAGCACAAGCGACGGAAGACCTGGGAAACCTGCCAGCACGAGAAGGAAGAAGCTCCCTCTGTTTATCCTTGGGAAGGTTAAGGGGTGACACAGTCACACTCTGCCGAAGCCCATGCCAGGACATCCCTGAGACCGTGGGGTTGTGTCCCCAGCACTCAGGGCAGGAGAAGGTCTGGTGGGTCCCATGGCTTCAGGCACTGGGCTCCATCCCCCCGCTTCTCCCCAGGGCCCCAGCACACACAGCCCAGCATTGGTCCTTTCGCAATTCCAGCTGCCTGGACTGGCCTGCTTCATTCTTGCTGCTTCCCAGCAGCCTTGGGGTGCTGGGAGTGTGTGTGCATGAGCTGGGGGAGCCCCAACACCCCCACCTCTCTCGGGATGGGACCGGCTGGTTCTCTGTCTGCAGGGACCCCGTGGGATCGGAGCCCCAGGGTGAGTACAGCCAAGGTCTGGAAGGCAGCAGGGCTCTGCAGCTGAACTGGTCTCAGAGGCACCAAGGAGCAGCCCAGGGCCACTATAGAAGCCTGGCTACCCTGGCACAGTTGGTGACACTGCGCAACACCACCCACCTCCCGCTGGTGGGGACCCCACTGTCCCTCCCTGCCCAGAAGGCAGGGTGCCTGTCCATACCACCCCCCTGCATGCCGCCATCCCGAGCAGTGACAGGGACACTGCTGTGGACAGCGCACCCCAGCTCCCAGGGCTCTCTGGGGTGTCAGCTGGCACAGAGCACTGAGGGCACGCGGGGGCTGCACTTCCCTTCCCCTGCTGACTCTGGGTCCAGACCCAGTGGGCTGCCTGATGTCTCCCTGTCCTGCTGTCCCCTTCTACACCAGGGCAGGTCACAGCACAGCTCTTTGCAGTTCCTAACACCACCCAGTTTCCCCAGGACACAGCAGGGCCCTCGGCTCTGCTAGGGACTTTGCTCTGCTCTGGGCTCCCCGGGGCTCTGGAGGGGCAGCCCTGGGAGGAACCAGCTGCAGCCAGGAGGGAAAGACCCTGGAGGAATGTGCAGACGCTGCAGCCATCAGCCACATGGTCTCAACATCCCAGACAGGCTGAGGGGCAGGAGGTGGGTCTGGGGGGCCCAGGCACTGCAGAGCAGAGAAGCAGCCTGCTTGGAGCTACTGGGAGATAGGTGACCCGCTCAGCTGCCTCCTGCTCCTCTGGAGAGCAGCTGGGAAGATGCAGGACCAGCAGCAAAGAGAGAATGCCCTCCCAACCCTCACACCTCACCTCCCTTCATCCATCCTCCCTCCCAAGAGCTGCAGCAAATTCTGCCTTCATGGAAATCCTGAGTCGCCACTGGCCTTTGTAAACCGCAGCTCAGCAAACAAGCCTCCCGAAGCCTGCACACAGCCCGCTCGGGGATGCGGTGCAGCTGCACGGCCCCGATGCGGCACCCCACAAACCTGCTGGCTCTGCTTGGCGCCCCTTCCCACCGACCACGCGGGAAAGGCGCGCTGTGCTGCCCACGCCCACCCACGCTCCCCACGGGGCCGGGCGGCACAGCCAAGGGCATCGCGCACAGCGCACAAGGCCCGCTTTCTGCGGCGGACGCCCGCGGAAGGGCAAATCCCGCGCCGCCAGCACCCCACGGACACAGCAGGGAAACGCTCTGACAACCGCGGGGCGGCGAAGCCGGCACCCCCGCACGCTCACACGGCCCCACGCAGCCCCCCCGCCCGCGGCACCCTCAGCCTCCCGACAGCCGCGCCCCCCGCCCGCGGCCTGCCGGGCTGCCGGGACGGTGCCGCACCGGTCCGAGCCGCACTCCCCTCCGGCGCCGGGCCGGTCCCGCTCGGCAGCCCCGGCCGGTACCTCCCGTCCCCGCGGGCTGCGCGGCTCCAGCTGTGGCAACCGAGAGGGTCCAGCCGAGTGCCGGCGAGCCGAGCCGCGCCGAGCCGAGCCGAGCCGAGCCGAGCTGAGCCGTGCCGTGCCGAGCTGTGTTAAGCCGTGCCGAGCCGAGCCGAGCCGTGTTAAGCCGTGCCGAGCCGTGCCGAGCTGAGCCGTGCCGAGCTGAGCCGTGCCGAGCTGAGCCGTGCCGCCCCTCTCCGCCCCGGCCCGCCCCGCGCCGTGCCCAAGTGTCCGGGGCCGTCCCGTGCCGCCCCACCGTCCGGTTCGGCGAAGACGGGCCCCGCGCCCCCGGCCCACCGCCCCGCCATGGGGCCGGCCCCACCGCGACCCCCGCCCCGCCTGGGCTCCGCTCCAGCGCCGGCGCCGGCCGCCCGGGACGGAGCCTCGGGGGCTGCCCCGCCGCTCCGGGGGCCGGGAAGGGGCGGGGGGGGGGGGGGGGCTGCACGCTGCTGGGGTCCAGCCCCCGGCCTTCCTCCGGACAGCCTGGTCCTCCCCGCCCGCCCGTGGAGGGTCCCCGAGCCTTGCTCCCGCCCGCGTGGCCGTGGGCACTGTGTCCCACCAGCCTGGGTGACCCGCGTCAGCCCCGGGTACGGGGACAGGGGTGCTGGCACCCTTCGGAGCTGCCCTCCGGGCACGGCCAGCCAGAGCACCGAGGCACAGGGGAGGGCAGGGCGGACTGAGCCCCCCCCCCTCCCACCTCCTCCTCCCTCCGGGGGCCGGGGGCGGCCAGCTCTGGGGGGTGCAGAAGAGAAACCTTCAGCTCCTTTCACCCCTCCCTCTCAGGACATTCCTAAAGGCTGCAGCAGGATGGCTGGACAGATGTCCACCCCTTAGACATCCTGCCCATCCTGGACGCGCAGCAGCCCCCAGACCCACAAAGCAGCCATGACCACAGGGCAGGCCCAGGCCTGGGGGTCCTATCCCACAGGAGAGCCCCATCCCACAGGGTTGGGATGTGCCCAACCCCACGGGGAGCCCTGCCGTGAGCCCGCATTGCCAGTGCCAGTAGCTCCTTCCTGGAGCATGGGGCGGGGGGAGACCAAGGTCTGGCGAGCAGCTGCAGGGGCAGATGTGCGGGGAGCTGCTCTGCGTGCAGTCACACAGGATCAGCTATAGCCACAGCCGGGGGGAGGTGGATGGACAGGGCTGTCTGAAAGTTGGCATGAGGGTGTGAGAGGGACATGTTGGTACCCCAACACTTTCCTCCAAGACATGAGCCATGGTGAGAGCCCAGCAAATGCTTTATTGCCAAGGACAGCACTTCTCTCAGCCCCTGGGCAGCAGAGGTGGAGGCTGCCCCACTGTGTCCCATACCGGATCGGTCTATACAGTCAAGCAGGTCCTTGGTGCCAAGAGCCAGTCCTGGCACCAGCTGCCCAGCCCAGGGCCACACAGGATGGAGAGAGCTGGACAGCCCTGTAGGACAGGGACACTTCCTTAACCCTAATGCACTGTGCCATGCTCCGAGATCACCGCTCTAAATACTGCCCAGGTGGCTCCCGCCAGGCCTGGTGATCTGCAGACAGCCGGGGGATGTTGCTGGCTCCCCAGCAAAGGTGGAGGGTACTCAGCAAGCAGGAACAGTTGGGGAAGGAGTGGAGGGGCCCTGATGCCCAAATCTCCTGATATGGCAGAAATACCTCTCTGTCGCCCAAGGACTCTCACAGCCTAGTCCCCTGCACACATCCCAGTGACAGCCTGCTCACCTCCAGGTCTCCCATCACCTGTACCTTCCCTGCTCAAGGTGTCCCTCTGCTCCTGCTCCCTCAGGCCGATGCTGGGCGGGATGGGGGGGTTAGCCTGTCCTGTGGCACTGCCTCCCCGTGCCCACACCCAACACAGCGTGCTCAGAGGAGACGTCCCAGGAGTTGAGCGCCAGGAGAGCTGCCCCAGGCCACTGGCAGGGCGACAAAGCCCAGCTTGCTGTAGAAGTTCAGCTGCTGCTGGTCAGCAGCACCGACCTGGCAAAACACTCCCCGTGACCCTGCAAGGAATGGGAGAAGTCAGGCCCCTGGCACCAGGAACCCAGCAGTGGGGCTGAGACCCCCTCCACAAGGGTGTCAGCCTCTCCACTGTCCTTTGGCACCGGGTGCCTGCATGATTCCCAGAGGCACAGGTTCATGTGTTCCCTGGTGCCAGGGGAGGGCACAGTGTCTGGGAGCTGGGGCCAGACTGCATCAGAGAGGAGATGGGGAGCCCCACTGAGGGGTACTCCAGCCCTGTGCTGAGAGGTGGGGTGCAGGTGGGGCCGGCTCCCAGCTCTGGGGTGGGCAGTTGGGACAGAGCTGTGCCAGATCAAGGGGGCCTCAGTCCCCCCCAGCACAGGGAGGTCGTGCTCACCGTTGGCCCTGAGTGCACTCAGCAGGCAGATAGCCAGGCTGCGGCTGGCCCCCACATCCAGCACGCGGGGGACCGTGCCCAGCTGCACCAGGGAGGGGAAGTGCTGCAGCACAGGCAGGGGCACAGCCGGCGGCTCTGCGTGGAAGAAGAGCAGTGCTTCCTCCAGGGCATCCTGCAGGAGACAAACACAAGTGAGGGAACCCCCTCCGTCCCCCCCATACCTGCTCCCCCTCTGCTCCAGGTGCCCCCTCACCTGTCCCAGAGCTGGGGCACCTGCACCCAGGTCTCGGGGGTACTTGTGCCGTACGGCTGGCAGCCAGCTGCTGTTTCGCTGTTGCAGGAAGCCTTCAGCGCAGAGCGCTCCAGCTGCGTAGCCGCACAGACCACCCTCATCCTCCAGCACAAACGTGTACTCGGGGCTCAGGCTCAGGAAGCTGCCCAGCAGCCTGCCAGCCAGAGCAGGAACAAGGCTGAGCTGACACTTGGAGCCCAGCCTGCCCCAGGGAAAGCTCAGACCAGCCAGTCTCCTCCTTCCTGCCCCAGCAGGACAGCACCCCAGTGCCCACTGGACCATCCCTTTAAGACCCACCCCAGCAGAAGTGTTCAGCCAAGGGGAGCCACTGCAGTCCCCCCCGCAGCCAGGCTGGGCAGTCGGTCCGTCCCCATGGTGGCTACCATGACCCAGCTGGACATTAGCACCGGGACTGCCCTCCCTGTCCCCTCACACAGGGTGAGGCCACCACCACCCGTGGTGCAGGCGGAGCTGGTCCCCGCAGGAACACCACAGCCTCATGCCACGACCCCTCATCACCCAGCACACAGGCAGGCTCGGCATGTGCCTGGCAAGGGGGGAGCCCAAAGGGGGCACGTCTCACCTGTCCCCAAGGAGATCAGGGTGGGCTGCGAGGATCTCTGCGACTTTGGGGTCACAGTCCAAACTCTCCCGGCACATTCGATAAAGCTCTCCCTGGAAGACCCAGATCCACCTCAGCCCTGGCTTTGCCTGCCCTGCCTAATCCCACTGCTGCCCCTCGGCTGCCTGCCGCCCCACCACAGCCCCAGCCCCAGCCCCAGCGCACGGCATGCCAGCAGCAGCCCCAGGGACCCCGGCCGGGGCTGTGGCCTCCAGCACGGCCCGGCCAGGGGCAGGTAGGAAGGTATGTGCTTCAGTCATCCAAGGATGCTGGTGTCTGCCAAGTGATGCACCGTGAACCACCTTCCACTGGCCTCTGAGGCTCGTTACCACAGCACAGCAACACTTCAAAATGAGAAATTGCCATTCCAGTCAGGCATCCCAGAGCAGCAGCTGCTGAAGAAATGCCGCTCGCCCCAGGACGGAGCATGCTCAGAGCAGCAGAACAGCAGTGAGACCGATAATGAAACTCAAGCCTCCACAGAGCATGTGCAAAGTGGGACATCACAAAATTGCCCATCTTGGTTAGATTTGAGTTTGCTGCTCCACACAGAATCAGTGAAAAGAACATCCCAATAAAAGCATTGCTTCTTAAGGGAAAGCTGATTGACAGGGCAAGACAGTGCACTTCTCAGTGACATTTCCAGAACGGGCTGAAGTGCTGAGCTGGATTTTTCTATCGAAGTTTCACTGGACACAGACATTCAACTTGTTAAAGTTTAGCCAGATCAGATGAAATCTGACAACAGGCAATTGAAGACAAGCTCTTGAAATGTGAATTTGTTGGCAGCTGCAGTCTGGTATTATAATCTCCTCTCATGCTTGCAACTCCTCCTCTGTTATTTACAAGCACTGCAGCTGTACGTTTCTGGGTACTGTATTTAGCAGGGATGAGCAGTTGTGTCCATGATGGCTGGATTTGTAGTGTTAGCACTTCCTTTAGCTAGGAGAGGCAGCAGAATGAGGGAGCAGGGTGTTCCCTGCAGACTGTGGTACGTGGGCTCTGCTGGACTTGGCACGAGCGTAACTTGTGTCCACCCACCTCCAAATCCTCCCTTTCCCTCCCCATCCCATCAAACTGCTGGGATGCTAGAGCTGGGGGGCTGGCAGCAAACAGGTCACAGCTGCCAGAGGCTGCTGCCTCTCCAGTGGGGAATCATCCTGTAAACTGGCTGAGTGTTTGAAGAAGGGACTGATTTGGAGATGAACCTCAACAGGTTCAAGCAGAGCCCAGAGCTGCAGACTGATGAAGGCTGCAGGTCACCAGGCTTATCCTGTTCTGGATCTTTCCTGGCACCTGCTCACGGTCACTGCTGGATATCAGTGCTGGGGGTGCTCTAGAGATTGACCTTGCAACCTGGCGACTCCAAGTCTGTGCCAGTTTATCTGTGGCTGTGCCTGCTGCTCAGTTCTGAGCTGGGTCTCCCTCTCCTGCTGCTGGCTGCCAGGAGGGGCTCTGCCTGGGTGCTCGTCACAGGGAGGCAGGTGATGGTCCCTGCCAAGGCCACTGGCCACAACACTCGCTTTTCAGCCCAGGGGGGTGACATGCTGCCAGACACAGCCTTGGGTGACCTACCCCAGGCTGGCTTGCTCTGAGTGGGGGCTGGTCCCCAGAGGTCCCTTCCCACCTGCATCACTCTACACCGCAAGCTCAGTCTTGGGGTCAGCCGCAGATGAGCATGTAGCTCGTTAGCACACGTACAGCACAGGCTATGCAAAGGTGACCTCTGGCCCGAGTGGAGAGGGCCACCCCTTTGGGTCAGGGCTCCCACCTTGTCCAGGGGCAGCAGCGGCCGCAGGAGGTACAGTTGGCTGGACGGGAAGAGTGGAGGCGGGTGGTAGAAAAGGTCACAGCTGTTCCCCACGGGCAGCAGCGCCTGGAAGAGATACAGGGCATCAGGTAGATGGTTGTCCTGGCTCCAAACCTTGTCCTGGAGGCAGCAGGAGGAGGGTCCTTCTGAGGCACCCTAAACTCCAGGAGCCGCAGCCAAGGCACAGAGGCCAAGGGCAGGTCTGCCTTCCTGAGCTTGCAGCAACCCAATGGCAGGGCCACGAGCAGCTGCTGGGATCCGTGCTTCCCAACAGCTCCGTTAGCCCCCACAGATACGGGCATGTTCTCACCTGCAGCTCTCCAAAGAGGCCCCCACGGCGTGTCCAGGGCTCAGCGTCCCCCCCCAGCAGGATCGGGGCAGTGGTGCTCTGGCACCCTGGAGGCAACAGGAGACAAACACATGGGAGATGAACAAAAACCTGCTGGGCCAGGGGTACATCAGCCTCCATCACACATCAACATCACAATCCACAGCGGTCACAGCTCTGAGGATCTGCCCCCACAGCTGCGCAGCCCAGGCATGGGACCTCACCAGGGCTCGGGCAGCCAGCCCCATGCCCTGGGGTAGCAGCACACCTGCCGCAACAGGGCCAGGAGTAGGGGAATGGGGAAAGGAATGGTCTTGCCTCTATGAAAGGCATAAGACAACTCAAGGCTACAGTTGGAAAGCTGCAGCCTGGCACAGAGAACAGTGCGCTGCTTTGCTGCCCAGCTCTGCAGTGCCTGTGGGAACTTGCCCCTGTGCAGCTGCTTCCCTGTGGAAGTGGTTCAAGGAACACGGCCCTGTCTCACACTGAGCTTGGAAACCCTCTCAGGTTGTCATCGGGTAACAGTTCTTGGTTTGTAAGAGGTCACAAGGCCCACAGAGCAACCAGGGAAACCTAAACCAGAGGAAAAGGGGCTTCCAAAGTGATGCACAGGCATTCAAAATCCAACCTCATCTCTGTCACCTGGGGCATTACAGCTCCCAATGGCTCATGGATCCCTTTTAGCAAAAAGACTAAGGGGCCCTTGAACTAAAAGGGCTGGGGAACCATGCCCTAGAATTAGGCATTCCTTCTAGACTGTGAGAGATGGCCAAGAGCTGCTGTGATGACTGCCCTGTCCCCAGCAGCCGTGCTCCATCCTGCCTCGGTGTGTCAGGGCACGTGGGGGTGACAGCCTTCCCACGGTCATTCCCACTCTGCTCAGCGGGCAGTGCATGGGGAAGGGCAGCCCGATGATGGGTGCCGGCTGCTGCTGTGGGGCTGGAGGTGATGGAGGGCAGCAGCCAAGGCCCCACTTCCTAGGTGGGTAAGCCAGGGCAGCACTGGTACTTACAGCCAAAGCAGCTTCCCCAGGTGCCCTTGGGGTCAGGGTCACAGAGGAGATGGCCATCTGCAAAGGAGGCGAGGTGGTGAGCACAGGACGTGGGTCAGTGGTGGAGAAGGTGTCAAAGGGAGGTCCACTCCCAGGAGAGACCCCGGCACCCCCCGGCTGGACACAGGGACCCCAGACCTATGGGAGGGGGTCCCAGACACCCTTAAGGGGGGGACACAGTGGATCACTCAGAACAAGCTTCAGATGCCCTGGGTGTGCTGCAGTGCCAGGGGGACCCTGCACTTCAGCAGGGCTGGATTTGGCCAGGGTGTGATTATGCGCTACAGGGCCGCAGGGGCTGTCTCAGGGGCCACGTACCCAGCCAGAGGACGAAGGCACTGGCAGCCAGCAGCATGTTGCGGATGTCCCAGAGGTAGGGGTGGAGGTCATAGAGCAGCGCTCGTCCGGCGCTGCTGACAAAGCGGCTGTGCAGGCGGCATGTCTGAGCGCAGAGCAGCTGGAAGGTTTGGGCTCGGCCACGCCACTGCATGCCCTGTGGGCAGACCAGGTGTCAGCGCAGCCGTGACAGCCACAGTTCCGCAGCAGCACCTGGAACAGCCTTACCCCACAGCCATCGGGTGCCGTGGCTGGCACCCCCACGCTGAGGCTGTTTGCCCAGAGCCACCGAAAGTGCTCCAGGAGATGCTGCGCCAGTGGCCCATGATGGTAGGGCAGGTAGAAGAGCTCCACCAGCATCTGCACCTCCCCCAGCGTCAGCGGTGCCATGGGGCTGGACCTGGCCTCCTCTGGGGTCAGTGGTGCCATGGGGCTGGACCTGGCCTCCTCCAGTGTCAGCAGCGCCATAGGGACAGACCCAGCCTCTTCTGGGGTCACTGGTGCTGTGGGGCTGGTCCTGGCCTCCTCTGGGATCACCGGTCCTGTGGGGCTGGTCCTGGCATCCTCTGGGATCACTGGTCCTGTGGGGCTGGTCCTGGCCTCCTCTGGGATCACCGGTCCTGTGGGGCTGGTCCTGGCCTCCTCTGGGATCACCGGTCCTGTGGGGCTGGTCCTGGCATCCTCTGGGATCACCGGTCCTGTGGGGCTGGTCCTGGCCTCCTCTGGGGTCAGTGGTACCACAGGGCCAGACCCAGCCTCCTCCAGGGTCAGCAGGGCCATGGGGCAGGACACAGCCTCCTCTGAGGTCAGTGGTGCCATGGGGCCAGGGCTGGCGCCAGCTCCATTAGTGAGCGGTGCTGGGGGGCCAGGGCTGGCACCAGCCCCATGCCCTGGGGGTGTCTGGGGTACGTCAGCTCTGCTGGCTTCAGGCTGGGTACTACTGGGGGGCTGGCAGGGGCTGCCACCTCCTGTCCTGTCATCATTGGTGGGTAGAGGAAGGTTCTGGCTGGTGTTGGCCCCATTGCTGCAGCATGTGGCAGGGCCCGGGCCGTGGAGGGTCTCGGTAGCCCCTGGGGTTCCTGCAGACTGAGCACTCCCAGCTGTGCTGGGCAGAGCAGAGGAAGGCTCGCAGCTTGCTCTGACCCTCGTGGTGAGCTGGTCCCCGTCCCCCGTGGGGCTTTGCCGACTGCCATCAGGGGACCTGCTCCCATTGTCCTTCTTGGGCTGCGAGGTCACCTTCCTCCTTCCCTCCCCTGGTGCCATGTGGCAGGGCTCAGGGCCACGCTGGTCTGCCCCGCTGGGAACAGAGTCGTGGGGCTGGGGGTCGGCCATGACCTTCTGTCCTCCTGCTCTGCTGGGCTGTATCCTCGTTCCTCCCTTGAGGCTGACACAGGGGTGTCCCGGGGTCCTTCCTCCTGGTAATAAGAAGCAAAGGGGCAGCCCCTTTGGCACCTACATGGAAACTGCTGCCTGTGGGGCCCAACAGCCCTGGGGGTGGCCATGCTGGGAAGCTCCATCTCTGAGCTGGCAAGGACCAGGACCGTGGGCTTTGCATTACTCCGTGATCTGGAGTTCGGGCCTCTGTGGCTGGTGAGTGTTTGCCACCTTTCAGAGGCAAACACTGCAAAACACCAGGTTTGCACCTGGCTGAATCTCCCCTTCCAGAGCCATATTATGGCTCAGGCTCCCACGCTGCCAGCTGAGGAAACCCTCTCTGGGATGCAGCCAAGGCAGGAGCACCCATGGGGCAGCATGGCACGACAGACACCCACCCCTGCCCACCACAACTCACACAGACCCCACTGCCACACCAGCAAGAGAACCCCCTCCAAACAGGCAGGGCATGGGGCTCCCTCACCCCACCCAGCAGAGCTGGTCCAGCATTCTGGAAGGGGTGAGGGATGCTGCACCATGTGAGTTCACCACCTACCTTGCTCCAAGGCCTGCCGGTTTATCTCCACCACCCAGGCATGCAGTGCCAGCTCCAAGGCCTCCTGGGGGCTGTAGCTCCTCTCCTGTGGGCCTTGGCTGTCCCCCAGGGCTGTCGCAGTCTCCATCCCTAAGGAACTGGAGCTCATCAGTCCAGGCAGTCCCGCTCTTTGCTTGATGGAGCTATCCCACGCCACACTGAGGGAAGGCAGCCCACCCCCTCCTCCCCAAGGAGATGCCCCCCAGGATGGATCCCATGCCCTGAGATGTTGGGTAGTGCCCAACCAGGTGAGACACCTCACCCAGGCTGCCATGCAGGAAAGCTTGCAAGGCTGTGGCAAAGACGGGCTGCAATGGGCAGGCCCTGCCCTGGGTGCACAAGCTCACTGCCGGTGCTGAGGCCCCAAGCACAGAGATGCCTGGGGCTCTGGGGCCAGGTACCTGCAAGATCAGGGTGGGCACAGCTCCCTAGCTCGCTTTGAAACCAGCTGCCCAATGTGTGTATGGGGATGAAGTTGGCCTGGAGCTCGCAGTTGGGGTTGAGGAGCAGTCCATGGAGCCTGGGCATGAGGCCAGGGGCACGTCCCGTGTAGGGGCCCAGGAAGACGCGTCTGCAGTCATAGTCGTTGGCATACAGGTTGTCCCAGATGATGGGGCGGCGCCGCAGGACACCCTCCACCTCCTCCAGCAGTGCGGCCGAGAGCTCCTGTGACACCACCTTTGGTCCTGGAGCATCACAGCACAGATGTGGGTAGAACACACAGGCAGCACAGGCCATCGTGCACACTCACAACAGGGGTGCATGCATATCTGGGCACTGAGCACAGACATGAGGGTCAAGCTGCCCCACCTCACCCTCCCTAGTCAGGAGAGCAGACCCACTGCCTGACCCACTCCCTGCCTGTTTGGGGCTGCACACCCCGATGCTGAAAGGTACCACAGCCGAGCCACTCGCTGGCACCTCTCCCAGGATGGAGCCCGCAGTTGCAGGGTTTGCAGATGCTGGCTCTTGTTGAGAAGCTGCACAGTGCTGCACACCCCACAGAGCCAGGCCAGGCGCTCACCCGTCCAGATGACACTGATCTCTGGGAGCAGCTCCTGGCCGATGGTCAACAAGTAGCAGGACTGGCTGGGGCTGGGAGAGCACAGAGAGCTGCAGTATTCTGGGGAGAGAACACAAAGCATCCCTTGTGGGGCAGAGATTCTGGGAGAGGAAAGGCTGCCTGGGATAGATGGATAGGAGCTGGGGAGGTGCACGGTGCAGGGAATACAGCATGCACAGCTGCTGAAGCGACAGCCCTTCTGCAGCCTGATCCTGTCCTAGTCCTGAGATCTCCAGGGCTCCTGCAGGAGCATGAGGGGGCTAGGGAGACCCATGGAGGCTGTCAGAGCAGTCAGCTCTCAGCAGTTACTGGTCCTGGGTGCAAAGGGCACCCTGGGCTGCTGTGGGGTGCCACGGCTGGCCAAGCACCGGGCTGCCAGGGTGGGGTGTCTGGGGCCTCATGGCTGCAGGTGGTACCTGTAGGGCAGAAGAGGAAGACGGATGGTTGCCCAAGCTCCCGGTACACCTCATTGGCCACAGAGGCCTGAGCCTGCGCCAGGGAGGTGAAGACGTCTCTGTCAGCTTGGCACATGCAGGGGTCGATGTCATCGAAAAGCAGCGCGAAGGAGTGGCATCCCATGGCAGCCACCTGCAGGCAGGGGCACAGCTGCTAGCATCCCTGGGCAGCAGAGAAAAAGCAAGCAGGGAGCCCCGGACAAGCTCCTGCCGCCTGGGGCCGGTAAGCAGAGCAGAGCTCGGGGGTGCCCGAACAGATGGCAGGCAGAGCAGCCCCTGCCGCATCCCCCACGCCTGCCCATCGGATGCCGCGCACAAAGCCCGGCCGCTCCGTGGGTACGCAACAGCCCCGTGTCCACGGCCCACCTCACTCCCACCGTGCCACTGCCGGGCAGCCCTGCCTGCTCCCCGCCACCTCCGCCGCACCCCCGCATCGCCCCACAGCACCGGGAGCCCCATGGCACGAGCAGAGGCTGCTGGACCCTCAGGAGCAGCCTCGCCGCACGCCCGGGGAGCTGGCCCCTGCACCAGGGCTGGCTGGGGACAGCTGGAGAGGTGGCCGGGCATGGCTCAGCACTCTTTATTTCAGTGGCTCTTTATCCTCCCTGGGGACTGGGGGCTCAGCATCAGCCTCCAGTGCTGCCCAGCAAGCTCTGGGGCTTGACTGGTCCCTCTCCTGCCCTCAGTACTGCCTGCCAACAGCCAGGCATCCACAGAGCCCTTGGCTCTCTGTCACCATGACAGGGACAGCATGTCTGCCGCTGGGCACCCCACAGAGCTGCTCCCTGATGTGCAGCAGCAGGAGGGGTTTACAGCCCCACACCAGCCTTTGGGGTGGGCATGGGGCCCACACACAAGCACATGTGCCCCTCGCCTGGGAGCAGTGGGATGAAGGAATGGCCCACGGTACCTGCCTGAGTTTTTGCTGCAGCAGGAGACGATCCCCAGCACTTGAAAACACCATGTCCTGGCCAGCAGAAATGGCAAAAACAAACTCCACACTCTGCTCTTGGGCAGCTTCGATGAGAGATCGTATGTGGACTGGGGACAAAGCAGAGGGGGTGCTGTGAGCGCTGGGAGGCAACAGATGGAAGGAGACAAGGCATGGAGGGAGAAGGAACCACAGTGGCCCCAAAAGAAGGAGCTGAGGGCATCAGGAGGCGTGAGAGGGAATCTGGAGGGGAGAGTCCCAAGGGCAACAGTTTCCAGTTCCTTGGGACACAGAGGACCCGCTGCAAGGGTCTGTGGGCCCTGACATATTCGTGCATATTGCCAGAGACCCATGTCAGCACGTTCCCATTCTGGGTGGACTCCTAGGCAATTCCATGGGATGGGCAGGGTCTGGGAAGGCTCCTTGTACCGGGCAGGGTCTGGGGGTCTCCTTGCACTAGGCAGGGCCCGAGGGGCTCCCTGCAGTGGGCAGACTCCTGGCAGGACGAGTGGTAACAGCCAGCCTGACCCTGGCTGAGATGCAGACCGTGCTTCACCCTCGAGGACCCGGGGTGCCTGCAGCCCACCCGTGCTGGGGCCCAGCAGAGCCGCTACCTGCCTCATGCTCTGTGTAGGGCTCTCGCCAGAGCAGCCGGTGCTTCAGCTCATCCTTGGGCGCGTACATGTAGCAGTTCAGCCCGCTGCGGTTCAGCCTGCGCAGCAAGGACAAGGGGTCATCCAAGGCTCCAGGTGGGCTCTTTGCAAAGAGGCACCCAGGCAGGTGCCAGCCCACCCCTCCGAGAGCTCCTCGGCTCACAGCACCCACTCCTTCCCCAGAGCTGCACCACGTCCTGCAGCTTCCAGCCTCTGCTCTCACAGACTCTCCCAGACTGTGGAGCCGCAGCTCTTCCCCTGAACAGGGAGCCCTGCCTTGTGTACTTCTGATGGCCACACGGAGACATAAATCTCACCCAGTGCTCCCAGTGCTGAGTCCAACGATTTGTGTCATTTAGGGACCTCCAGAAAGATAGTGCACCTGGATGGGAAAGTCTCAGAGACCAGCAGGACAGTGCCTCCTGGGAGATGGGTTAACACCTGTGCTGCAGGGGAAAAAGTGAGTGGGAGGGACCAGTTTAGCCTCACCAGCCTGTTTTAACCACTCGACAAAGTGCTGTGATGATGAAAAGCTCAATGTCCTGAGCAAGGAATGGAGGAGGGGGGAGTAGCCAGAGCAGCCTCCGGGGAAGGAAAGGGGGTCCTTGGGGGGATACTGAGAACGAAATGGCCAAGGAGACAGAGGATGGGGCTGGAGTGGTAGAGGGAGCAGCTCAGCAGTCTGCTGCTCCCCAGGGCCCCGAGGGTGCAGGTGGCCCCAGCCCTGGAGTCCAGCTGTGGGGCTCCATCAGGCCAAACCACCCCTGCAGCTTTGCAGCAGCTCTTTCAGGGCTTGCAGTGAGACCTGGGGAAGCACTTAGCATCTGTATAAGCATGTCTGGGGGGTAGGTTTCTCTTCCCTTTCTCTTCAGCCATGCTTCTAACTGTGGAATCAAGAAGCAAACTTGTTTGTAGCACAAATACACAGGCGGTGAGGTTTTCTGTTGTGACTAGGGATTCCGGGTGAAGCAGGTATGTACAAGCTAGTTGCCCCCCCTGGATGTGAGGGGTCTCTGTGGAGCAGGATCAGCCAAGACACCTTGAAGAGCTGGCACCTCACCACTCCCCCAAGCCCAGTGTCCAGGAGCAGGGCGTGCCAGCCAGGTGCTGGCTGGCCTCGCGGACTCAGCCTGGGGTACCTCTCTGGGAAGCACACACACTGGGGGAGCCCTCACATCATCGCCTTGAGAAGGCCATGTCCTGTCTGCATGCTGGCCTGACTCCCAGGTAGTCCCTATATGCCTTCTGCACCATTCCCAGATCATGTCTTGTTCACCTGAACAGGTCAAGACCTTCAAAGTTATCACTCTACAATGTTTTTTGCAGCTACTGGGTCTCACTGGGGCTCTTTTGCACTCTTGCATTCTTCCATCTCCTCTCCAGTGAGACACCAGCACAGGACACAGTGCCACAGCCCTGGCCCAGCTCTGGATACGGAGGCTGCCGCCTCCTCACAACCACTGGATTGTCCCTTGCCTGCCCTGGTCTCCCTTTCCTCACGCTGTGTCCAGACATGCTCTGCACTACCTGCCCAGTTCCTGTACAAACACCTTTTTTTGGGGCTGTGTTAGGTGGTGTTTCAATGGAAGGGGGCCCAGAGCAGGCAGTGTGTTTACTGCTGAGGTGATGTGTGTACCACAAACTGCTGTGGTCTGACCAAAGGAAGTCAGTCAAAAAATCCAGGAGGCCTGAATGGATGAGCAAGGAGCTCCTGGACAAACTCAAACACAAAAAGGAAGCCTACAGAGGGTGAAAGCAAGGACAGGGAGCCTGGGAGGAATACAGAGAAACTGTCCATGCAGCCAGTGATCAGCTTAGGAAAGCTAAAGCCCTGACAGAATTAAATCTGGTCAGGGACATCAAGGATAACAAGAAAAGCTTCTGTAAGTATGTCAGTGATGAAAGGAAGCCTAGGGAAAATGTGGGCCCTCTCCAGAAGGAAACAGGAGACCTGGTTACTTGGGACATGGAGAAGGCTGAGGTACTCAATGACTTTTTTGCCTCAGTCTTCACCGGCAAGGGCTCCAGTCACACTGCCCAAGACACAGAAGGCAAAGGTGGGACTGGGAGAATGAAGAACCACCCACTGTAGGAGAAGATCAGGTTCAAGACCATCTCAGGAACCTGAAGTTGCACAAGTCCATGAGAACTGATGAGATGCATCCATGGGTCCTGAGGGAACTGGCGAGTGAAGGGGCTAAGTCACTATCCATCATATTTGAGAAATTATGGCAGTCTGGTGAAGTTCCCACGGACTGGAAAAGGGGAAACATAACCCTCATTTTTAAAAAGGGAAAAAAGGAAGACCTGGGGAACTACAGGCCAGTCAGTCTCATCTCTGTGCCTGACAAGATCATGGAACAGATCCTCCTGGAAACTATGCTAGGGCACATGGAAAATAAGGAGTTGACTGATGACAGACAACATGGCTCCACTAAGGGCAAATTGTGCCTGACCAATTCGGTGACTTTCTATGACAGGGTTACAGCACTGGTGGATAAGGGAAGAGCAACTGACATCACCTACCTGGACATCTACCTGCAAAGCGGACACTGTCCCACACAACACCCTTGTCTCTACATTGGATTTGATGGATGGACCACTTGAATAAGGAATTTGCTGGATGGCCGCACTCAAAGAGTTTCAGTCAACAGCTTGATGTCCAAGTGAAGAGCAGTGATGAGTGGCGTTCCTCAGTTGGTGCTGGGACTGACTCTGTTTAACATCTTTGTTGGCAACATGGACAGCGGGATTGAGTGCACCCTCAGCAAGCTCACCAATGACACCGAGCTGTGTGGTGTGGTGACACGCTGAAGGGAAGGGATGCCACCCAGAGGGACCTCAATAGGTTGGAGAGATGGGCCCATGCAAACCTCATGAAGTTCAACAAGGTCCTGCCCATGGGTTGGGGCAATCCCAAGCACAAATACAGGCTGGGTGAAGAATGGCAGGGAGTTGGACCCAAACCATTCTATGATTCTGTTCTATGACAGCTGCTGTGCACACCCTGCTAGCAAGGCTCACAGAGAAGCTCCAGAGCACCCTTCTCTGTCACACCCAGTTAACGTGGGGTCCAGCACTGCTGGCACTCCGTTATCTAACAGGTCACACTGATGTTGATCTACTGACATTAGACGGCCTGTCAGAGGAACTCTTTGGGACTGCAAGATTTTTGCCAAGCCATGCAGGTGAAAAGCCCGATTGACGAAAAGCAGTGAGTGCTGAAGCAGAGCTTTGGCAGGGTGGGCAGCAGAGCTGGGCAAGTGTCAACCTGCGGCAGGGCACTGGGCCTATGTAGTTTTCAGGTGAAAAGACCAAATAAGCAGAGCAAATACAGCACTCGGAGTGATTTGAAATGGCTGTTAAGCTGGGCTTCAGCAAGCAGTATACATCTTAATACAGCCAAGCATAAAGTCCTACTTAGGTAAAAGAATACAGAATATATGGTGCCTGAAGTAACAACAACATAACGAACAATCAGTTGAACATAAGTGCCCTCTGCAATGCCACTGTTAACTCAGCATAAGAGAAAGGCCCAGATTAATCACAGCAGAGTATCAGGCAGGACTAGAGAGATTTGGTGACCTCTGTGCTGGCTGCAGATGCTGCCAAGAGCAGCGACCACGGTGTAGGAAGGATGACGATAAACTAGAGTGAGTATGTCAAGGAACCACACACACAGATGCAGAACGCCTGCAAGCAAGAGTCTTGGAACCCATTCTGCTCACCCTCCCCGGGGGAAAGTCTCAGCCTGCCAGTGCTCCAGAGGAGGGTGTCCTGGGTTGAGTGAGTGGTGGAGTTTTTTGGTGGCAGGGGAGGGGGCTATCGGGGCGGCCCTCTGTGAGAAGCTTCTCGAAGCTCCCTCAGCTCCATGCCAGCTCCACTTCTGTTTGGGAAATTGAGCAAATCGGCTGCGCCTCTGCGATAATGTATTTAAGAAGGGACGTGATGACGGGCAGTCGGACTGGTGAGGAAGTTGTGGCAGCTGCATGAACACCAAGGTCAGTGGAGGAACGGAGGAAGAAAGGAGGGGGGAGGTGTGCCGGAGCAGACACCCCCCTGTATCCTGTGGGGAGATGGCAGGGCGGCCCCCCCCTGCCACCCATGAAGATCTACAGTGGAGCAGACATTGATTTATGGCCTGTGGCTTCTGCTTGCCTGATCAAGGTTCTGTGCCCGAAGAAGGCTGGGGTCTCATGGGAAAAGGTAGCCCCGCTGCTGTAGTTCAGCGCTGGGAGGATTGCAGCATGCGGGGGTGTCCCACGCCAGAGCAGCTCGGGAAGGGCTGCAGCCGTGGGAGGGACTCCAGCTGGAGAAGGGTGGTGACCCATGACGGAGCAGTGTGGGGAACGCTACAGCCCGTGGGAGGAACTCACATCAGAGAAAGTTTGTGGAGGACTGTCTCCTGTGAGAGGGGGACCACGATGGAGCAGGAGGAACAAGTTCCAGACACTCCCCTCACCGAAGATGAAGGAAGTAGCAGCACTGACTGCACCCCCCATTCCCTGCGCCTGCGCCACTGGGGGAGGAGGTAGAGATATCGGGAGCAGAGCTGAGCCGGGGAAGAAGGGAGGGGTGGGGGGAAGGTGTTCTCAGGATGTGGCAATGCTTCTCTCTGTCCTACTCTGTTATGTGTTGTTAGTGTCTGTAATAAATGTATGTTCTTTTTTTTCTTCCCCTAACGAGTCTGCCTTTTGCTCGTGATCATAAAGGGGGGTTTTTCCCCATCCCAGTCCTATCTTGAACCCCAAGCCTGGCTCTCTGTCCCTTCTCATTGCTGGAGGGGAAGAGAGAGAGAGCTGCTGCATTGTGGTTGGCTACCAACCAGGCCTAAACCACGACAGAGGGAAAAGCCACACCCAGCAGTCAGGGACATGACGGGGTCCAGGGTTGACTCACAGGGACACGCATTTGGGCGAGACGGGAGAGGAAAGGTCTCCGGCTCTCCAGATGCTCCACTGCAGTCAGAGCTGAAGGGAAACAGGTCTGAGAGAGATCATCAGGAGATTAGACTGCACAGTCATAAGGTCCTTTCTGGCCTCCAAAAGCACAAATTCCTTCCAGAATCTCCCCAGCAATCCAAGACTCACTGGAAATTATCAGGACTGGGCAGACACCTCCCTAGACAGCTCTTTTGGCACTCCTGTGTGAAAGCCATCTGATATATTAATTTATTTTTATTTATGCTCCTTAGTCGATGATGGTTTACATTTTCCCATGATGAACAGACTGGGAAGCACTTCATGTACTCCATGATACAAGTGCCTCATCTTGTTTCTTTCCAGAGAAGAAAAACACCGATGAACATACTGCTTACATGTGCAAACATGTGAACATACACCCTAGCCCAGTTCCAGGCAAGGCTGTCATTAGACCTTATTATTTCTAATATACTTTAAAACATCACATGTTGTTTTACTTCCTGCACATTTTCCCCCAATTTTCTAAGCTGCATTTTTCTGTATCAGCATCTGGTCCCTGCACTATGGTCCTTCCTTGCACTTGGGACGGCTCACACTGTCACCAGCGCACTCCCCCAGCACAACGGGCGCATTTCCCACACAGCGCAAAGCTGCCAGTGTCACCACCAGCACAGGCACCAGCACACGGCCCTGCCGTCTCTGGCCCACTACCCACACTGTCACCAGTGCACTACCCACACTGTCACCAGTGCACTACCCACACTGTCTGTCACCAGTACGCTGTCCCTGCTGTCACCAGCAGACTCTCCACACCATCCCCAGAGTGTTGCCCATGTCATCACCAGGGCAGTGCCCACACTGACCAGTACACTGCCTAGGCTGTGACCACCACGTTGCCCATGGCAGATGCTCCACGGGAGGCCCCGCAGGGCCCCATGCTGTCAGCACAGGTCCTGTCAGTGTAGCTCCTCGGACTGATGGCCAGTACATGGGTGCCAGCTGCTAGGAGAGGGCTTTTTCTCTCCTGCACAAATGAAGTCCCATCCCAAGGTGATTCTCACAACCAGCCAGTGACAGATCGTGCCCACATCCTTCTGTCACAAGGACACAAGGGCCACCTCCACATCAGGCAGGGATTGCAGCCTCAGGATCATAGAACCATAGAATGCTTTGGGTTGGAAGTCACCTCAAAGCCCCCCCAGTGCCCCCCCCTGCCCCGGGCAGGGCCCCCTTCCCCCAGCCCAGGGGGCTCCCAGCCCCGTCCAACCTGGCCTTGAACCCTTCCAGGGAGGGGGCAGCCACAGCTGCTCTGGGCACCCTGGGCCAGCGCCTCCCCCCCCCCCCCGCACAGGGAACAATTTCTGCCTTAGAGCTCACCTAAATCTGCCCTCTGGCAGTTTAAAACCATCCCCCTCCTCGTCCCATTCCCACCCCCTGACCCAGAGTCCCTCCCCCCCTCTCCTGTCCCCCCTTTAAGCCCTGGGAGGCCACTCTCAGGGTCCCCCCGGAGCCTTCTCTTCTCCAGGCTGAACCCCCCCAACTCTCTCAGCCCGGCCCCCCAGGGGAGATGCTCCAGCCCCCCCAGCATCTCCGTGGCCTCCTCTGGCCCCGCTCGAGCAGCTCCGGGTCCTTCTGCTGTTGGGGGCCCCCGAGCTGGCCCCAGCACTGCAGGGGGGGCTCCCCAGAGCGGAGCAGAGGGGGAGAATCCCCTCCCTGGCCCTGCTGCCCCCCCTGCTCTGGCTGCAGCCCAGGGCACGGGTGGGTTCTGGGCTGCCAGCGCACGGGGCTGCCTCACAGGCAGTTTTCCCCCCACCAACCCCCTCAGTCTCTCTCCTCGGGGCTGCTCTCCAGCCACTCCTCGAGGGCCCAGCCTGGGTTTGTGCTGGGGATTGCCCCGACCCCCGGGCAGGACCTTGCCCTTGGCCGTGTTGAACTCCACGAGGTTTGCCAGAGCCCCCTCTACAGCCTGCCCAGGGCCCTCAGGATGCCATCCGGGCCCTCAGCGTGTCATTGCACCACACAGCTCGGTGTCACCGACAAACTTGCACAGGTGGATAAAGGGGCCACTTGTGCCAGTGGTAGAGTGATGCAGGTTTTTTGTGTTTCCACAATGACAGGAGGCCAAGCAGGCTGGAAGCACCTGCCTGCAGCCCTTGCTGGGAGCGCAGGGCAGCAGGGATGGTGGCCCCAGACAAGGCGAGCTGGCCGCTGGCTGGTGGCTGCGGGCATGCAGCGTGCTGTCCTGCAGCCAGTGCACCCACAGGGACTGGTGCCACGTTGCAGTGCCCAGGCCTGCACGGTTCAGAGACGAGGCAATGGATGCTTGTCCTGACAGGGCAGCTCCCAAGGTGGGCTTCAGCCCATTGAACACCCCCATGTTATCTCTGACATGGACCCCAGCCCCTCTGCCTACTCCCCAATACCCCTCCTGCACACGGGCTGCCTTAGCTGACCCACATCACACTGCTGCCAGGGCAGAGCAGCTTTTCTGTTCCCTCCAGAGGCAGCATTTTCAGGCTCGTGTAGCCCCCCATGCTCCTCTCCAAACCCTTCCCAGCTGCCATCATTCCTCCCACGGTGTGGGCAGCAGGGTCTGACCCTGTCCCACTGGCAGCTCCCCGAGGGTCTGCACACTCACCGGGGCACCCATGCCAGCTGCATGGTGCCAGCATGCAGGGGCTAGTGCCCACCCAGCCCCCTCTGGACCCACTTTCCCCAGCCAAGCACATCTGGCTGCAGATGGGCTGTGGCAGAGTCCCAGCACCATCTGCCGGCACAGGGCAGCACAGCCCGCAGGCATCTGTCCTCGGGCTGCCGGTCCATCCTGCAGCCGCCACACCTGGGCCCAGAGCAGGGGAGTCTTTCCTCTGACCCGATCTGGAATGCCAGAGTGCTGGGACAGAGCGAGCACTGCAGGAGCAACCCTGGGAGAAGCATAAGCCCCCTTCACTGCCATCGACCCGGCTTCCCAAAGGCAGGCCAGCCCCAGGAGCCTCTCTCCAGCACGTTTTCCCTCACCACTCCTGCCTCCACAGCACTCTGGCTTCCACCTTGTCACCTTGCCCCAGGCTAGTACCTTCAGAGAGGAAAATTCAGGGTACTTGCCATTGAAAGAGAAGTTTCCTCTGTTCCATAGACCATGGTCTCCCATAGAAACCTGCAAAAATGGGGAAAAAAAAGCCAAAATGCCATTGTCAGTAACCGCCTTAAAAGTCTCTCTCTGTACTATCCCTAAGTGGCTGTTCTTAAAACCAGAGATCCACCAGTTACTCATCTACGGGTACTTCAAGTGTCTATTATCCTGCTATGATCTTGCTGGGCATTGGTATTCAAATAAGTTGGTATAATGTCTGTGCTTCCATCCTTCCCAGAAAGAGGCAGCTGTGAAGAATTGCACAAGGTAGCGCTTAACCTGGGAAGGGGAATTTTCACAGTAAAAGCCAAGCCTAGAGGAGATGGCTGAGGGCTGTCTAGGTTATAAGGCACTCAGGCATGACTTTGGGGTGCAACGTAGCACAGAGCTATCGTACATCCATCCTAGAGTTATCTGCCTGGGGATTTTCTTCTTTACAGAGACCAGCTCTGTGTGTCTCTGCATCTCTCAGTGTCTGTAGTGTCAGGCTGTGTCAAGTAAAGCATCGTCACTCCTGTATGAGCTATAAAAACTGCTCTCTAACCACTGCACTACCCAGACTGCGCCAAAATTGCACCACCACAGCTCTCCCCTGCACCCTGCAAACACATACCTGCATTGCAGCAGGGCAGGACTTTGAGGCAGCATCCCTGTCCCATGGCAAGCTGTTCAGATCAGGAACATATAACCAACCTGCAGGGATGCTCATGAGTGCTGGGACTGTGACTCCACAAGACATTTCACAGACACTTTGTACCTCACTGGAAAACACCATCCCCATAAGCTTGCAAAGGGAAAATTCAGAGAGAGAAAGCACACCAGGGAGCAACCTTACCAGTTGTCTGCTAACAAAAACACTCATCAATGAGCACCAAGGCTGGCCGCAAGGACATTGCCCTTCCAGAAGGTTCACTTCAACAAAACTGAATGCAGGAAATACAGATCTGGAGTCAGCAAATTCCCAAGTGTTCCTTAACATATCCACTTTTGCTGCTTGCAGGCTTTATGGCTGTTGAGCACCAGTGTCTGACACAAGCTTGAGGCTGCAGCACCACAGAAGCTGACAGTCTGCCCTGTGCTCTGCATGGCAGGGAACTGGTCTGTGACTGGATACAGTGAGCAGCGGCACCAGTGGACATGCAGCACACATTCCCCATTTAGAACCCCTTTCAAGGCAAGGCCCTTCCTATTTCTACATGTAGGAAGACCTGAGAGGTGCAGAGTTGTCTGCAAAGCCAGTGAGAAAGTGAGAAAGAATACCCAGTGGAAAGTAAGCTAGTTCACCTGGGGACAATGGAAGAATAGGCAGGTAAATGGGTTTGGGGAGATGCAGATTTGACAGCTTCTTAAAGAGGAGGTTAAGGAGAACCTGTAAGTGCTCCAGCACAGACCTGAAATGTCGCAAGAGAAGAATCTTCAGTCACGTCAAGTCTCTGCAAGATCTGGCAGCTGCAATGTGAAGTCTCACAGGAAATATGTCTTGAACAGTGATGGCAATTAGCCATCAAGGCAGCTTCCTAATTTCAGATGGGGTCTGCATCACGGGCAACTTTTAAATCAGTCAATGCACTTTCTAGCAGACAAGGCCAATGGAAGCAGATATTCAGGGAGGTGAATGCATTCACTAAACTGGGAGGTGCACAAGGGCAGATCACAATGACTCTGTTAGTCTGGGAGAAAGGACCAGCTCACAGCATGTGGCACGAGGCCAGCAGTGCCCAGAAAAGCACCCACTTTTCCCTAAAGCTCCTGAGTGCACTGGAGCCAGCCTGCCTGGGAGGGTGCCTCAATGCCCTTCTTCTGGCAGCAGCCCACCCTGCAGCCCTCAACACCAACCTGGGGCAATGGTGCAGCAGGTTGAGCCACAGCACACACCAGACATTATCTTCTTTGCAGGTAGATCTTCTACCTGCTTGAATATCTACACAGTTATTTCTCCTACTTTGAAATAATATATATTCACCTACTAGCCATCCCCTACCATGCATAGGGCCAAATTTGTGTCCACTCAAGGATCCCAGCAAACATATCACCCAAAGAAGATATTTCTACAATAAACAGAATTTCCATTTCCCAATCCATAGGAACTCCTGCTCAGCTCACAGTAAGGTTCCATGAGTCCCTGTACAGCACCTGCCTGCAAGTGCATCACATTTTGCTGTGAACTGACAATGCCTTCCAAGTATGACACTCATCCCCTACACATGCCCTGACAGCAGCAGCTCTGTTGAAAATGCCATCCTAGTGTATTCTGTCCAATAAAGTGGCTTAAATTGTATCAGCAAGATCTGGTTGTACCTGTGGCTGCATCTCCAAAGCAGTGATGTTGGTGCTCTGCTTTTTTAAGACAGATGAGCACTGATGAGTGATGATGTACACCTGTACCTCAACTCTCACATGGTCCAGATCACTACCAGTCAACACCATCACTTGCCAAACTCTGGACCATCTGGAATGTCCCAGCATTTTCTTCATGACCATTAGCAAAGTCCTGATGAACTCATTGGGAAGCAAAGCCCCTAGGCCCCAACTGTCCCCCAGCCCCTCTCCTGTCCTGGGTGCTGGTCACCCAGGGGTGTCAGTCTGTCCATGTTCTCTGGCTGCTGCTAGCAATGTCCAGCATGTCCGGAGGGAGCAGGAGGCTCCACGTAGGACCCATCACCCCTGGCCTGCCTTGGCCCTGCCACAGCTGTACCCTGCTCCACAGCCTGCCCACTGCCACACCACCCTGTGTACCCCGTCAGGGCCTGTGCTACCAGGGCGAGGGATGCCTTTCCTTCCTCCTTCTAGGGACCTGCTCCTCCTGCACTGGCTCTGCTGGCAGCATCTGTGCCCTTCTCTTTCCCAGGTCAGCTTTACTATACCAGAGATTTTTGTCTGACTCATTTCTTTTCACTATCAACTTCCCCATCCATGCACTTTCTATTTATTTTGTGTTTATTTGCATGGTGCTTTTGCTTCCTCACAGGCAAAGCAGTGGGCTTCAGCAGCATACTGTGCTGCCAAGAGCAGTGGAGATGCTTTTGCCCAGTGGGTGCCGGGTCTGGCCCAGCTCCAGAGGTGCCACGCTGCAAAACAGGAGCTGGGGGTGGGGGGAAGAAGGACAGGGCTGAGACATACCGGGCTGCCATGAGAGACCAGACCGTTCCTGGCCAGCTCTCGGTACTGCCCGAGGCAGAGCTGCACTGCGGGCAGGGAGGCAGGAGGGGCACACACCAGGATGCTGCCTCCACACCCGGGGCAGAGGAAAAAACACTGCAGAATGCTGGAGGCAGAGCAGCGGATCCCCATGCCCCACTGCAGGGTGGGGCGGGCGGGTCGCCAGTGCTGGGATGGCCGTGGGGTACAGCAGTGCTCTGGGGCAGAGCTGGGGAGCATCAGTGGGGTTGCTGGTCCCACACCGCTGGGCAGAGATCGGGTGCTGTGCAGGGGCCCGGCTCCCTGCCTCCCCAATACCCGGGATCCCGGGCGCGGCTCGGGTCCCGGCGGCCCTTCCCGGCCCCTGATCGCTCTCAGCGGACCAGGCCAGCCCCTGCAATGCCCGGACGGGGCACCGGCCCCAGCCGCGGCCCCCGAGGGACCTACCTTCCACCACGCCGCAGAGGAAGCGCGGCCGCCCCGCCATAGCCGCGCAGGAACGGTGCTGGGGCGGGCGGAGGGGGGCGCAGGGGGGGAATGGAGGGGTGCGCAGGGGGGGGATGGAGGGGTGCGCAGGGGGGGGATGGAGGGGTGAGCGGGAGGATGGAGAGGTGCGCGGGGGGGATGGAGGGGTGCGCGGGGGGGATGGAGGGGTGCGCAGGGGGGGATGGAGGGGTGCGCAGGGGGGGGATGGAGGGGTGAGCGGGAGGATGGAGAGGTGCGCGGGGGGGATGGAGGGGTGCGCGGGGGGGATGGAGGGGTGCGCAGGGGGGGGATGGAGGGGTGCGCAGAGGGGGATGGAGGGGTGCTCAGAGGGGGATGGAGGGGTGCGCAGGGGGTGATGGAGGGGTGCGCAGAGGGGGGAGATGGAGGGGTGCGCGGGAGGATGGAGGGGTGCGCGGGGGGGATGGAGGGGTGCGCAGAGGGGGATGGAGGGGTGCGCGGGAGGATGGAGGGGTGCGCGGGGTGTTGCGCGGAGGGGATGCGCGGAGGGACGGCTCCGCTGCCTGCCCTCCCCCCGCGAAGACGCGCCCGCCGCAGCGCAGGGGGCGGCCCCGGCGGGTGGGGCCGAGGGGGGGGGGGGGGGGCCGCCGCGTAGCCCACGGGCAAAGCCGCCCCGCGGAGGGCCGGGCTCTTCAGCCCGCCCTGGAGGTCGCCCCCCCAGGAGCTGCCCCTCGGCACCCCCGCCGGGCCGGAGCCTCCGCCGCCCTGCCCACGGGCTGGGGCCGGCCCGCTGTAGCGCCCGCTGCCCACGTCAGCCCCCAGCACCGTGTCCCCGGTGCCTCCAGCTGCGGGTGCTCTCCGAGGGCAGTTACTCCTCCCACCTTCACAGCCTCCCGGGACCTAACAGCCCCAGGCCCCAGAGCTGTTCCCCAGTGCTGGGGTGTCATTATCCCCTCATTTTCATCACTGAGCTGGCACTTTCCCCACCGGGACCCTCATGCCGGGCCAAGGGTGTGACGCCTGTCGGGCTCACCAGGTCCCTGAGATCAGGACTGTTCCATGTGCCCTGCACGTGACTCACCTGCTTGCATATGTCAGGCTGCGATTTCCTTTCCGTCACACTGCTCTGAGCTGTTGACACATGTTTGGCTCGTGATCCTCTCTGTCCCACAGGTTCTGGTTTGCGGAAGTGCTGCCACGTCATTAGTTCCCTATCCTGCAGCTGCAGTCAGTGGTACCTGCCTACATGCAGGACCGTGTGTTTGACATCACTGAATTGCTCTACTCTTTTTCTGATCACTTTTCCTGTTTGTCGGTCTCATTGCGAGGTGGACCTGTGGTCTCCAGAATCCCTGCAGCCTTCCCCAGCCAAATGGCATCGTAATCCAGAGAGCCAGTACACGGCTTTGTTACCATGCAGGTGTGAGGGATGGAGCCAGGAGATAGCAGAGATACACTGCCAAGTGCCCTCCCAGCAGCTGCCACCACCTGTAGCCATTTCATCCAACCCACAGGCATGGGCTTGCACAGAAGTGGTCGGAGGTCTAGAAAATTAGGATCTGTGGCATCTCCCTCTTCCCTTTGCAGGTTAATGTAGTGCTAGGCAGCCAAGTCACAGTGTCTGAGCCATCAAAGCAGCAAGGAGGCCAAGAGCAACTGACCAGCAGTGACCTGGCAGGGAAGAGGCCGTCGAAGTGCACTGCAGGCAAGTGAGGTCTGCCCAAAGCTCAGCAGTGTGGCATGGAGAGGGCTGTGCAAAGCAAGCAGAGCCCAGAGGACTTAAAGCCTCAGCCCCTGGACAGGAATCTCATAACCAGACTCACACACAGCAATAACAACTGTGTGCTGGGTGCGGGACAGACCATGACACTGCAGGAAAGGCAGCTCTGTGTTACCAGGCTGGGTTATTCGTGTGTAGGGAGCAACTGCTGGCACTTGCTGGGAACAGGCCATGCTCGTGCTTGCTCTTTGCCTTACAGCCTGCACCAGCCCCCGCCGTTTCGCTGCTGGGGAATGCTGAGTTCAAGCCTGGCCCTGTAAAAGGCTGTTGGGGCAGACTGGAGTGGCCAGCCATGGCAGGGGCACTGCTGAGAGTGGCCCAGTGCCCCTGGAGTGGCCACAGTGCCCGGGGACACAGCATGGCTGGAGGTAGGGAGGTGTGTACGACATTACCCTGTCCCAGAAGGCTGTCAGAGAAGGAAGTCAAGCACGGCTGTGCATACATGGGTGTGTTTGCTGTGATTCTTCCCCTTCCCTGTCGTCTCTGGGAGCACCTGCCCATTTGTTCCATGGGTTTCTTAGACTTTGAAGTTGAGCTAAGTGGCCTCTAATTCTTCACTTCCTTATTTTTCTTTTATCAAAGACAGGCACTGTGTCACTCCTTTTTTCCTGTTCTCTGAAACGTTGTCCATCCTTTACTGGTTCGCAATATTACCCTCACTTACCTTCAGTCCAGCCAAACTGCTATTTCCCGTTATCTAGCAGGAGCGTGCACCTCTGTCACTCACGTTAGCGGTGTTCACCGAGCAACCGCAGCCAGACTTTGAGTGCTGGGCAGGGCTGCCTTGCAGGGTGGCTGGCTGCACAGCTGGTGATGCCAGGGTCCTCCCACAAGGACTCGGGTGACTGCCGAGTGTGATTTACCTTAAGCCTTTTTTTGTCCCTGCTTGGGTCCCCCCGCACTTCCTCAGTGAATCCATTGAGCACTTGCGTCCTGTCACCTTCTGCTGTCCCCCCCAGTCCCAGCGGGACGGTGGGGCACACGGCCGGCTCAGTATCCTACCGCCGACACCTTCCTTTTTGAAGGTTTCCTTTCAATCCTTCGCGTTTCTTGCTAGTTACGACTCGTGTCGGTCGGAAGGCCCCCGTGGCTGGGGAAGGGGTGGCCGAGGCCCCGTCTCCTCCCCCCGCGGGTCTGGAAGCCGAGAGCCCTCCCGCGGGATGCGGCCGGCACGGCAGAGCGGCGCCAGCCCCGGCAGCGCCCCGCCGCTTTCCCGCCCGTGTCAGCGCGCCGCCGGTGACCCCCGCGGCTCCCGACCCGCCCGGCGCAGCCCCGCAGAGACCCCCCGGGCTGGGGACGGGGACGGTCCCGGACCCGGTGCCGGTGCCCGCCCCCCGCCCCCCGCCTCGGGACGTGGCTCCGAGCGCCCCGGCCCCGCCCCCCCGGCGGCGCGGGCGGCGGAAGCGCGCGGCGGGCGGCGGCGCGGGATGGACCCGCCAGCCAAGGAGGGGTCGCTGCTCGTGCAGCACAGCCACAAGTTCGGCACCAAGGTGGGCGGCCTGCGGGGGGGGCAGGGGGGAACCGGGACGGGACCGGACGGGACGGGACGGGACGGGCGGGCGGGCGGGCGGGCTCCTCCTCCTCCCTCCGGGTGCCGGCGGGCTCCGTGCCGCCGCCCCGGCCCGGCCCGCCGTCCCCGCTGCCCGCGGCTGGGCGCGCTGCCGGGCCGCCGACTGGCCGTGGGGGAGGCGAGGCCGGGACTCTGCCGGGCGCGGTGGGGCCGGTGCCCGCCGCTCGGCCCTGGCGGGGCGGGGCGGGGCGGGACGGGGCGCCCGGGCCGGCCGGCACCCCCGGGGCCGCCTCCGGCGAGCTGCCGCGCCGGCCGCCGCGCCCCACGGAGCCTCCCCTGCGCCCCGCCGCCGGGTGTCCCGGGCCCGCCGTGACCCCGCTGCCTTGCAGAGGTGGAAGCGGAGCTGGTTCGTGCTGTACCCTGCCAGCCAGCACGGCGTCGCCCGCCTGGAGTTCTTCGACTGCAAGGAGCCGTCGGCGCCGCCCGAGCGGCTGGGCACCCGGCGGCTGGACAAGACGGTGGTGCGGCTGGCCGACTGCACCAGCGTGGGCCCCGTGGCCGAGAGCGGCCCCCGGGCCGGCACGGCCGTCTTCCGCCTGGAGACCAGCGACAGGAGCTACCTCTTCGCGGCTGACAAGCAGCAGAGTGAGGAGTGGGTGGCGAAGCTGTGCGAGATCGCCTTCCCGGTGAGCCCCCGGGGCGAGCGGAGGGGCGTCGCGGGCACCGGGGCCTGGCCATGGCAGCCCTCGAGGAGAGGGGCTTCACTTGGCAGCCCGCACAGGGCAGGGGAGCGTGTGCGGTGGGGGTGGTGGCGTGACCCCTTCCCAGCACCTGGCCCTGGGGCTCCAGTCCCCTCTCAATAGCTCCCACTGTGCTAGCAGCCAGGTGGGTTACAGGACCCTTTGGCATGCTGTCAGTAATTCTTGGTGGCAGCTCCAAATTTCAAGTCGGTCTCTTCTTCCCCGCTGCGGAGCCTGTCCTCGCCCTCTCCGGAGACCTGGCAGGGCCCAGGTGATGGCTGAGCAGCGTTTCCTCTTGGCCCAGCCTCCACTGCCTTTCCTGCCACAGCAGAAGCAGAGCCGTGAGAGCGTCGCAGTGCCTGGCTCTGGGACGCACCTCTGGGCAGCACAACTGGTGCACCCTCTCGCCTTAGCCTTGGGGCTTGATCCTGCCTGCTGCTGGGAGCACCCCAACGGTGCCGGGCTGGTGGCACAGCCTTCAGGCTCCCCGTCCTCTGCCTGCACTCCCATAGCAGCTCTACAGCCTTCCTGAGCTGGTGGTCATCTCGCATGACGCCTCCCTGCGAAGGCATTTTGGTCGATGGGTGGCCTGCAAGTACAGTCACCCCCACCATTCTGTAAGAGCAGCCCGTGCCTGCCCTGCCCCATGGGTCCCTTGCTCTCCTTCCTAGGAGATGTTCCCACAGCCCTGGGTTGTGCTCTAGGCGATTCCAGACTTTGAGTGCTGGGCAGGGCTGCCTTGCAGGATGGCTGGCTGCACAGCTGGTGATGCCAGGGTCCTCCCACAAAGACTCTGGTAATTGCTGAGTGTGATTTACCTTAAGCCTTTTTTTGTCCCTGCTTGGGTCCCCCTGCAGTCTGCTGTCAAGCCAAATGTGTCTGTGCAGCAAGCGCCCTGCTGACCAGGCCAAGAGGCTCTGCCATGGTACTGGAAGTCACTCTGGGTCCATGCCATGTCTGTTTGGTACAGACAGTGTTGCAGCCTTTGTTCTGGAAATGGTTGGTGGGGTCGAGCTAGGAACACAGAACACACCTTTGGAGTGGTGCAGGGTAGCAGCAAGGCAGAGGAACATCGACTCAGAGCAGGGGTGTGCTCATACCTTCCTTCATATGGTAGCTGTCAGTTGTTTGAGGTCCAGAAGCAACCTGACAGTTTAGGAAGTGTGGAGCAAAAGGCTACAGGAATAGCACGTGTTCTAGAAAGGCCTGGCCTAGAGAAAAAGGCAGAGGAGCTGCACATGGCCTCTCTGCAAAAAGCTCAAGATCCTCAGTTGTGATTTTTGGTCTTCTGCATAGAGATAGTGATTTTGTGTCGTGTTGTTTTGTTGCTGCCCAGAAGGTATGCAGGGTCCAGTAGCTTGGGAGCTAGGTCCAGAGATCATTTGGAGTTCAGAACAGAATTTATTTTTCTTTTGAAGATGAGGCAAAATACAGTCAAATGGAGCCCTAAAGGGCTCTTTCAAATTGGCCTTCGACTCCTCTATCCCAGGCTGGAACCCTGCTGCATTAGATGCTTTATCTGAGCAGGAGCTGCTGCTATCAGCAGTAGGACACTAGGTTTTAGCAGTCCCCGTTTTACTTAGGAGCCAAACAATTAGGAGCCTGATGGCCCCTTTTGGGCCCTGCCTCTTGTTCAGAAGGTTGAAGCTTGCTGAAGCAGCTCTTGCAGGTCATCTGTGGGCCTTTCATTTGCCAGGGGCTTCCCTGGAGGAGGATCTTTGCTATTGAGTGGTAGCACTGAAGGTGCATCCTCCCACACAGGCCTTTTGGGGACCCTGCTGCTGGGACACGGTTGCTGACAGTGTGTGCGTTGCACTTTCAGTTCTGCATGCACTAAAATAGAAGTGCTTGCTTCCCTTCTGCGGGCTGTGTACCCATACTGGCACCGCCTTCCTGCTTGCGCAGTAGCAGGACACAAACCCTTGCATTACCGGGTGGTCTCATCAGCCCCCTCCCTTGCTCGTACGGCTGGGAGCGTGTGCCTGGGCCCATGGGATGCTTTGGGTGCTGACGTTGCCTGTGGTGGAGCACATCAGTGGGGAAGCAGAGCTGTTCTCTGCATTGGCATGAAGGCACCCACACAGGCATGCCATAGCAGTCAGGCAGGCAGCAATGGAGTGGGCACATGGGACCCCCAGGTGCTGCCCCACAGAAGGCTGTATCTCAGTGCTGGCTTGTGCTGTGAGACAGGGTCTGGGGAGTAGGGCTGCCGGGAGTAACTGCTTTCTCCTGCACTCTGTCCAGTGCACAGCCCAGCTGTGGCCCAGCGTTGTGCAGGGAGCTGCAGGGAAGCCCCTCCTGCACTGCCTGGCCCTGTTCATGTCTGTTTGGGGCAGGTGGGCCCTGGGGTCTGTCACTGCCTCTGGGCAGGGAAGGGCTTGGTATGGCTGTAGGATGGCCAAGCTGTGTGGGGCTGGGGTAGGCCCCTTGGGGAGGGCAGCGGGGCCCAGGAGATGCGGGGCTGGGAGGGCAATGGCTGCAAGGGGACCCAGGGGCGGACGTAGGAGGAGCGGTCAGGGGCTGATCTGCTCTCCCTTATCAGGGAAATGGCCCCAGTGATGCTGGCGTGGCAGCTCGGCGTGTCAGAGAGGACAGCAGGGACGCACCAGCCCTGGAGATGGCGGTGAACTCCATCTACTACTCGAGAGACGAAGGTGGGACCTGCCTCTGCTCTGACTTTGGGCCACCTTCTGCAGGGCCTGTCCTGCTGCTGCCCCATCACTGGGGCTTTGGTGGGCAGAGTGAGGCCTCACCTAGGGCTAGGGATGCGGCTTCCTCCACCCTGCCCTGAGCATCCCTGTCCCCACAGTGAACGCTTTCTGGGTGACGGTGCAACGGACTGAGGCTGCGGAGCGATGTGAGCTGCGCGGCACCTACATTCTCAAGGCTGAGCGTGACAGTCTCGTCCTGAAGGACCCACGGACAAATGAGATCCTCTATGTCTGGCCGTACCGGCTGCTTCGGAGATATGGTCGGGACAAGGTAGGGAGTGGGGGGGAGCGGGGCCCTGCATGCCGTGCACCGAGGGCTATTTCCCTGCAGGCTTTCCCTTGCCGAAGGGTAAGGAGCTGATGTGCCTGACCAGCCTGTGGCAGCCGTGCAGCTCTGCCAAATGCCAAAACTGCTATAGCCCTCGGCAACCACAGCAAGTGTCCCCAGGGGCATCTGTGGTCCTGTTATATCCTTGGTTCCTGCCTGTGCCACTGTGCAGGAGCATGGGCTAGCAGGACACCTGTCCCCACCAAGAGCACGGCTGTACAGAGCCTTTCTCTGTGTAATCATTGCCTCACTCCCACTGGGACCGTTGCAGCCCCAGTGGCCAGCCGGCCCCTCTGCCGGACATCTCCACGGCTGGCTTGCCCCCCTTCTCCATTCCAGCGCTCCCCAGCCTGTGGTGTGGGCAGGCATATCCTTCCGTGCTGCACACAAGCTCTCCCCAGCCTCCAGGGACCTTGGCTCCCTGCAGTCCTGGCTCTGCCCTGGATTCAATCCATCCCTCTGAAAGGGTGGTAGCCAGAGCAGGAGGGGCTGTCAGTTACTCTGGATTTCTTCACCCTACAGGGTAAACTGCTCTTAGCCTGGCTAACCTGCGTAGGTCTGTCCCCTCTCCAGTGTCCACCAGTCCTTGATCTGTCTTGCTGCTACCCTGAGTGCAAGAGGTACCTGCTGCACTGGACGGGGAGGAAGTGGTCTCCTCAGGGCTGTTTATAGAAGTGACGGTGTTGGCTGCAGTCTGCTGATGGTGCTTTCTGCGGCACTTTACCAAAACAGAAGTGGAAACTGAGCTGCTCTTGGGGAGGCATCTGGCTCATCTGCAGGGGCAGGATGATAGCCACATGGTATAAGGAGCAGGGAGCTGCACCCACAGGTCCCAGAGCGGTGACAGCTTGGCTGTGCTTGTGCTTGGCAGTGCTGACCCACAAAAGGAAGTCTGTCCCCAGAGGCTTTTGTAGCAACCCCAGAGACTGCTGCTGCATGTGCAAGAGCACCAGTGAGGCAGAAAATATCACCTGGATTCAGGGACTGAGGTTCAGGAAGGGTGTGGGCAGCTGCCAGTGGGAACCTGTGCGTGAGTGTGTGCTCAGGCCTGAGGAACACAGCCTTGGTGCAAGACTTCTCTTTAAAATACTTTATAGCATTAACAGAATAATGCTGGTAAGGCAAATGCTTTGCTTACTATTGGTAGCCAAGCTGCTGCTTCTGGCCTTTTTCCCGTGGAAAGCAGCATTCTTCCGTCTTGTATTTCTCATTTCTGGATCGCTTCCCTCCTGCCCGACTAATGCTGACTTACCCAGGATGCCCGTAAGAGTTTCCCCTGCTGAACTGTCACTCTTCACACCTTTCTCCATTCTCAATGCTAACTGCGTATTATTTTCTAGACTATCTGGTGCCAGCTGACCCTGGTGAAATTGCTCAGGTAAGGTGGCAGATCTCCAGCAGGACCTGCAGCTCTGGCCCTGGAGCATCACTCGGTGACGTCCCCTCAAGTGTGTATCTCGCTCCAGTTTCACAGCTTGTTCTGACTGGCTGGGCAGCGCAGCCTCCCCCTGCCCACGTGCTGTGAGGCTGCTGAGCGCAGCATCCCCTGGGGTGGTGCTTGCTGAGCTGTGGCGCTCAGTGTGGGGAGCAGAAGGAACAGGATGTCCAGCGAAGTCTTTTGCAGGATGTGCGGGATCAGCACTGCAGTCACGTGCCCTTCAGCAGGAAGCACAGTGTGCTGGGTTGGCAGGTGCTGAGCAGGATGTGACCCTTCCGCTTCCCCTGCAGGTGATGTTCTCCTTCGAAGCTGGCAGGCGCTGTGACTCCGGCCCAGGGAACTTCACTTTTGAGACCAAGCAGGGCAACGAGATCTTCCGCCTGGTGGAAGCCTCCATCCGGGAGCAGAAAGCGCAGGTGGAGGAGAACCGGCAAAGCTGCGACTCACTGGATGCAGACAGCCCCAGCATGGTGCTGATCCGCCAGGCCCTGGCCGACTCCCTGACCCTGGAGCTGCCCGCAGAGGGGGATGATGCCCTGGCACCCAAAGTGGGACTGGCGCCCCGGCCCAGCGCAGTGCCAGAGGAGAGAGACGTCACGTCTCTGCTGAAGACCCGGACTCTTCCAGAGCTCCCTGTGCTGCAGGCCAAGCCCGTGGTCCTGAGCACACCCCCACGCTCCCCTCTGCCAAAGGTGCCCCACGCCGTGCTGCTGGCTGAGGACCTGTCCAGCGTGTACTCGGAGCCCCTGGACTCGGTGAAGGGCTGCCGGCCCTGGCTGGACCCGCTGTACTCAGACCCCATAGACACCAAGCCTGCGAGTGGGGCCAAGGCACCCAGCAGTGCCTCGGATGAGACGAAGCCCCGGCTGCCAGCGCCGCTGTACTCGGGCATGTACGACCAGGTCCAGGCTGAGGGACGCAGCCAGACCCCTGCAGTGCCCGGGCGGAGGGAACACATCTATGATGAGCCCGAGGGTCGTGCTCCCCGCTCGCTGCCCGCCCCCACCTGCATCTACGACGAAGCACGGCCCACGGGCGAGGCCTGGCGCACCCAGGGCCACGACGGCAGGGGCGGCTACGAGTATCCCTACAACCCCAGCACGGACGACTATTCGGTACCTGCCTTCCAGGCCAAGGCCAAGGGCCCCAAGCCGGTGCCTGCCCCCAAGCCCCAGGCAGCCTTTATCCCTAAAAGCGCTGAGAAGAGTGGGGACCCTGGCAGGCGGCGAGGGAATGCAGCTCCTGAGAAGGTGGTTGTCAAACCCAGCCTCAACAGCAGCAACAACAACAACAACATGGAGGTGCTGTACAGCCAGGTGGTGAGGCCCCGGCATGGGCAGAAGAAGGAGCAGTCTGTGGATGAGTGCAGCTTGTCGCCTGTCTACGAGGACTTAGGAGAGATATAGGGTGCTGCTGCTCTGTACCTGCCCAGGAGGGGCTGGGGGGCCCAGGCCCATTCGTGAACAGTGCTGGCTGCTGTCCTCCGTGGGTCCTGGGGGTGGCTTGTGGTTGCGGACTGTTCTGGCTCAGGCAGAGCCCCTCTTGTTCACCAGCACTGAGGGGCTGCGTTTCCCCGGAGGCCCTTTCCATAGCAAGAGCAAGATACCTGTGGCTGGTGCGGGTGCCAGCACGCTTCTCAAGCTCTGGAGCTGGCTCCACTGCCACCTCATCTGCAGGAGGGCTGGCTCTGTCACCCTGTGCCTGCTTCTCTTGGCTCTGCTCTGGCTCCCTCTCTGACAAGGCTGCAGGGCTGGGATGCCTGTTGTGGTGCATGGGAGACTGCTGTCAGTCTCCAAAAGTATTTTTATACAAAATTATTTTAATATTAAAAGCTGTCTTAGAATGAAACTCTTGCCTGTGGCATGTCTGGACTGTCAGGCATATGGATGGGGAGATCCGGGCGCAGTGCGGTGGAGCAGGGTGGCCCGGCTGAGCAGTGTTCACGTATTGGCATGGTTGTGTCTGTGCCAGAGCTACTGAGCTAAGAGGAAACCATGAAGAAAAGCACGTGCCAGGCTCAGCTGTGGTAAGGATGCCCTGATGCCAGAGGATTAAGGCGCATGAGAGTGCAGGCTTGCAGATACCTTTTATGTGGTGATCTGGGCACAGAATCTTGTGATGGCCTCCAAGTGTAAGGCTGAGCAGGGCCAGGCTGCAGCTCTGCTGCAGCTCACTCGGTGTTGATTAGTGTCATGATCTCTTATTCCCCAGCCTGATCCCTCTGCTGATTTTTTTCCCCCTGTTCCCAGCTGCTCTTGAAAGGCCTGGGATGGCCCAGGCTGGATCCCATTGTCTTTAATGTCAAAAACTGTGTGGTCTGAGGCCAGGGGTTTGGCTGTGATTGCTGTGTGGCCAGCCTTGGGAAGAATCCTGTGCAGGGGAAAACCAGATTGTCCTTTTGGTGCTGGTAATGGTTTTGAGAGACTTTATGTCCCGTCTGTATGGGGCTAGACCAGGCACCCTGGCATTTGCTGTCCCTGAGTCTGGACAGGGCTACTGATGACTTCTGCAGGTTTACCAATCTGTTGATATAGACAGCAACAAAACAGCCAGCTGACAAGCAGCCCTGTGATGTACCTGTGGAGGCGACTAAGCGTGACTTCTGCAGCCCCAGCTCAGACCCAGGGAGTCACAAAACCATCGGGGAAGTCTGGAGGATCAGGTTCAGGCCCCCAGGCTGGTGAGATGGTGACAAGGTGGTGAGCTTTGACTAGGCATTTGTCTGATGCCCAAGTTGCAGGGGGGAAGCCTCAGTCCTGTGTCCTGTAACAATACAGCACAGCTGTAGCCAGGACCACTTTGTGGCTGTTCTCTTGTGCTGGGTCCTCCCCCACTGGGGTTTTGCTGCAGGAAAAGTGAAAAAGCCTAAGGGGCTTTGGGAATCTGGGGGAGGTTGAGGTGGCTCCGGCCTGGCATGAGAAGCATGAGCAGCAGGCATCTCAAGAGCAATTCTGCCTGCCTTCTCCAGAGAAGAGCTCTGGGTGTTGCTTAGCAAGGGCCTAGGCCGCCTGCCCATGATCCTTGCTTGTGACTCCAGTGTGAGGCTCCAAGACTAGATGAAGAGCAGCCTCCACTCCCCTTCCATATGGCCATGGGTACTTGTGCATCTTCATCACTGCAGTCACTATCTCAGTGCACTGTGTTTGCAGCGTCCTGTGGAGCTGAGCGTGGCGGATGTACAAAGTGGCCAACTCAGCTTTCACTAAAGAGGGCAACTGTGAGAAAGGAAAATGCTTCAGCATCTGTGCCAGTCCAGTGGTCACTGCACAGCCCTGCACGCCTCTTGACTTGGAGGAAAGGATACTTACTTTTCTTGCTTCAGCAATGACATCATCTCTTGTAACAGCCTACCTGAGACTAAGATGTAAGTGCACAAGATGGGAGGAATGCTCCTACACGTGGCCTGCTTTATTTATGCACCCTGCCACATGACAAAGAAGTGTGTGCAGTGGGGAAGGGTCTTAGTCTCTGCTGATTGGAAAGAGACAGTCTGTTCTTTCCTGGCTTAGTGTTGTGGACAAGACCTGTCATTTTGCTCAGACTGCTGCTGTGTGCTTTACCTTATCTCCTTTCTGTCAGCAGTTCAGGGTGTAATAGATGCTTTGGGAAAGCATAAGAAATAAGGTAAATACAGAGTGAGCCTTTGGCTGGTCACAGCCTTCCTGTTGTCAAAGCAAAAGTCAGCAATGAACCCTGACTTTAGGACCAGGAGATGATCTTTCTGGATTCTGCCTAGATTAGGATTTCTTCTGTCTGCCTTCACAGAATCACAGGATGGTTTGGATTCAAAGGGACCTTAAAGCCCCCCCAGTGCCCCCCCTGCCCCGGGCAGGGCCCCCTTCCCCCAGCCCAGGGGGCTCCCAGCCCCGTCCAACCTGGCCTTGAACCCTTCCAGGGAGGGGGCAGCCACAGCTTCCCTGGGCACCCTGTGCCAGTGCCTCATCACCCGCACAGGGAAGAATTTCTTCCTTACATCTAATCTAAATCTGCCCTCTCTCAGTTTAAAACTTTTACCCCTTGGCCTGTCACTACAGGCCCTGGTAAAAAGTCTGTCCCCATCCTTCTTATAAGCCCCCTTTAGGTATTGAAAGGTGGCCAGATGGTCTCCCTGGAGCCTTCTCTTTTCCAGGCTGAACCCCCCCAACTCTCTCCGCCTGGCCTCACAGGGGAGCTGCTTCAGCCCCCCGATCGTTTTTGTGGCCCTCCTCCTTTTCCTCTCCTTTGTCTCACTTCCACGGTCCCCTTACAACTAATTTCCATGTGTTTAATCAGTGAAGCACCTGGGTGCAGCTCAAACACAACCATGGCACGTCGCTGTGGTTGTGTGCCATGGCAGAGTTCAGTCTCTGTACTTGGAAAATGGTATCCTGGCAGCCGGTCCTGAACAAGGCTCTGCTGAGGTGCTTGGGGATGCATGGCTTATGCTTGGCTGCTCACTCTGTTTTCTTACAGTGCAGAAATTGTCCTGGACAAGCAGCTTTGTTTGCTTCTGCCCAGTACAGGTGCTATGGGCCGGATTGGGTGATCCTCTGGATATCAAGACTTCCTCACATGAGGACAGACTGTGTGCTTCCCTGTTCTCTGCTAAAAGCCCATGCCCCGGATTAGCTGAGACACATCAGAGTACAGGTTTAGCAGCCAGAGCCGGGATGCAACAGAAGAAGTAGTCTTGGTCTATCTAGGCCAGGTGCAGCTTTTACCAGAAGAAAATTACTTGGGAGCTACTCACAGGCCAAGCAACCTCTTCCCCTTGGGGCTACCTTTTTCTCTTTCTCGTTCTGAAAGGTATGTTCTTTTATAATGGCTACCGCCTCCCCTTTAGGGCCTAGTGTGGTGCAGACATGAGACAACTGTTCTGCCAGGATATCCTTTCTCACACTGGCATTAGGGAAAGCACCCAAGTTCCTTCTGGCTGTCAAGAGTTGGTCAGAGCAACAGTGCAGTTATTGCCCTGCTTCACACTGTGGTGATCTAGTGGAGGGCCTTTCAACAGGGACCCCCAAACTGCCCCGATTTTGTGATTTGCTTCCCCTCATAGTCTTTTTCTTCTTCTCAAGTTTCCCCTTTAGCAGCTTCTTTCTATCAGCAATAAATCATAAGCCCCTGTTTACCACTTCCCATCGGCAAGGTGTTTTGTTGACTTTGTTCCCCAGTTTAGTATTTATTATATGGTTACCAAAGTAAATTCCATCTGCATCATCAGTTCAGTCAAGCTAATCCACCGTTGTGTTGTGTTGTGCCACATATACATCCCTCAGCCCGCCTGATTTTGTCACTTGCGTATTTTCTGGTTGGCATGCACCAGGCTGGGCCGTTTATATGTGTTACTGCCCTTTGCTACTGCTCCTTCCACAGTTCCCTGTGTTCTGAGCTTGCTGGAGACAGGCAGGGGTTAGCCACCAGCTTCCATACCCTAACAAACCCATATCCCCATGTCTGCAGGGGTGTCTGCCCTGTTCTCAAGGTACCTGCCCTGGACATCTCACCCCAAGCAGCTGCCTGAGATGCAGCCTCATGCCAAGCATGGAGTGTTGCCGAGGCATGGGAAGAGCAAGTCCATGTCCTGGGTGGCTAGCAGGGCCTGTTACTGAGCTGGGATCCCAGGGAAATGAGGTGGCTCCAATGGCTCCACTCTCCTGCTGTAGCAGTTCCCCTGGGAGCACGGTGTTTGCATTGTGCCCTTGGTCATCTACTGCTGTTTCTCAGGAAGTACACGTCAGTGCTGGGATTGCTGCACACAGTACACATTATAAACTACAGACAGTAAGTGAACATTATGGTGGATAACTTTATTTTGAAACAGCTTGTCAGAATGCAGTAAGTAGAACACAAACCCTTGCTAGTGCTCGGCATACAGTTAGCCTAGTGACACCACCCTGCTTCAGCTGAGCTGAGCTGCCCTCAGCTCCTTCCCTGCCAGGGGCAACTGTCCTATGTCTGCATTGAAAAACAGGCTAGCACCTGTGCAAGCACTGGGCAGAAGCTCTCTGGAAAGCTCCAGGACAGCTCACCCCATCTCCTGAACCCTGCCAAAATGTACTTGCCATGTTGTCTTGCAGACAGCCCCATAGGCACAGATGGGCCATAAGGAGAGGGGCGTCCAAGCAGCAGTTGGCTGGGAGAATGGTGCTGTGCTGCAGTTCCAGCTGTGGTAAGCTGTCACTGTGTAGGAGCCAGCCAGGGCATTACGACTGTTACAAACCCCTTCATGAGCTGGGGAGTTGGACAGTGAAACCAGTTACAGAAGCAAGCAAATCGGCATCATCATGGATAGTGCTGCTCTCAGTGCGGCAGTGTTCTGGGCTTTAAGATTGAATTCATAAGCCCTGTTTTATTTATATATAAGGCCTATTGAAATGCCCTGCTAAACCTGCTCCTGCAGGATGAGGGCAGCTTGACATTACTTCCTACTTTATGTTTGACTTCCTCGCTGCCCTGCTTGCAGCTTTTCTGTACCCGCTGACAGCAATCTGTGGTTTGTGGCCTGTCCGAGCCTAGTCTCAGAAACCAAAATTTGAGGCATGCTGGTGATGTGTGGCTGACAAAAATAGGAAATACAGGGTGTTGCAGGGATAGCTGAATCTCTGGACAGAGGGCTCCAGAGCAGCAGGCTTCCTGCAGACTGACTTGGTGACTAACAAAACCATAAAACAACATGGAGGAACAAACAACGGGAAGTGCCTGTCTGACCAAGGCTGAGCTTAGTGTCTCGCCTGACCGCTTCCGGCCTGGTGCGTAAGGCTTGGCAGCTGCGCAAGAAGCCAAGCCGTGACTACATGTGAGCAGGCTCAAGCAATACACTGGGGTTCACTGCAGGAACTCATCGTACTCTTTGGGGAGCAGGGAGCGCTCACAGGAATATCTCCTCACTGCTGCTGGTCTGAACACTTGGACAGGAGAAGGAGCCATCAGAAGGGGTGCCACTGTGGCTTTGGCTCTGCTCTGATGCTGCAATACAGGGACAAAATACAAATGAACCTTGTGGGAGGAGGCACTGGTTTGCCCAGCAGTGTGCTGTCCAACCGTGTCTGCATGTGCCAGCTGTCCAGCATCCCTCTCCTCAATTGCATGAGTTTATGCTACACCCATCCATCTGCTCTGCCAGCTGCATGTGAACGTTGCCCTGCCATATGCTGCTTTCCCTGTACTGCTGGGGTACCAGGGAGCTGCCCTCAGCCTTTCTGCAGGAAGCAGACCAGAAGGGCAGAACAGAGAATATCTAGGCTAGTCAAAGGCAAGAGACATACCTGCTTGGGTTGATGCCGCTCTGGTCGCTGGTCCCTGGGCTGGGCCTGCTGCCAGTGCAGAGGTTTGTACAACATGCTTTTCAGGTATTTGTAGAGGTTGCTTTTTATGTGCAAGGGGTTATAAGCAACTTCCACTTCCAATCTGTTCAGGGCACTCTGCTCAGACAGAAGAAAGAACATAGTGGCTGTGAGATGTGAGAGATGTAGAGGCTGTTGGGTTTGCTTGTGTTTTTTTGTTGGTTTTAGTGGCGAGGGCTTTTTTTGGAGGGATGAGTGTTACAGATACTCTGTGCCACCCTGCAGTGAAGGGAGAAGGAATCTTTGGCTGTGCTGCTACCCACAGACCGTGCTTAGCTGTGTATAGAACAAGAGGCATCTGCAATCAGCTCTTAATGGATTTAAGCATGCCCTTGCAGGATGCAGTCCTATCCTCCCCTCATGCCCAGCATCAGCCAACAAGCTGGAACACCCTTCGTGGGTGCCACCACTCTCAACTCTCTGCTTCATAAGGCCTCTTCTCCCTACCCCCAACAGACATGCAACATGGCTCCAAAGGACAGGCATTTCCTTTCTGTGAAGAAAGCTGTAGGATATATTGGCTGCTAGGAAGTTTTGGATTGCTCCATCATATTCCAGCTCCCACTAGACATTTTCACAGACGTTTCCTCCTCTACTCATCTGCTAAGACCTATAGTGAGGGTTCTGCCCTTCTTGGTGTCACCTGAAGCAGAGGCAGACAACTCAGGAAAACGTATGGATGCACAATAGGAAATGTAGAAGCCCGAATCTATTGGAAGAAATAGAGACACCTTATCTATTGATTTATCTTACGCCTAAAGCACCTCTCTGTGCAGTCTGAGGAGAACCATATTCCCCAGCAATGAGGGAAATAGATAGATACATCTTCAGCATCAGCTGCATGTCCTGTGCATAAAGGCTGATTGTTACTCCGATCCCTGCTTGTACAACTGGGATCCTTTCCACAGGTATTTGGGCAGGGCTGTCAATGACTTACCTCTATAGGGCCATGCACACTCTCAGGATGTTCACCAAGGAGGGCTGGGAAGGTTGATGGCAGCAAGAGCTCTCTGATGGCCACTGCTTTGACAAGTAGAGAGGCAGAGTCGGAAGGAACAATGATGTAGTAGGAATGCACCATGATGTTCCAGTTTGGGCTTGTGTTCTGTGGCTCACGTTTAGCCAAAAGCATCCACTTCCTTTTCTAAATGGCAAAATCCAAACCCAGTGTGAACAATGGGCAGTAGCCACTTCCTTCAGCACTTTCACTGTAGCGGCTGCTGGGTTCAGGAGCAGAGACATTCATACACATCAGAATAAGAACACTATTCTGCATTATGGTTGAGGATAGTATGTTGTTTGGTTTTGTTTTTTCATTGAATGGAAGACAATTCTTAAGAAAAATATCCAGTTTTGCTTTTTGCTTTACCACTTGTCAGTAATGGAAAGTTCTCAGTATCTTGAGCCTCGGTTAACTATTTTCACAATTAAAGATGCATGTCTAACTCCAGCCCTGACTTTTGCACTTCATACTTCCAAACACTGTATTTCTCATAGGCTAGGGGGTCTTCTCTAAGGTTTGATATGCTGTAGTGTCTTTCCAGTGGATGTATTGTCTGGAAGGATTTACAAGCCCAACTCAGGCCCATGAGATGAAGCTGCAGCTTTTGAAACATGTTTTCTGGTGCAGGCTAGACAGATAATACTAGATATGCACTAACTATTCCTTTCAATGCCAATCCCTCCCCATGAGACTGCAATTTTCACACACTCACCAGAAGACTATGACATAGAGCATGGAAGCTGTGCTGATTTATCTCCAGATCATCCCAGTCTAGCTGCCAGCAGCTTGTGGGCTTGATGATGAAGGGCAGGCCATACAGTACAGACTCACAGACCCCTTCAGACTTCAGAGCCCTGCAAATATACAGCTCACGTTAGTGAAGCACAGACAACATGCAACCAGCAAGAAGACTGCCAGGAGATGACTAGCTCATGTGGCTATGGCAGTAACAGCTACACTACTAATACATGCACTTAATGTCTGTGTTTCTGTGGCCTGTCAATATGAAACCTTGCAGAAAAGTCCAATTGCAGTGAAAAGAGGCTTTCTTGCCGATTTCCAGATTCCCTTCTATCTGCTTTGACAAAAGCATGCCAAGAAGCAAATTCAATCTTCATGCATTTTGTATACAAAACAGATTGTTAATCTGGCCTCTTGGGCAATAACTCACCCAGACAATTACATCTCTTCCAAAGTGATTTTTACTGGATTATGGTTATCCTTTGCTTAAACTGACATGTGCTTTACTCCTGCACAGAGCCAACACCCCAACACAAACACCACTATGGACTTTGTAGTGCTTGATGTTGCCTGTCCATAGCACACTTCTGCTTCATGACAAGGCATTATTGAGGAACTTCAGTGCTTTGGCTGTGGGCCATTTATGCACAATTACTGAGTGCTCTTCTGCTACTGACAAGATGAGAATAATTTTAAGAACAACTGTCGTATAGTTCAGAAATTATGCAAGATTGTTCCCATAAATAAACCTCAGAAAAGACACTAAAGAGCATAATTTTTCTTGTTATGTTCTGTGTTTACCAGCCATAGACAGGAAAGTGAATAAATTTTTACGTGAAGTCACACAGCACTATGAGGCTTTGCTTGCTTTTTTACTACTAGTCAACTAGTTAGCTCAGGCTCTGACATCCAGTTAATTGCTGTGGCCTCATTAGGTAGTGAGAGAAGGGCAGAATTATATATGGAGCAATGTCTGCAATCTACAGAGCTTAACACGGGAGGGCAAGAAACAACTGTTACATGAATAACATCTATGGTGTTACACTCATAAAGTGCTAGTGTCATGGTAACACCGTTTTTGACTCTGCACTCCTGTCTGCATGTATGGGATGTGCTGTTCCATAAGACTGAGTTACAGGGGTTGAGGGTATCTTGCATCAGAATTTTACTCACTAGCACCTTGAATCCCCCAGAGCTTTATGGTGATGTTATTAGGTCCTAGCTGAAATTGCACAGAAAGAGTGAAGGTTGCTTATTATACCAGCCTTCCCAAGCACAACGCATGTAACAACACTTACTTTACAACCCGGAGTTTATACAGTACTGTAGCTGGCCAGGCTGCCATCTGGCAGGGTGAGTTCAAATCTGCTCTCAAGGTGCCATCAACCATCCCAGAAAGTAGAGCTGGGTCGAGCAACCTCTCCTGCAAATCGCACTTCAGGCACACTAGGAGAAGGAGATTGGTTTAGATTGCTGGAAGTGCCAATGTTTAATACATGACATGTTCAAAGCACTTACAAACACTAAGTTAATGTTTTCTAGCAACAGCAACTGTTAAGGGAAGAACAACACTAAAGCCCGCGACAAAGCCACAATCTATCCCTAGGTTACACACAAGGGGAAATACCACATGCTTGGCAGTCCTGAAACAATGATTGGTTGGTAACTGGGCAGGCACGTTCCAGTTGTGGGGATAAGTGGCCAGCTGTAGAGGGAGCAGAAGCTCATTTCCCAGTGCCACACTGGGTTCAGGGCCACACATCTGCCAGCTTTTTTATCTGTGTTTGTGGAGAAACCCAGCACACTGATGACAATAATTCTGGTATATGATGATATATGGCTGCATACAGTTCCTCTGGCCTTTAACAGATTTCTTGAGTGTGGGAAGGTAAAAAAACCTGACTGCAGTGTAAGTTGGTTTGTCTTGCTAGCTATAATTAGACAATGCATCAAGTATGATAATCAATGTTATGATGAAGAAAAATCCATCTTTAACAAAATATCACAATTGTCTGTGCTGGTCTGTAGGCTGTTATGGTAGCTACTGTAGCTACTACATAAATAAAAAGTCACACCAGGCTTTCTGATCTGCTTCCTGTGGAGCATATCGGCAAAATCATAGAACCATAGGATGGTTTCGGTTGGAAGTCACCTCAAAGCTCCCCCCCAGTGCCCCCCCCTGCCCCGGGCAGGGCCCCCTTCCCCCAGCCCAGGGGGCTCCCAGCCCCGTCCAACCTGGCCTTGAACCCTTCCAGGGAGGGGGCAGCCACAGCTGCTCTGGGCACCCTGGGCCAGCGCCTCCCCCCCCGCACAGGGAACAATTTCTGCCTTATATATAACCTAAACCTACTCTTTTTCAGCTTAAAACTGTCCCCCCTCGTCCTACCCCCACCCCCTGACCCAGAGTCCCTCCCCCCCTCTCCTGCCCCCCCTTTAAGCCCTGGGAGGCCGCTCGAAGGGCTCCCCGGACCCTTCTCTTCTCCAGGCTGAACCCCCCCAACTGTCTCAGCCCGGCCCCCCAGGGGAGCTGCTCCAGCCCCCCCCAGCATCTTCGTGGCCTTCTTCGGACACACTCTTGCAGGTCCACATCCTTCTGATCTTGGGGGCCCCAAAGCTGGACACAGCACTGCAGGACACAGTACTCCACAAAAGCCACCAACAGCTCTCTATAAGCTTTGCTTCCAGCCTGGAACTGCCCTGTGGATCACCAGAAGAAAACACGTGTACTTCTGCTGTGATGACAATGGGAAACTACACGAGTACCATATTGGAGTAGCACTGCAGAGTCAAAGAAAGGGGATTTCCAGAACTGCCTATGCAGATTCCCATGGCAGTGCTATGGTGACAATACAGTTAACAACAACTTATGGGAAACACCTATGTCTTCTGTCACTATTGGTGTTTTCAGTGCTCACCCAAGGATGGGTTAGGGATTTGGACTTAGATTAGTAAAGGAAAAGAAATTACACATTCCTTATAAATTTTCCCATGCATTATTATAGTTGACAGCTCCAGCTAGAACATTAGCTATTTTAGTGCTAAATCAATAGCTATAACTACATGCCAAGTCCCTTTGTAAGACAGCCTTTATTTAAGTGCAGCTTTGGCACTGACTTTTAGTATCAAATACAAGGAACGCAATTTTTAGGGCTAAGCAACTGAGTCAGAAGGTCCTTGGCTCTCAGTATGTAAGGCGCTTTTTACCTTGACCAAGTGACTATAAATTCACATATTCTTCAAGGCGCATTTTTGCTGCAGAATGGAAATGAATTATAGCACCAGCAGCCACATGACATGGCAGCAACCTAGAAGCATTCTAAGCAAATGGCCCCTCTCAGCCTGAGACAACAGAAACTCCAGACAGCTTTCCAAGTTACCCAGAGACCTTACTTGGGTCTCTAAATGTGAGGGACTGTGCCCATAGGACAGGCCTGGGAAATCTTTAAGGCTGTGGGATTTAGGAGCTCCCTGCAGAGGAGGAGAGAAAATGAAATACTTGGGGGGGTCTTGGGTGCAGTGGCATGGCTGAAGCCTCCCGACGGAAGGAGGAGATGGAGGTGTTCTCTCTCTGTGCCATAGTCATGTAGCCATGTTTTAAACAGCATCTCCAAGCTGATGACATTGTCCTCTATGGTTTGCACATCGATGTCCATTCCTAGGATTGCAATGTCTGCAGGAAAAAAAAAAAAAGTGAAAAAGCACAAATATTTTCAGCCATAGGAAAGAACATTCCTTTGCATTTTCCACTACACTATACCTCCCTAGTCCCTCAAGTGTTTTCACAAGTGCTTCAGAAGCCATTACCATGCAAATCACAGCACAGCACTGTGTTTACAGCCCTCTTAAAATGACATTGTTGGAATCTGAGCTGCTCCACAGGCCACACCAACAATGGAATGGATGGCTGCTACCATCTTCAGGGGACTAATTGTGACTGATGCAAACCATCCTCTGCTGTTGTCATCTTAGCACTGGCCTCAGAGACTCTTCTCACAATTTTAAACCATTTCCTCCTTTTCCCTAAGCAAGGGACACTGGGTATGTTGATGCTATGAGAAATCAGAGAGACTGCAAAACTGAAATGCTATACTGCTGGGGAATTTTGTAGTAGTGATGGAAAAGTACTACTCCTCATACAGAAGATGAATGTTACTGTGAGAGACTCACGTCTAAGTGGGATGTGACAGTTACTTTGCAATATGGCCACATGACTAAATTGCTAAACATCCTCAGTGTGTGTTTAAAGGAGCAGCTGGTCACAGACCTGAGAAGAACAGAAGCAGAACTTGACCTGGACCTGACCAACACACAGGACATGTTTCAACACATGCTGCTTGAAGTGCTGCTTGGTAGCACAATAATCCCACAGCAGAACATCCTTGCAGATACAACAGCAGTCAAAACTATTCAGTACCATTACATTTAATTTCAAACAAGTGAAATGCATAAAATTTAGAGACTTGTTAAAGAGAAATCAAAAGTAAAAATGTTTGCAAGGATACAGCAAGTATTTAAGCTACCATGTTGGAGGTGCAGAGCAAATGTGTATGTTCTAGCAACATATTTAGGAACGGAGAAATGTAGGCTGGACAGCAGAGTTAGGAAGGTTAGATTAGATCCTTTCAAAAAAACCCCAAACCCGAAACACCCCCAAATAATAACTGAAAGGTGCATCCAAATGAGAACCTAGCATAAAGTCTAGTAGATTAAATAAATAAATAGGTAAAAGTGGAGAAAAAAAAAAAAAAAGAAATTTGATGAACAGTTTGCAAAATGTGTAAGACATGTAATATGCCCATTTGTAAACACAGAAGGAACAGATAGCCTGGTAACTTTAACATGGTGACCATACAGCTAGGATGTGAAACTGGTATTCTGAACAGATGAGTACATAGCAGAAATAGCCTTTTTTTTCCCCAGTGTGTTTACCAGGCCACTTGGGAACTAAAATACAGTGCTACATCCACTTGCAATGAGAAATCTATTCTTTATGCATTAGCATTTACAGTTTGCAAAAATGACACTATGCATCTGCTCCTGCATTAAAAAAAAAAAAAAAAAAAGACATAAATTCATTAATCTCCCTCTACATGGCAAATAATCTAGGGCCAATATAATGACTGTAATTCTTCAAATGGTCTGCAACTTCCAAAAGCACTTTTTGTAGTATGGCTAACACCGCAGGACATACTTTCTAATGGTCTCCACCTCCCAGCCATGAGGAAAGTGCTGAGCTCATGTAGGTTGTGCCTCCACAGCAAAGTAGAATCAACTCCTACTTGCAATGGAAGGGCCTTCACACTGTCCTTGATACTGAAAGCCTTTACTTCGTAATGTCCAGTCTGACCGTCCTTGGCTGCAAGGACATTTTTTTTTTTTTTTTTTTTCCCCCCTGAGTTCTTTCCAAATCTTTATAGTAAACCAATTATTCCCTTAATTTAGTAGCAGCTTTTAAAAACATATCATAAGTCTGCTACCATGCCTTACTCCAGTCTTCTCTGATGCTTATGGGAATATGAGTTTCTCCCCCATGGAGCAATACTGGAGGGTACTCTGGTGGAAGGGAATATTCTGCTTCTCTCTGGAGACTGCTCTTCATGAACAGAGCTATTACCACTGTCAGTCGCTTGCGCTGATGCTATGAGTCTTGCTCTTACTTGTGATACACTCCCTGCTTTTTTGAGACTCAGGTTTCTCTCTGGGATATGCACTGAAGATGGCATTAACACTTCAGAAGACAAATACCCGTCATTGACAAATAGTTTATACACTGGTGACAAGGGGAATTATCTGTGTTTTGAGAGACTGCTTGGGGGCTGGTAGATGTTTTAGGCCTTTCCTCAGTAAATATTTTCCTATTTTTTAATTTTCTCTTCTGTAATAGTATGTAGCCACTTACACATCTTAAGTTGGCACAATACATGACAACTTTAAAAAGAAATTCACTGCATTCACTGCTGTCCATTTTTAGGAAGAACAGGTTGGGATGCTGACATCTACTGTGTGATGGGTCTTAAAATTCCTGGAGAGCAGATATGCAGAGCCATTTACCGGTCAGCAATCTGCAGAGCACATAGAGAAGGTTCCCTGGGACTTGCAGAAGATGGATTATATTCATAAAAAATGTATTAGTGCTTTATCTTCAGTGCTTGTTTTTTGTTTTCCCAAAACAAAAATAGACAGGGCTCAGTGTCTATATCACATACAAATATTAACCTTCATTAGCAAATGGTTTGGCAATGCCCAGATGCTTTAAGTGTTTGTAATGGGATAGGGGCAAGAAAGAGAAAATAGTAATGCTCATGTTATCAATCAGAGGCCAGGCCACTGCATCCTATCAATTACTTCCACACACTAGTCCCACCACAAGCAAGCTTTAAAGAAACATTGCAGATTTCGTCTCTGTCCCACAGAGGAGGTGCTTTGCAGTTTTGAAAAAACAATCCTTGTTGCTCATCACATGGTCTTTGTCTAGAAGTTCACTCTCCCAAGGAGGTTGCTTTTGTGAAGAAAACAGCAAGCACTTTTCATCCACGACAGGTCGTTACTAGCATGTTCAAAGGTATTCTAATACTTGCCATCTGCAGGGCTTCAAAATTTTGGAGTCTTTTCTAGCTGCATTAACCTGGAAATGAGAGGGGATATCCTGATCCTGCCTTCTTTCAGTGCCATGGGAAATTGTAACTGTATATTAGTTGTTTTTTTTTTTTTTTTTCCCCCCTGCTACAGTCAACAAGAGAGGACATTTTCTGGGTGAGCTGAAAAATAAGGTGCTTTCTCTGAATGCAGATTTTGCATCTCCACATCACCTTGGTTTTGGAAGAAGCAATTTGTAGTCTAGTACTATGTGACAGTAAAATAACACAGGTAACATTCATTAATGGCCCAGTAGGAACCCTTGCAGTGGATTAGGATCTCACTGCAGTAGCTGCAGTATAAGCAAGGCAATGAGATCATCCGAGCCTTGAAGGTCTTACTGTCCAACAGAAGATCCAAAAGAAGGAAGCAGGGTAATACCATATACTCCATAGGAGTCAAAGAAGAAAATGCAAGCTTCTCACTGAATTGTTCATAATAGTGTCTTGAAATCATGGAATACAATTTCTTTTTATCTGGCAAGATAATCAAGTGACATGTCTCGCTGAAAGCCTGAGCCAAGTGTCACAGCTGCCACCTCCCTAATGGCTAAACCTCCAGCTTGTTGTCTGTGCCTTTCCTAGAGCAAGTGTCTGTCTTGAATACAATACTCAGCAGCATATTCAACAGTATAGGTAATTTTTTTCTTGCATAAATGGAAACTTCCAGCCTTGACCAGATATTTAACAAGCCCAGTCTAACAAGGCTGTTTCTGTGTATCTGGCATTTGCCAAAGACAATTGCTTCATAGAGACAGGGAACAACTGCACAAATGTGCCCCAAACCCTGTTTTTTCTTTATGTTCATTAATTATAATTTGTATTATGTCCTTAAATTTCACTCCGAAAATTCCTTAAAGAGTTGGGGCAGGAGGAGGGAGAAAAACTATTTAATTCCAATAGCTATATCTCAGTATAGGTTTGTTACTCACATAAATGGTCTGCAGTTCTACAGGAGTCCTTTAAAGACAAAAATTGATGATAGACCCTATAGCACAGCTTTGCAAGTTAAGTGAAAACAGGCTCACTTTTTCTTTTCCCAGGGTAGTGTGATCCCAGACCAGTTTCCTGATATTGAACAGTTTTGATGGAGGAAAGGAATGGAGGGGAGGGATTTAGGACTGTTTCTTTCAGTAACAATGGCTATACAGTACATGAAGTTACAATTTTAGTTGTTCCCGGAAATTTTGGCTACTTCTTTCATTCCAGTATGCCCTGAATACCAGGTCATAATTGTTAACCAAGTCTCAGAGCTCCCAAACATCCTTTTATCTAAAAAAGAAAAAAATAATCAAACTTGCATTTATTCCAGTGATATCTAAACATAGGTCACAGAAGATCTAAACATAAACATGATTTATAAGCATAGTTCCCAGCTCCTTAATTCTTAAACTGTTTTCCTGTGTTGTGGATTTTATTATAGGTATGTATGTCCAATAACCTCAGTTTTGTTATCAAAGTCTTAAAACAACAACTGTGTTATAAGCGTCAGAGAACGTGGGATTGTTTTTCTCTATCACATCATGACAGTAGTTCTCAAGCAATATAGCATCTCCTGCTATATTTGGTGAAACAATTTTGTTAGCTGCTGCAAGTTTCTTCAATGAAGCAGATTGTCTAGTAAATGTTTTCAGTTCATGTAGTAAGCTGTTATGATACTTTTTCCATTTTGAAAGTAAGTTTTTGTGATGCTTTTCAAAATGTCATTTAAAAGAAGTATGCTGTGCTATTAAAATGCAATAAAGACAAAACTTTGTTTCCTATTCAATCACTCCATGTTTCAGCATCAGCCATTCTTGGAAATCCCACATCCTGCATGGGATTTCCAGTAAGCTTGTTCTTTTTTTCTGCCTTTTCCTAATATATTTAGTCTATGCTGTTTTGAAGGTCACTAAATTAATACAGTATGGTTTAAATACACACGATGTTCACCACTACCTAACTCATACTGTAAACACTGTGGAAACTGTGCTTACAATTTCACTTTTGTGTCACCTTAAATACTGTAATCACACCTAGTGAAAGAAAATATCAGCTTGTTTTTGAGGTTTGGTGAGGATAAAACTCAGCACTACTGTTTTATGCAAAAGAACTGCCCAACTGCACTAATGTTGTATCTGAGTACCTACCTGTTACTTCCTTTCAGGGAGTCTGCCAGTAACAAAACTTGGGTCCACGGGTGAGAAAAAAAAATAATTCTAGTAATAATCAAAAGCCACAGCTATTCATTGTTAGAATCAATCCACATTTCTATTGCTTCCAAACTTGGCATTTGTGCTAATGGGTAGCTGTTGCTGGTCTATAACAGACTTCTCTACCGTATTTCTTTACCTTGAAACTAGACGTCTTTCTGAAGGTTCTTGATTCTCCAGAAACTGTGGGCTCGATTCAGAAATCTAGTAAAACTGCACCCTCATGTTATGAACATAACAAAATTAGGTTGTATTCTTGAAGTCTGCCAGTATTTAAAAGACAAAACAAAAAATCCTTTACTCCAGTTGTATAATGGCCAGGAGAGTTATCTCCCAGAGGAAATATGACATGCAGTCGATTAAAAAGAAAAGATTAATGCATCCAAGTTAACTGGAAAAGAAAGGTGAAACACCAAACAGACCATTCTGGTCTGTTCTACCAAGGCCCAGGTTGGTCATCCACAGATGGTAGATGTATTTATGAAAGACAGGTGAAGCTAGTAAAACAACATGTTCCTGTTCTCCTTGAAATCAGGAGTCGTGGATATTAAGTCAGGAGAGAAACAAAACCTTGATTTTAAGTATGTTTTAACAGAAGGTTCTGGAGAAGCAGAATATTTGGCTTAGGGAAGAACATGTAAGGGTTACTGCAGTGAATGTCAAAAATCAGATACCAAGGCATGCAGCCCCTCCATATCCAAGAAACATCCATACACGGAAAGGGGAGAGATGCCAGTAACAGATGACTCCTACCAACCATCCTGCCTGACATGAAGGCTGTTTGAAAGTAATATCCAGAATGGTTGGATAAAAAATCAGTGTGTGATCTCGTCAAAAGGTGCACTGAACAAGACAGCTTCATAGTTTGGGGAGCAGATTTAAACCATCCCTTTTGAAAATTTGGGACAGTGAGATGAAACAACTTTGAGGTAGTTTGGCTAGCAGGACACAGCTAACTGATCCTTACAAAGCAGACATGAGGTCCAGCAGCTGGAACAGCAGAAAGAGACAGAAGCCTAACAATAGTACAGAGACTTTTCATGAAACCCAGTCAAAATATTTCCACTCTCATTGGTGCACATAGAGGCCACTAACTGTTAAAACCTCAAAAAGAGGATGATAGGGCCAACCAAGAAGAGAGTTCAAACTCTAGCAATCTAACATTAAAGCCCTAGAGGAGGTCAGAAGAGATTTTGAGAGCAATTTACCAAAGTCATTACAAATAGGTTAAATATTTCAGGCTAATCAGACTCACAACATTTTAAGATCCCTGAGCTCTGTGGTAGAGCTATGTAAAACATAAACAGAAAAAATAAACTGGAAACTGTTATTTGCTTCCAATAAGATGAGATTAAAAGAGCACAAAATTAATTTCTCATGCAGAGGACTTGAGATGATTTTTTGATGTGCTACAAATATAAATGCAGGACGCAGTGTCACAGCAATGCTCTGGATATTAAAAATGTAAGTAGGTTCAAACAGCCACTAAACAAACTAGCGGAAGAAATATCCATGGTAGGATGAACCTCATAATTAATGCTGTATCACAATGTTTATTTTGTAGTGGGGGATGGGCTGCAGTGGAACACAGCACTAATTCTTACACAGTCCTTGCAACTTCAATGTTCTTTACTGTAATTTTTTGTAATACAGTACAATTTTTTTTTTTTCAGAAACAGAGGAAATGAGCTCCAACAGGTAAAAAAATCCTCTTCATAGAACAGCTGGGCCCCTTTTTCAAATTATTTGGACTATCCATTCCCTGGTGCTCCTCTTAGCAAATATATCATCTGAGTCTTCTCATAAGTAGAAGACTCAGAAAATTAGAATTTCATAATCTGAAATTTCAGTGGCCTTTGTGTCCCCATTTATGTTTTCATTCCATTTATTGGGTGAAAGGGCTACATAATTTCACTTTTAAAAACCATATGGTGGGGTTTTGCATGCTTGAAAGCATTCTTGTGACCAAGAGGCACGCAGCGTGTCCCGTTCTGTGGTGTCTAGTCTTCCAAGGCTTCCCCAGAGGGTTCTCTGCAGCACCAGCTTGATGCAGAGTCCCGACAACAATCCTCCTCACTTGAGAAGCCAGCATTTGCAGCCACCCAAAATACTGCCCTCTTCCCATATGGACAGGATTGGTGCTTTTAAAGAATACCTCAGCCTTGGAGCTGTAGGCAACAGTTCCTTCCACAGTTTTGTAACTTTGTGGTTTTGGTGCAGTTTTGGCATATTAAATTAATTCTAAAGTAACGTCAGAGTGACAGAACCTTGATCCTCTTCCTTGGGACTCATTGTTCACAGTGTAAGAGGTAACGGTGTTGCTCAGAAAGAGAAGGTGCTTCCTTTCTCCAGCCAAGCAGTTTTACCTGCAGAGATGAGCACTCTCCTGGAGGCCTCTGTTTTCAAACAGGCAGAGCCAGGAGAAGCAAACTATGTCTCATAGAGGGAGACTGCCCCTTCAGGGCAGGAAGCTTTTAACGGGTAGTAAGAGGGTTGATAGACATCTAAGTGCTTGATTATACAACTCAGCGTTTGACTTGGTCTGCTAACAGATTCATGGGATGCAGAGGCAGCAGGGAGAGCAGTCATCTGTCTGTAGCAAGATGCACCTAATCAGTACTGTGCTGAAGATGGGGGAAAACCAACATAAACTCCTGCTATTTAGCACTCATCAGCTTCAAGAAATAGCTGAATTAACTGAGCAGATTTGCAAGTTAGGTAAAACAAAATACATAAAAGAAAGCTGCAGTTATAGCAGCATTGCAATGTACAGACTTCTATCACTGAACCGCTGTGGTATTGGACTTTCGATGTCCATCTGGCTGCTTTATTTAGAGCCTGCTCAGCACCTTTTGCTTTGAAACAGGCGGAAAACAGGAGCTAACAGGAAATCTGCATCTGAATTTCTCATTACTATAGCTTAAATTCTCACTGCAGAAAACTGCCTGATTAAGGGAGGAGTTCTTCAGAGATATGGACAGGAAATGTAACATTTAGAGTCTGGGCTGTGCTTGCTCTTTCACTAATGAAGCATGTGGCCAGGTGTGTGAGCGGTGGGGCAAAAGGGAACCTGCAATCTACCTAAACATTCCCAGCCCCTACTCTGCCAATTGACCAGAAATTTGCTACTGCGACCAGAAAAGAAGAAGAACAGCTAGAGACAGGTAAGGTAACAACATCCAGTGTTGCCCCTCATTCAGTAAAAACAACATTGACATTACCAGCTACAGGTGTTATGCTAACTTTGCAAGGCATCAAGACTGGGGTTTTTAAGCTTGTTATCAACTCATTGTAAGAACTTGATGTGTGAACCACAGCTCCATACCAGGTGTGTGGTGTTGATGGGGAGTTTAAGTGTCAGCAGTAAAGGCATTTGAAATGGAGGTCTGGATCAGAAAACTGAGGCTGCAGGGTTACAGAGAACTCACTGATGTGCAGTTACTGAAGAAGTACAACCTTAAGAGCTCAAGGATCTGCCCTAAGTATAGCGAAAAGAAGCAGCAGCTAAGCAAGAACAACCAGCGACACAAACCAGCTAATCAACAGGGTAAGCACCTGCCTTGGTCTGGGAGAGTAACTCTTTCCAGCATTGTGCAATATGTAGTTTGGGGGAAAGGACTAAAATCTAAGAATAGTCTAGAAACCAAATGTCCTGTAAAAGGACAGTATCTTGAGTTAGTGAGAGGGAGGAGGGGGTTATCTCTATAGGATCATTGAAACTGTAAGTGGACTATGTGCTTCTCCCTCCACTGGCTAGCATTCTGACAAGCATTCTGGTTGCCTCTTCTTGCACCAAGGGCCTTTTGATCAGCCAGTTAATTGCCTAGGGTGATGTTTAGCAGCATATGTGTGTCTGAGAAGGTGTTATCCCCATAAACTCTATGCATTTTTCTCTTTAATCCATCAATAAATCTGTATTGCACATGGAGGCCAATTTTAGGTAATAACAAGAAATGCAGTAATGTATGAAGTCTATATGCTAGTTTTGTCCAAATGTGATAAAGCCCCAGAGAAGTGCTGTGGTATGATTTTTTTGCTGTTCCTCCAGGCACTGTAGTTCCTGCTTACATGAGTGACACTAAATGGCATAAAGGAAAGTGGCATATATTGAACCAAAGCAAGAACTAGCGGTGATTCTGCCATCCAAAGCTATAACCTCCCCGAGTACCCTGTCTTATACTCACCGTTGCTGCTGGGCTCTTCTGCTGGCATGTGCTGTTCCACATCTTCAGGCTCCAGAAAGTCTCTCTTCAAAACCTCGATGACTTGTAGTCTTCGCAGACTCACAAGGTCTACATCTTTCAACTTATTTTCTAGATGCTTTGCCATTTCTTTGCTGGACTGGCTAGTCAAAATGGTGATCTGAAACACAAATGAGAGTGTGCAAGAGCTGCCTCTATCCTAATCCTCTCTTGATGGGCGATGATGCCTGGTCTGTTTGAATAGCACAGGTCCCACTGCAGAGAGAGGATCTCGCTAAAATATCTCATCTATTCAAAAGCAGATTTAAAAGCTTCTTTTTGAGCTTTGGCTTATATTTAAGCCAATATGAAATGTACTGAGAGTTCACTGTAGCAACACCAACAGGTTTTGTGCCACTGCTCAAAGAAGATGGAACAATTCAGTTTTATGCTTTGTGCTTATGGTCAGTGAGTCTGTGTGTTTATAGGAGGGACTCTGCCTGACACTTTCTGAGGGACAGTGCCACTTCCCATTACTGCCTCAACTATAGTTCAAGTAGACTAGATTCGTCCTTCTCACTTGAATGGGAATTATTTATTTTTTGTTTTTAAAAAAGTATATAGTCTACCCTAAAGATGTTCCTTAAGAGAGCAACAGTAAGTGTGATTCTCACCTCCCAGTTTTGACGTAATACTAAGTAACTGCAAAGGGTTTCTTCATCATTGACAATCAGCAACAGTTTTCTAGAAATGTCAGGCATGTTTGATACCAGCTTCTACCCTGAAAGTTATTAGGTGAGAAAGTTTTGAGTTCTGATCTTGCTGATATTTAGTGATGGTGAAGTATTAGGTGTTCTCAGCACATCTGTTTGTTGCTCCAAAGGACTACTTAGTAACTCTAAACAAAGAATAAGGTGTATTTTAGGTAAGGCTGCTAACAAATGTCCTGTAGGGAGAATCTGGGGAAACTTAGACCTTCACAAATGAGGTCTACTACAAAGATATTAAACAATGACAATAGAAGTGACAGTTCAAGGGTTAGGGATTTTTTGGTGGGGGTGAGAGTGCAGGAGGCAGGCAGTATACGTTCGCCATCCAGATCTATCCTTAGTGTTTATCTTGGATATTGGGAATGAGGTAGTAATTATGATCTCCTTTATGAACTGACAAAAGTAGATAACAGGAATTGTTCTTGAGTTGGGGGGAGAAGAACCATCTAAAGGTACTATTAGTTTTTTATACAGCTATGGAGTATTTCCTATACTAGTACACCTTAATTTCACGAAAACCTTTAGGTTATGTGATGGACACTCATCTGTACACCCAAGAAGAACAGAGACACAGTGACAGACAGAAGAGCCCAAATAATGCCCTGTCCTGGCTACTGCCCTCAGCCCATCAGAGGCCCCTTTCGCCAAGCCTAAAGGAGCACAGGGGTGTGGTGTCAGACCAGAAAACCAAATCAGGGGCTTGGAGGAAGGGACGCCCTCTGGGAGCTGCTGCCTGGACTGTCTCAAAGGGGTGAGACCATGGAAGGATCTGGCTCTCGGAGGGACAAGAGGAGTCCTGGCCAGCTCCGTCCATCTGTCTGTACACATGATGGCCTGTACCAGCAACTGGAGTGGGGCTGCAGCCTCGGGGGCTCCTATGTGCAGATGCCAGCAACTGGGGAGACTGGGATCCAGGAGCAGCTACTGGGCAGACTGAGTGTCTGAGCCCAGATGCTGGAGGAATCCACACTGACATATGAAGATAGATATGTGTATGTATGTGTGTGTGTGTACATGTGTTTATATATATATACTCCTGCTAGTGGATCTCCATCCTGCTCAGCCAAAGAGGCGAGTAGCCTGAGGCCACTGGTGCAGTCTGTGTTCATGTGGGTGCTCTGAGTGTTTGTCTGTGAACTTTGTGACCAACCATATCTATATATATATAGAGATATAGATATATATAGATATATGTATATATGCACGTATATGTGTTATATACATGTGCTCTGTGTGCATCTGCCTGCTGGGAATACATGCTCATACTTACAACTGGTTGGGCTGGGGGGCATGAAGCTGTGACAGCTTTGCTGATGTTAGATCAAGGCTGATTTCTCTAATTGAACTTGTCCCTAGTGTTTGCCTCTGAGTTACTGGGAATGAAGTAGTTATTATGGGCTCCTTTTAGGAACTCATGAAAATGGCTAACAGGATCTGTTTTTGAGCTGGGGGTAGCTGAACTGTCTAAAAGTTATAATTATCTTTTGCAGAGCTATAGACAGAGCATTTGCTACACTGATGCATCTTTATTTCATTAAAACCATGGCTGCATTACATCTGTAGCCTATCATAACTTCCAATTTACCCTTTTCACAACCTGAGTCACACTAGCACATGCTAGTTAGAGACCAGGGGAAATATTTTGCCACACACAAAAACTGAGGTAGCTACAGTGACTTCCCTTCATATTACCACAGTTTCTAGTTATAATACCTTAATGCCATTATATTTCCTAATCTAACAAAAAATGGGCTACCGATGACTTGAAAAATGCTTCTCATCCTATTGCAGACTGGCCACGTTTCCTGCCCTGTAGCTGCTGCTGAGACTTAGCCTTGCTGATGCAGGTGGTTTTTCCCCTCTGAAGTCAGGATCTCAAAACAGTAAGTAAGCATTTTCAATACTTTTAATAAATATTTGGGTTTTAGACAACTGCAGGTTGTAACAGAATCTGCCTCCTATGCTTACTGGTCAGCTAGAAATATTCTTGCCTCTTTGCAGTTTAGCTGTTAGGAAATGCATATTTGCCTAAAGGCTACGTCTGATTTGCACAACCAAATTGACAGCGGTGCTCTTGTACTATCAATACTGACCATAATGGCCTCACACTTAAGAAACTGTACTCCTGATATAACCGTAATGCCTCCTTAAACACTTGTGTTTTTGCTAGCTCACATGTAAGCATACTTCACCAACAGCTTCCAACATACTATGTTCCTTCACCCTGTTGCTGTTCACAGTCCTGTCCTGCCGCAGCAGGCATATGCTCCACGGCTGCTGTCCTCCAGGCCTTGCCCGTGGTGCAGCAGCAGTGGGACCGTGCTGCAGGCAGTACGGCAGCCGTGCCTTCCCAGCACACAGCTCTGGAGCAGTCTCTTCTGCACGGATGGAAGCGTATGGAAAGCTTTCAGGTTTAACTTGTGTTACTTTAGAAGTGCAACTGCAAAAGCAAAAAAGAGCACTTCTTTCAGAAGAGAAGGCTTTACAAACAGAAGCAGCAACTGTCTTCTGAGAGGAGCCAGTGCACCTCAGTGACAGGCCTGGTCCCTCACTGGATGCTTTTTCTCCTCCCACCCAGCTGTGCACACTCCCTCTGCTCAGCACCTGCCCTCCGCTGCAGGATTTCACAGATAATTGGGAACAAATAAGATCACTATTTACTCCTCAGTTATTTACTGACTGTAATTACATGCCTGTAATTTGCTGTTCCAGCGAGGACCAGGGGTTACTGTATCTCAGTGACAGGGCCACCCAGACCTCAGTTTGGCAACCCGGAATTGATGTAGCCCATACAAATGTTTCTCATCAAGTACAAGGACATACAGCATGTATCAGTTAGGTCAGTCTGTTCTTTAAACTGTCAGCAATGATTTAGTAAGGAACTTCTGATCAGGAGCTACTGCCCTTGGAGAACAACATCCTGAAATACGGAAGCTCGTTAAAATTGCTTACCATAAATCAGCTCAAGGAGAGATTAGAGCGTCCTTTGGAGGAACTAGCCTTAAAAATCACACCCACTGCTCTGAAGACTCCTGCCCAAATAAAGACCCTCACCTTTTGAGCCTGCGCAGAAAAATTAAAACACACTAAGTTTAAATCAAGATGAGGCATGTTGTTAACCAATGAGGGACAAAGTGATAAGAAATTAACCAATGGTCATTGCAGTAACTGTGTATTCGTGTCATCTGAAGTGTCTAAATACACTGAAGTTCTTTTGTGCGGTGTGCTAGCTTTGTGGAGTTGCCACCTAGCACCCCTCTGCATGCTATGAAATAAACTGACAGCTTGGCTCTGTGTGTGACAGGGTTTGCTACCCAGTGCGCAAAAGCCAGCTCGAAGGACAACACATTTGCAGTGAAAACTATGATATCTTTGCATAGAGGAACAAGGATTGCTTAGTGGAGTATAAACTCCCTATGTTCATGGATAACTTAATTCTGCATGTAGCTGTCTCATTCCTCCAACTATACTAGAAGACATGCTGGATTTTGTTGTGTGTCAAAAAAAGGTCTTGTCTTAAAAGTGTACTTTGTCTGTTCCAACTCTCAGCTTTGAAGTTAAAGCACAAATTACATATGAAATGGTCAGGAAAAATACCACAAGGCCCTAAGAAAACACAGAGAAGCAGTAAATCAGGAGAAAATAATTCCTGTTAGACACTAGAAGTGAGCCTTAATTACAGCTAGGAGAATCTGCCTAATCACAGCATGATTCTGGAAGGGTTTAAGGATCTAAATAAAGTAGGACAGGTGAAGTTTCACTCATGGTAGCCTGGATTTCTTTTTAGGACTGACTAAGCTCCAAAACCAGGTGCACCCTGAGCCTGTAAAGTCTGAAATGAAAGACAGTTTGGAGCTGATGTTTCCTCCTGTTCAGAAGAAAATGCTACTGCTGAGTCCTTCCCCTCTTGGTAGGTGCCTGTCCTTCCACATCAGTTGATACTACTTTAAAAAACGCTTCTTCCTGTGAGCCTTGCTCTGCTTTCTACATTTGCACGTATGTTCTCATGTGTTGTTAGCAGCTTCCCTCCCACATACGCAAGTATACACACCCAGCTGAGAAGACAGTCACTATGTGTACCAAAATCTATTAGATCTTGTCCCAGGACTGCTGTACATATAGTTTTCCCTAGATATGTCCCCTTTTCTACTGGAATACGCCCAGCGGGATTTGAGGACCTGATAAATTCATGCAGGATTTCTGGACATTAGATCTCTGGGACATCACGATTGCTAAATACCTAACATTTTCTGGCATGTTCACTGAACACAGAGTCATGTCAGAGCCACTGCTCAAGCTAAACAGTGACAACACACCTGTACAATTGGCTTGGGAGGCACTGGACAGACCTGCATTATACATGTTCATTCCCACTGAGAATCAAGATACAAGTATGTATGTGTACTGAAGTCCCAGACAAACATCAGGCTGTCCTGCCAAGCTAACACATGTCACTAACCTGTCCAACAAGACTTATTTAGCTGAAGTCCCTGTTCTTTCTACTTTCTCCAGGCAAATCATCAATAGCCAGCCCCAAAACTTCATGAAGCCTGAGCAGAAAGGAAATGTTTGCATGTGGTGTTTCAACACACTTTACTCTTCCCTGCCAGAGCCTTCCTCCTTAGAAGGGAGTTTGGGAACTGCCGTGGCAGGGGATACAGAGTAACACATAGCCTAGAGCTGGGACAAACAGAAATACCCTTCATGATGCAGGAATACTTAATAAGCTGTAGAATCAGCATTTAGGCTTTTATGAAATTTCCTCAACTATGTGAGTGTAGGTGGAACACGAGAGATATACATTTATAAAGCATGATCCATGAAGTGAGAGAGACAGCGCTCGTAATGCATTAGGAGCTGCACCTTACTCGGGGCCTCATAAAGTGCGAGAAGTGTGGGGATAAAGTACTAGTGCATCAGGATTACAGCAGGCACAGTTCTCCCCTAATTCTGTGGAGCATGGGCAGAGGAATTGGATTGCCTCATTCTTCCTGTGTCTGCCATAAAATTGTTAGAGATTATCCTTTTTTCATTCACCCAACGTAGGGATGTATGCCAAGAACAGACATGATGATTCCTGAATTTCAGAGCTTACAGTGGTCTTTTTAGACTTTTCAGTTATTTCATGCAGCCATTACCAATGACATATCGTAAGGGACCCTTATTACAGTTTGCAGAGTAGAAGCCCTGTGAAACTCCCAAGCTGCTAATGAGAAAATAAAAATGCTAATTATAAAAAAATCCTCTTGTTATTCAAATACCAACCATGTTTTCTTTTTACTCTGAAAACCAATTTGAAGAGGACTGTGCCAAGATAATGACCATGCTGCAGGCTTTTCCTGTCCTTTGCAACTATACTAACTCCTCTTGAGATGATCTGCATTTCTTTTGTCTGTATGAGTTCACTTTCAGTGAACTGGGGACATACTTTCAGGCACAATGAAGAACTCTGTATGAACATCCTATTATATCAGTGAAAGTTCCAGACACTATAACTGCAAAATGTAACTGTAGGCTGAAAGGAAAATCATGCCCGTAAGTACTGTTAATGTCTTTGCCTCCGACACAGTTGTTCTGTGAAGTAATCAAAATAAAGCTGAAAGAACATCCAATCTTAAATGCCTGTAAATGAAATTCATTTTTCTGTAATGTAAAGTGAGTCAGTCTCCACAAGCAACTCAAACCTGAATCTGTCTGGTTTCCATGAGCATTCAGAGATTGCCACATGCATTTTTTTGGAGGGTTTATTTTCTTAATTAGTCTCGCCCTCCCATGGTCCTTAGATGCCACACAGACTATCATCTTAATGTGTTAACAAGTGGTAAGTCTGGTGGATGGCTCCAACTACCTTCTCAACGTTTTCTTACCTCAACAGAACTATTTGTTGAGCCTTCTGCTGCTGTGTATTTGCTGTATTGTTTGAACTGTTGCAATCCATCCTGCACAGCCTGTACCACTCCATTTCCCCTCTGTGGGAAACAGCCATCTCTTGGTAGTGAACGGAGCTCTGAAATGCAGGCTTGAATTCGTGCAAAGTTTTCTTTCACTTGCTGCAAAACAGTATTAAATGAAATTGAAAGGCTGAAAATGTCAAACTGATAGTATGAAATATTCTTCCACGATGTGGAAGGAGACTGTTAAATTCACAGCAATGAGATAAGACTGGGGGCAGGAGCCAAGTCATAAAGCAGTGAACAGTGATATGAATCAAAACCAGCTGGTTGTTACACTAGTAACAACACACACGATCACTCCTCAAGTTTTAGTCGTCTACCTGTTGCCTGCTGCTAGTCAAAATGTAGTAGTTCAGCATGTCCCCCTCCTCTGGCCCTGTGTAACACAGAGGCAGAACTTGAGACATCAGTAGGAGCACTGAGGCAGTGTGATATCCCCAGGCCATAATCACCCCTGCCATATCTGTACTCCTTTACTCATCGTAGCTGTGGACCGCTGGAACCTGTGTTCAGGAGGGTTTGGAGTCAGACAGTGGCAACAGGTTCAAAAAGGGGTTCCACAGACTCATGGGTAACAGGTCAAGAAGCAGATACCAAGAGGAATAGCCTCAAATGTACCCTCTATCATTCTTAATACGACAGCTGTGGAACTAGGGGATTGTGAGGAGAATGAACTGCAGAAAGTGTCTGGGCTGGGGAACTCGCCCAAAATAGCCTTTCATTTTGAGACTGTGCTGATGGACTGTTGGTCTGACTACTGGACTGGCATTTCTTATGCTTTGATACTGCTCTTTTAGAACATTCACCACAATAATGATTATCAAAAAAGCAAATGCTGATGTAAGGTCTGTGGACCCTCCTGCTTCAAAGATGAGCTACTAGAGCAAGTGTTCAAAAGGAAAAATTATTCTATAGCTGTCATTTGTCAAAATGTTTTATTTCTTTAGGCAACAGCTACCACTGTACAATGGCTGCCCCGAGGACAGCTGGTCTGACTCATTATGGCAAGATGAACATTAAATGCACAGATTATTAACCCATTGTGCTCCACTATGGTGATTTGTGTTAGTCTCATACATTGGAGGATACTGGGCCATATTCTCACTGACTGCTGTTGTGATTTAGATTACCTGCAGTCCAGGGCTGCTGAACCCTTACATCACATATGTTGCTTAGCACTTCCCTGAACTTGGTATCACTTTATAGTGGTCAACTAAATCCACAGAAGGTAGGCTGAATACGAACCAGGGTGGCCAGGATCATGGTGGACCCCTCTCATACTCTTTCTCCACTCAATATTAGTTGAGGCTACCTGGTATCTGTCACCCAGCCATGACCATTCCTTAGTGTAGACATGACAATGCCGGGGAGTACCCAGGATCCAATGGTGTGTGGAGCATCGCAGCTAGTGTTCACATAGACATCAGCTCACCTGAGCTTCAAAAAGAACTCAAAAAGTTGAGACATACCCAGCAGGTAAACTGGCAAATTCTGGCCATAGGAGAGATTATTACTGAACTCTACAAAATCTATTTGAAGCAATATAAGACACTACTGCCAGAGGTCACCCTCCTCACAGAAGAGGCAACAGACGAACATATATGACTGGTTTGCTTCAGATGCTCGGAGTTCTGACTAACTGAACCACTCCTGAGCAGCCATGGTTTGCAGCATGGTCTTTCAGTGACAAAATTATGAACCGGGGGCTCAGGCACGTGTTCACAAACTGCTCTGATAGTTCTGCAAATAAGGTGGTGAAGAAAGCTGGGACGGTTCAAACCTCGCCTCAGAATGCTGAAGAGAGCAGTGTTAAGGAAACACACCACACTTTGTACTCTACAGTGCACAAAGTGTCTGGCCCATTATGTCAGTTCTGCTGTGAGGTTAGCAATCTTCAATAAATGCACCAAGAAGATGCAAACAGGAGCCTCTTCAGAGTGCTACAGCACAATTCCCTGCAGTTCAGATGCCTTCCCTGCAATCCTAGGAGGTAGCTGCAGCTCACACAGATGTGTATCAGCTGTCTCAGGTCAAGTATTGCTCCTAACTGTGGCAGAACAAGGCTCAGCACGGGCTGCAGGGCAGCTTGAAGTCTAGTTAAGTACCTGTCCTTTGGAACTGGCACTAGCAGAGTTGCATTTTCTCTTGTATATGCACAGCTACTTTAAATGTTAACTTAGGAGAGTCTACGCAAGCTGCAGTTTCAACTCTGAAATGTGCTTGGGAGGTAAGTTAAACTTCTAAGCAGAAATTGTGTTAACTAGTCCTTGACATGTCTCTTCACACGTGACCCTGCTTCTTCATTACACAACTCCAGGAATTCATAACTTCGCACTGTGTGTCCAGCAAAACATTTAAATTTGCAGTACTACATTGCTTCCAGAGTAAAGCTACCAAAACGAGAGATCACAGCTGGCCACAAGCCAGGGTAGGCATTGTGCTCACTGCCCCGTCTAGTTCCTTCCACATGTTGTATCTTCACCCACTTCACTTTCCTAATTTGCTAGTCCCTGTAGTTTATGTCTTCTTGTGTCTTTTTCAGCCCTTTTTGTCAGAGAGGGTCTGGGAGTTGTGGGGAATGGCTGCCCATCCCAAGGGAAAACCAGTAGGAACAGGGCCCATCAGCTGTAATTGCTCTGCTCAGAGTCCTTGCTCAGTTCCACATTACAATTTTTTGACACTTTAATGCTCGCTTCCCCTCCTGTCACCATCTGTTGTCCTCCATGGTTCTTTACTTTCTTCCTGGTTTCCTTTTCTTTGGCATCCCCCTGCCCTTTCCAGGAAAGCTCTTTGGACTTGTTAGGGATAGGCAAATAGGGGAGATAAGTAAGAACAGAGCCCATAAGCGAGTGCCCAGAAAAGACTAAGAAAAGTGTAACCGTATATGACACTTCCCCATGTACTCTCCCAATCTCTATTTTCAGCTCTGGGACTTTCCTGACTTCATGTGATTTGTCTAATAAGCAACCTTTAATATAGCTCTATCTTGGTTCCTCACTGAGAAGTATCAGTTTTTTCTCTAGCTAGATCAGAAAGTCAATGTGATAAACAGCATGCCCTGTTGAGACGAAAGGGCAAATTCAGGAGCACAGAAAAAGCAATGGAGCCCTGGTATGTCTGAAGACTGAAACAGAACAGATGTTTATCAGATAGAGACGTAAAACTGTGACTGATTCCAGAAGCTGCTGAAGACCAGATATAAGCAAAATTAGGTCCATTGAAGAAGACAGTCATCTTGATATACTTTACTGTTCCTAATAGAGAAAGAACAGTTCTGAAAAACAACCTTCAGTACAACAGCAGATGTCTAAAACAGAGAGATGGCTCACCAGGCAGAACATCCAAGCAAAGCTGGGGAGAAGGGGGTGGGGGCTCCCAGTAGAGTTGTGCCTATCCACTGGGTAGGCACTACTGGCTCAAGTCTTTGAGTGTGAACTTTGCCTTGGAAAGTCCGAGAGACACACAGTAACAATATTATGGCAAAATAGCTGATGTGATTACCGGTCATGCAAACAGGAGGAGGCGGGTGGTTTTTAGCTTTCTGTACAGCACTGCAGAGTCCAGTATCGGAACACAACATCCAAAAAAACCAGAAGAGTGAATACATAGAAGGGCTTGGAAGTTAATAAGGGCCTGTAAAAATGCCTTGCTGCTAAACTTACACTTTGTTCTCATTCACTTACCAGCTAGAACACTGAGAAAGGACCTGTCTCTATTTAGAGGAAGAAAGTATAAAATACAAGCAGGTTCTTCAATGTAGTCAAAAGGGGAAATGCATCAACAAATCCCTGGAAGCTAAAACCAATAAATGCAAACTAGAAACCAGGTGCAAATTTCACAATGACAATGATTAACCACTGGAAGAAATTATGATCAGAAGTACTTGATTCTCCATCTTGTAGTATGTTCAGACCAAAACTACAAGTCTTTCTGGAAGAAGTGCCGTAATGATATAGGAGTACTTTAGTGAAATACAATAGCCTGTAATATGAAGGAAGCCAAACAATGATCTAAGGGTTCCTCTGTCTTTAAAAAATGTGATTATCAAAATGAGGAATTGCTGTTGAAATAACAAAGCCTATCATGAGCAGAAGATTCATATGATGGGGCAAGTAGAGGGATTGTGTGAAAGTGCAGTCGTACTCTGGTGACCCATGATTATCAAATGAGATCTGAGGTTGTGGTCAGCCAGCACACGTTGGATCAGTGTCAGGACATACCTAGCAAATACAAAAGCAGGTATTAGGCCCCAAGCACTTACAAATTAACTTGGACGTAATGCAAAATCACAGAAAACAGGCCTGCAACCAGTTGTGAAACATTTCTTAGTCCATCCTACAGTGACATGCCAGAATGAATTACATGTAAATTCATCCTAGGAAGCAAGACAAGCGTCTGTTCTTAAAGTCTCTCATCGGAGTGATTTCACAGTATCTCCAGAAAATGTTTCTTTAGTATCGCCTCAGTTATTCTTTTCACATTATCTATAAACTATTTACAAAATAAACACCACCTTTAGTCTTCTTGCAGATCACATTTGCTAAATTACTGTTGATCTCTGATTTTTTTTCCCAGTTGGCCTCTACCTTTCCTGAGATGTGAAAACTTGACAAAATATTTCAGAATGTTTTCACCATTGCTGAATAAAGTGGAAGGGTTAATATTGTGTGTTTACACTAACGTAATATAAATGAGAGTGCTCAGTATGACTGTTTATAATAGTATGACTTCATAGATTCTTGTGAACTTTATGATGCTTTGTAGTCCTGAACTTTTACTGTAGAAGTGCTAGTCATTCTCCATCTATATATATTCTGCTGCATCTCCCTGGATGAGTGAAATACTTGTTCTTACTTAGATCTATATATTTAAAAGATGTGTAGATGTGGTGCTTAGGGATATGGTTTAGTGGTAGACTTGGCAGTGTTAGGTTTATGGTTGGACTCATTGATCTTAAGGGTCTTTTCCAACCTAAATGATTCCATGATTTCAGGATATTTCTCAAATGTGGCAGAAATATTTTGAATTCTGATCCTTTCCCCTTAAATGTCTGGAACCTCTCCCAAAGTGGTTACATATGTGAAATCGACAGGTACACAGACCATTTCACCATCCAAATTATTACAGCTGTAGAGATATGTTTGATAATTTTGATAGAGAAGCAGTACAGATAGTGCAGAAAGTAACATATGAAGGGGAGAGGTAAACCAGACGTTTTAGAAGGGAACAGCATAAAACCTAAATTACGCACATGAGCAACTTCATAGATCAAAAATATGACACTCCTCCTTTTAAACATAATTTTTTCATAAAATTCACCTCTTCCGTGAAATCTATGAAACTATGCTCTTTGAGAATGATTTTTAGATAAACATTTGTAGTAAATCATAATTTTCCATGCTGAACTGCACCAATGTATTGCTTTCATGTTTGTCAGATCCTAAGAGACATAATTTCACACATACCGTAAAGGGAAGCAGACACTCCTGCTGGTTCTGCACCACATAGAGGCTCAGCAGGGGAACACGGCAGGGGCCTATCAAACTGCACACCAGGCAGAGTGTGTTTTCCAGAGCTTCACAGAGTACAGAACAAGTGTTGGTCCAGGAAGGTGATGTGACATCCACAATGAGAATCCGCGATGGCTGCTGGCAGTGTACTTTTGTAGAAGGAAATGTTCTCTGTGCTTCTGAGAGTAATTTTCTGGAATTCATGGCTTCTGAACATGGATATTAGATGTCCAGTTATCCATCTGCATCTGAACAAAAAAAAAATAACAAATAATAGCAATGAATGAGACTCTACCCTTCCCATTCACTTGAAAGCAACCTGAGGCAGAGCAGACAGTAATGATTTAGACTCCTACAGCTTTCTCCAAAGCAGTCATTGTCCATACTGTAAGATAAATCCACACACAGACAAGGGAAAATGCATACAGTCGGGAAACAAAATGGTTCAACTAAAGAAAATGCATGGTAGGTATACTCTTACAGATGCAACTGTAACAGTTAATAATGTTAATAGCATAGCCGTGCCTAGCCGATGAATGAGCTGTGTGGTATGTTGCATGATCTCTCAGTGTGGCTCAGGTGTGTGACATCAGTCTCCAGCAGAGATCTCCAGCAGCTGGTGGATAGCAAGACTTTGAACTCCTACTTCTGCAGTGGCCAAGTGATTATATCCAAACACCCTAAGGAGATCGCAGTCCCCACTCCTTAATACCCTGCATGAGACAAGTAGCTGTCATACCCCAAAAAAGGTAAGCATGACGCAGCAAGAAAATACTGCATATACATAAATTTTACTTTGTGGATGGTGGAGAACTGACCTTTGTCCTTCAGAGTATCTAACACCTGTGGTTTGCTTTCTGCACTGACAAAAGCCTCAAGGAATGCAGCAGTAAGGTTGCCCAGCAGTATCTCATACTGTTCAAGAACATAGGAGTGCTGCAAGCCTTAAAAAATCTGTAATGTTAGAAACTCCAATAGAAAGTATTTTCAGACAAACACCAGCTTGATTCCCAGACCTGGCTGGAGTTGCTGGGAATGCTGCGCACAGAGGTGGCTGTGCTTCGTGTGTCACAGAGCTGTGCCAAACGATGCAGAGATTTTCCAGAACAGCTTGGTGGTGCTGTCAGTGTTGCACGCAACAGCTCGCACAAGGAAGAAAAGGAAGGATTAGGGCTCCTCAGCTCCCAGGTCCTCTGTGTGTGGGAAGAGAGGTGGTTCTTGTTGTGGCGCCCTGGGAGACCACAGATCTCTTAGGCAGATGAACAGAGTGTGTGGTCAGGACACATTTCTCCCCCACCTCTTTTTGTGTTTCCTTTCAAATATCCACCCTTTCATCCAGCAGCACCATGACCTATCTCTGCATGCATAAGGCTCAGCTGGCGCTGCTCTGAGAGACTTCCCCACAGTCTTTTAAGAAACTTAGATTGTTTCTGTGAAGTAGTAAGCAGAGAAGAAGCGAGAAGCAAACAGGAGGGTGCTGTCAGGTCTTCTGTTTTTCCTGTGCCTCATTGTCTGTGAAACACAGGAAACCACTCAGCCTTGAGCCAAGAGTGAACACCTCATAGTTTGGTTCAAAGGTTTAGAGGCAAAAGTATTCACATGCACTCATCCTCAGACCTTGAATCTGATGTTTGTTCCTCACTCCCCTCATTTCCCTTCAATGCATACATCTTATGCACAAGATCCAGAATTTCCATGTTAAAAAAATCCTTTTTCTTCCTTCATCATGAACAAAGATCCTGCCTAAAATCTTCTCTTCACTAAATCTAAACATATCTGCACAAAGCATTCAGTGCTGTTTCTAACTATAGAAAATGCTTTAAAAATATGTCTTGGTCTTGGTAATAACAGTAGTATGTAACAGACAAGTCTACTTGTACCCAGAAAAATATTTGTATAATTGCACATAACTTCTCAGTATGAACTAGAATAAATTATTTCTTCTTATAGTTGTGTGAATCCCCAGCAATCTTAGTAAAAGTTTGAAGTGACCCTGGATTTACATAGTCGGGCTCTGGTCAGAACACAGGCCAGTATGCATTCCTGTAATTTGTGTAGTATGTTCAGCTGAGACAGATGACTCTTGTATGTTCACTAAGGATACGACCTGCTGTATTTCCTACAGTCTCCAGCACTGTGGAGTAAGAAATTCTGTAAGTCTTGAAAAGAGCAAGAAATGCATTTCTATTTGATTGAAGTATCATCAGAAAAAATTTCTGTACTTCTAGGATGTTTGTCAGTGAAGGCAAAACAGAGTGATCGCAGATTGAATTTCAAAACTGAGGCTAACATTTCAGAACTCATGAAAATGTTATATCTATATATGTACATATGTGTAGGTATCTTGCTTTGACTAGTAACCTGATATAATTTCACTGGAAAATGAAAAACTGCCAGATACCACTTTAATCAGTGTCTCTCCCAGAGCTTTACAATTTACAGGAGTTTACTAAATTACTTCACTGAATCTGGGAAAATATTTGTCTGTCTGTATTTTTTGTGATGAGGCTTCATGCTATTGCACTCTGCAAGCCTCCAGTGCTTTCCCAAACAAGGAAACAAAACCCATCTGGCAGTCAGAAATCTAGAAGAGTCGGATCTTCGATTTGCATTTGTTTCAGAGAGAAAAATGAGCCATGATTCTGAAAAAGATACCGTTTTCTTAGATTTTTAGGAATTCTCTCATTCTTGAGTACAGTACTATGCTTATTTTAAACTACTTTAGTAAAATGGATTCCTCATCAGCTATGCTCTTTATCAACTGAGTGAATTTAATTTCTTCCTAACTGTGATTCCTTAATCTCTGCTTAGCAATAATCGTATGGTTTATATGCAGTTCTCTGTACAGTATTTGACATATAGTGTAAACTGCCCACCTCTTTTACAGCCTACAGTAGTTACACTTCGCTGTGATGAGGTTGCATAACTGAAGAATTCTGTATAACAGTCTAACTAGTTGCTATGGTAAAATCACATCTTCATTTAAGCAGCAAGTGAACTGACAGAGAGCCTAGCCTAAGGGACTACACCAGAATTCAGTGTGCATGAGTGAAAACCGTTAGTTCTAGCAGCTGTTGTGACATTAATTTATTGCTCAATAAAACAGAATTTACCAACTGTCAGAGCTAGTTGCTAACAGTGATGTTCATTTTGGTCAACACAAGAAGACGTACATTTTTCAGAGCTAGAAAAACAGGGACCGAAAGAAAACTTTGCCATATTGAGTGACTTGTGAGTGCTGATGACATTCTGCAGTTGCATATTATCATACGTGGTTAATTTGTTCCAGTTACACAGATCATTAATATCTATGTCCACCTAGTCTAAAATGTAAGGCATTTATTTTAAAAGGTCAGGATGAACAGAAGAATAAAAACAAACAAAAAAAAGTTAGCATAAAATCAAACTACTGAAAACAAAATTATTCAAGATCCTGTATAATAGAAGATATTACATGTTTTTCTATACATCAGTGCTATAACAATAATAAATAAGTGGCTTTAGGCTTGTGCTTTTGTTGACATAAAATCACCAAATCTTAGTAAGAATAGTCACTTTATCATAGTGTTAAAATCACTCATTATAACCTTTATAGGTTTTTTTCTCAGAAGAAGAGGAGTAACATTATAGGAGTTTATAAAAAGGCATTTTCCAATTCTGAATCGCTAAAAATGATGCAGCAAACGATTATGCTTATCAACCAGGGTGTTGCAGCTAAAGCAAAACAAGGACAAGCTGATGCATAATGCATATGCCCAAGTGCCCCTATAGAACAACAAGCCAACTCATAAAACCCATCAAGAATGCTCTGAGGAAAGCCACGTTATCATGAGGGACTTCTGTTTGAGTGATGTGTTGGAACTCTCAGAATTAAACTTTTTAGCTATTGTAATATCTTTTTGATGAGATGATGTATATGATTAACGAAGCCTCACAGGGCGTATACTCCATCTTGCCTGGCATCTTGATTAAGAAACTAGAATGACATGAAATCAACATACACATTAAACAGATTAAAACCTGCATAATTAATAAGCCTCAAAACAGAACTGTAGACAGGCAATCATCACTGAAGGTGCTTTAGTGAGTGCATATGAAATCATGAGACACATGCATATATCAGAGAAGACTAGAACTGTCCCCCATAGGAATGCCTTACAGACAGACAGGCTCACTTTTATTTCTCTCTTTCTTCTACTCTCTGACACAAGACATCTTGAATCCTTTTCAATCCAATTAGACAGGATGGAGCAAGAGGGGACTGTTATTTCCCTTCCATCACACCATAAAATATCCTTTAACATGATGGTCAGGGCACTCTTCTAACAGGTGGAGTACCTTATGTGAACTCTTCACCCTGAGAACAGCATTGAATCCACACCTCACACGTTCTGCACGTCTTTTCTCGCTGTTAATCCAGTGTATGAAATGATTAGTGGCAATAACCATGTCACCTTCAGCAGGGGAGTGATCTCACGTATTTTGAATGCAGTAATTTAGTTAAGGGTACCGGGAGAGAACTCTGGTATGTGCATCCTCAATGGAAGCAGTCGCCTCACTGTAACTAAGACCTGAGCATTTAAGTGCCAAAGAGGGTAGGGTTTAAGACACCGCTTTCCTTCCTCAACTTCCATCTGGCCAGCCTGAGGTAATTCCTTGCTCAGGGTTAGGCCCAGAAATCTAATACTGTGGTCTGGGTTCTGCTTTGGTTATATGCAGGATCTTCCCAGCCGTGACTGAATAGGGCTTGCACCGGAATGACCAAGGGCAATGCTGAAATCACAAACATCACACCAAAGAAGCTAGTCTTCTCTTTCTCCGGTAACACCAAATTCTGCTGGACTGTGGACACAAGAGGCTGAATCAGACAGAACTGCTGCAGGGAGGGTTTTGGGAAGGAGGTTTGGAACAGCTGCTTCTCTCAGATCTGCCCCATGGGGAGGCAGAAGCTGGCAGAGAAGGGCAGGAAGACACCCTCACAGTTCCTGAGGCCTGCATCCTCAGGAGAAGTACATGCCAGCCTGTGGTGTAGATTGATTCCACAGACGCTATGGCTTCCTTTCCTATGCAGCTCCCCCCCAAGATGTACACTAACACAGAAGACCTGGCAGGAGTTGATGTTGCTTCACAGCACAACTCACGACTAGATTTACAAGGGGAATGCGCGGTTTGGCAGGGGACAATGCTGTGGAGGGCAGCCGGTCCCCTGCTCCAAACTCTCCCTCTTTGAACTGCTTTCCTCTACCAAATAAAAATTGGTGCAAGAAACAAAGGACAAACAAAGGGTCTTCTGTCAGCTCCTGTGCAGAATCACGTAGCAGGAGGCTCTGTCTCTTTGCTCTTCCTCTTTCTTACCTCCAAAGAACTTGACAGGCTTTTGAAGGTTGCACATTACACTGATGGCCAGTTGCAATTTATCTCAAGTGGTATGATTTCAGTTTATGCTAGAAGCAGTCTCATAATAGGATGTATAAGACACTAACATCATGCTGTATTAGAAATATGGGATTGGTCAGTGAAACTTTCCTTAATATCACAGTTAGCATGTAATGCAGATTCCTTGTTAACTGGTCAAGGCTCACTTTTAAAGTAGCTGGGGGCTTCCTGTCCCACTGTTTCTATTGACAGACTGCTCCTAAACCTCAGTGCTCTAGCGATGAGAAACCTTCCAGTAACTTCCATCTTAAACGTGTGGTGTCTGGCCGTTTTATATCATTGTTCTTGTACCAGCACTAGCCTTTCCTTCCATAACTTTTCTCCTGCCTCATTATCTATACCTTTTACATATTTGTAGACAGAAATCATACCCATGCTCAGCTTTTGCCTTCAAGAGGCAGGGTTTTTCTAGTTGCAGCTCATAAAACAGACTCTCTTTTTCCCCAAGTCACTCTCTTCTGCAGCTGCTCCGATTTGAACATTTCTGTATATATTTTACTTCCATTCATATTTTATTCAAATTACACAAAACATTTCAGATGGTATCTCACAAATTTATAATGGAACTGATACTTCTCCATTACTACTGTATGGCATTTGTCATATATGACAATTGGGAATATGGTATACTTTAAATTCAGATGATAAAACAAAGCACATAATTTAGTATATGTATTTTTCCACCGACTTTCAATTTTCCTATGCTGTAGCTTAGGATTTTTCAAGTCTGGAAGTTGTCCTCAAGAGGTTTTATAAAAGAATAAATAAATTTTACTGGACACAAGTAGCTGAAAGCACAATTTACATGTTGATGACGTGTTAGTAACAATTCTTGTTAATCAAAAATAAAATCCCCAGAATACTAACGTATGCCTGCTGCTTACAAATGCAATTCTTTATGTTTAGATCACGTGCTACAACCCAAACCCCTTGCATCCTAGATGTGTGTTGTGGTTTGGGCCTGATCGGCAACCAACCCCCGCAGCTAATCACCCTCCCTTCCCCCTCCCCACCTGGGAATGGGGGAGGGATTAGAGGGGTGAAGGGAGACTCGCAGGGTGAGATAAGAACAGTTTAATAATGGCAATAAAATGAAAACAATAACGATGATGGGGGGAAAACAAAAAGAAATATATAACCAGGCAATGTACAGCGTAATTGCTTACCACCCGCTAACCAATACCCAGCCCGTTCCTGGCCAGCGACCCCGAGATACCAAGATCCCACAATCGCAATCCCTGAAGCGAGAGAGAGAGCTCCTTCCCAACCACCCCTCCGTTATATAGTGAGCATGACGTTCCATGATATGGAATATTGCACTGGCCAGTTTGCTGTGGCCGTGCTCCCTCCCTGCTCCCTGTGCCCTTGCGCACAGGCAGGACACGGGGAGTCGGAGAGTCCTTGAAGTCTCAGCAGCAGCTGAAAACATCAGTGTGCTATCAGCATTTTTCCCATACCAAACCCAAAGCTAAATCCAAAACACAGCACTCATCTAGTCCCTGAAAAGGAATATTAACTCTATTTCAGCCCAAACTAAGACAATGTGACCACCGAGTCTCTAAATTTTCAGCCTCACTGTAACATTCTCATAGGCGTGTATTTCCTGTACGGTTTGTTTCAAAGCTTTAGAAAGCAATACTACCTCACTCACAAGTCCTGTGACTGGTCCCTCAGAATAAGGGAATACAGCACCCAGCAGCCTGCTGCCTCTGTCGTCTGGCCCACAAGACCCACAGTAATTAATACCTGCACCCTTGAACTCCAATTCCCGCCCGGACGAGGGAGCGCCAAGGCCGCGGTGGCCGCCCTTGCCGCGAGCCTGGTCTGCTTGGCTGCGGTGCTGTGGTAAGGGCAGATCCCCACAGGAGCAGGGCGTGCGACTAACGCGGCGGGTCTCACGGCAAACGGGCAGGCTAGGCGAAACCGGGGAAACGCTGCCTGAGCCGTTCCTCCTCCAGAAACAGAGTCATGGAGTCATTTAGGCTGGAAAAGATCCTCGAGTCCGTCCGCTATCCTGATGCCAAGAAGCCCACTGGTAAACCATCTCCCTAGGCACCACCTCTACACACAGTGGGAAGGTGATCGGGGGAAGCCTCTCCCCACCCGCGGGGACCCTGCCCACAGGGGACGTGCCAGTGGGCAGCTGCGAGGGGCCTGCGGGGCGAGTGGAGCCCTGCACGGGGCGGGGGGCAGCTGGCGCTGCCATTACCTGCACCAGGCCCCAGCAGACGCGCCCAGGCGGCAGCTCCGGCCGTTGCTGCTCCCCAGCTGCAGGGCTGGGCCCGACCCCACCGGCTGGGGCCGTGTGTCACAACCCGGGCACGGGCGGCCTGTGGTGTGCCCGTGCAGTCACAGGCGTGCCGCGCCGAGGCGCTCGCAGGGCACGCGCAGTCACGGGCATGCCCACGGGCAGGAAGGCAGCCGGAGCCTGGGCGGGAGGCAGAATATGGCGAAGGGCTGACGGTCACTTCTGCGTGAAAGTAGCTGTGGGTTTTGTCTGTGCCCGCGCCCTCGCATCTGTTAGGAAATGGATGTTTAAAGGAAAACCTGCATTTTTCAGAGGGGATTTTAGTCTGAGAATATATATTGGAGATCTCAGGCTAACATCAGTAAAAATATGTGCAATTTCAGAAGATTATGTGATAATTTATAAATTAAATACGGCAGTTCAATAATAAAACTCTAAACTAATGTCTGTTGAATCTCTGTTATGTTCTGATACCTCATCAGGTGTGTTTCTGATCAGATGCTACCACAATCTGTTATTTCCCATGTCTTTATCAATCATTTGAACAGGCGTTTCTAGTCATTGAGGATGAAAATTATAGATAACACAATAACCAGAGCAGTAAATAATAATAAATGCAGATCAGCTGGAATAGAAACATGTAGGTCTTACTTGCAGGTTGCAGCATATTTCTGGGAAACAATAAGATAATTTGGATCATGTTGGAAATTATAGAACATCTTGGAGTGACATTATTGTTAAAAGAGAGAGTATTATCCTCTTACGTAGTTGAGATTTCAGATTAGAAGTACAGAAGTGCACTGTCTCTGTATCCTAGTGCAGAGGATTCTTTATCAGACTGAAGAGCAAATCAGATGACTGGAAGGTGAAGCTAGAAAATTATTTAACGTTGATAATATTTTTTCAGGGAAAGCATGGCTGGAGTCTCTGAATCTTTATTATTATTAGTAGTAGTAATAGTGTGTTTATATATATATATATATATATAAAATACAGTCATCTAGCAGGATTTAATGGCACTGAACACAGTTTGAACATGGAACAAAAACTGAAGAGATTACAGAAAGCCAGGAGTATACAAGTGATCATCATTTCAGAAAAATGTTTTCCCATTGTGTGAGACCACTGTGAGGCCATTTTTAGAGACTTCATGCCCTTCTGATCCTGCCGTCTTGAAAGGGATGAAGCACGATTAGAAAAAGTCAGAGGACAACAGTGGTTATGAAATACATGTCAGAGTTTCAGCGTATGGATAGATTAAATAGATTCCAATTCATTAGCTTCTAAAATGGCTTCTAAAAGAAATAGGGATACGTGACGGAACCATTTAAGGTTGTGAATGGTGTTGAGAAAACAAACAAATGCTTATAATATTTCTCTTAACAAAAGAGGTATGAGACATTGAGTAAAATGACCTGGCAGAAGTTTAAAACAAAAAAAGCATTTTTTTGTACCGAAAATACGGTACTGCAGCCCCGGAGCCGCGCATGCGCGGTGACACCCCCCCCCCCCCCCCCCCCCCCCGTGCCGCGCTTGGCACTGCTGCCTGCCGAACAAAATGGGGTACTGCAGCCCCGGAGCCGCGCATGCGCGGTGGGGGCGCCCTCTGCAGCGATCGCTGCTGCCTCCGCGGTTAATGGCAGCGTTCCGGAGCTGCGGCTGCAAAGGTTGGCGGGAACGGCGGCTCCCGGGAAGAGCCCCGAGGAGCGGGGCGCTCCGGGGCGGGGGAGCGCCGCTCTGGGTCGCAGCCGGGGACGCTGCGGGGCGGGCTGGCCGGAGCCGCGCTGTGGAGGGCGAGGGGTTGCGTTCGGCGGGGGCGGAGGGAGGGGTGAACAGCCGTGTGCCCGCAGGGGAGCTGCCTCACGCGGCATGCCGGGAGCTGTAGTCCTGATGCGCGGGGCTCGCAGCCGGCCCCCGGTTCTGTTCCGCGTGGTATGCCGGGAGCTGTAGTCTTCTAGCACTCGGCGGCGGGCGACCATGCTGTGCTTGCCCCAGGGCATGCCGGGAGCTGTAGTTTTTGCTGACCGGGCTGCCAGACAGCTGCGGTGCTCGGCCCGGCGCAGCCCTCTCTACCGCCGCGGCCCCCGCAGCGCGGCTCGAGGTGCAGTTTTGGTGCCGGTTTTGTGTGTTTTCCTGCGGGCTCCCGGCTGCTCCCCGAAAATGCGGTCCTGCAGCCCCGGGGCCGCGCCTGCGCGGTGGGGGCGCCCTCTGCAGCGATCGCTGCTGCCTCCGCGGTTACCGGCACCGTGACGCGGCGGTGCTTGCGGAGCGGCGCCGCCTCGCCCGGCGCTTCCTCCCGGTCAGGAGCCGCCGCCGCCGCCGCCGCCCCCCCCCCCCGTGCGCGGTGCCGCCGGGCGCTCTGCGCGCCGAGCGCGGTCCTGCAGCCCGGCGGTCGCGCGCCGGCTCTGGCCCCTCCGGCGCAGGCGCGGTGCGCGGGAGAGAGAGGGGCGGGGCGGCGGGGGCGGGTGGAGGCTGCCGGTGAGGCGAGCGAGCCCCTTGGGCGGGGGGGGGGTGTCTCCTGGGGGCGGGGGGGGCGGGAAGCTGCACCCCCTCCGCTGCGGCAGGCGAGCCGGGCCAGCGCAGCCCTGGGGAGTTCCCTGCGAGCGGGAAGGGGGGAAGGAGGCGGGCGTCCCCGACTCGCCAGAGATCCCCTTGAGCCGCCCCCGCCCCGCTCGCCCCGTGCCGCTGCCCTCAGCTCCAGCCCCTCCCCTGGAGCCTGTCCCGTAGCCCCAGGCCCCCCCCAAGCCCTGTCGTGAGGGCAGCGAGCTGGCCCGCAACTGCATCTCCAGCAGCCCCTGCAGGAGGGGCCGTGGCCAGGGGTGGGCTCTGGTGCTGACAATCTCTGTTTCTTCTTTCCCTCTTCCGGAGGCTGCGCTGAGGATGGAGTTGTCCGTTCCTCCCCTGGGGATGCTGCTGACTGCACCCGCCTCAGGCTTGCGTGGGCTGTCTCTGCCTGGCCTGTGCACCTTGCGGTGTGGGAGCAAAAAGGAACAGGCGGAGCGCTGGCTGGCGGTGGGCAGGAGTTGCCGTGGCTGACGCTGGAGAGGCCAGAGAAAGGCAAAGAGGACTAAACCGGTGGCCATCCGGCCGGCAGCTGCCTCCCGCTGCAGGAAGAGAGAGCCAGCCTCTCCGGGTGAGGAAGGATCCCGCTTCGCAGTCTGCAGCAGCTCAGACCACCAGCGTGCACCGCAGGGTCTGTACGTCTCACTGAAAGCGCGGTACAGCCACGTAGTGCACGGGCGAGTGGGGCTGTGTGCGTAGGAGGCCTCGTCCTGTAAGAGCTGAGACACCCCCGTGTTCTCTTAGGTGGAGGACAGCCGAGCGCCTGGAGCTAGAGAAGAGAAAGGGGGGAGGGAAGGAGAAAGAAGCGTCTGAACCGGCAGATTCTCCCGGCAGCGCCGAGAGCGAGAGCTGCTGCAGTGAGTCCCAGGCCCATGGGGCCCTGTCGCTCCTCTTGTGTGTCCCGGGCCCTCCCCTGGCCTTTTCTCCTTCCCACGCTGCTGTGATTTTCTTCGTTTCCCTTTACCTCTCTGTTGTTCTGTCCTGCTCCCTCTTCCTCTCTCTTGTTCTACCACTCCCTTTTCTTTTTCTCTTTGCGCTTTTGTCGTGCTCCCTCTTCTTTTTTTTATCCTCTGTCTCTTGTCCTGCAACCCACTGGTGTTTTTCTGCTCTCCAGCTGTATGTCCTGCTACCCGTCCTAGGCTTTTCCCCCTCCTTGTCTCTTCTGCTCCCTCTCTCTTATTCTTGCCTGTCTTTCACTTTGTCCTGCTTTCCTGTCCCTTTTTCCTCTCTCTGTATCACCTTGTCTTGCTCCTTTGTCTTGGTCGGACAATCTCTGTCCTTCTCCTTGGCCTTCTTTTTCCCCCTCCGTATCATCCTCCGTCCTTCTTCATGTCTGTCTTTTTTCTCTTTCTGTCCTTCTGCCCCAGAGCTTCTTTTTCCAGCTCTCGCTCCTGCTCTCTGCTGTCTGTCCTTCCCTTTCTCCCTCCCTCTTTCTCTGACGTTACCCCCGCGCTCCTCGTTGTCTCTCCACCCCTCTGTCCCGCTTCCTATCTCTCATTTTCCACTTCGTTTCCCTGTACCCGCTTTTGGTCTCTGGTTTTCCCCTGGCTCTGCCTCCTGTCGTTCTTCCCGTTGCTCTGGCTTGCTCTCTATCCCAGTGTTCTGCTTCCCACTCCTCCCTTTTTCTTGCATTTCCATCTTCTTGCTTCCCATCCCTCACTTCTTTTCTGTACCCCTCTCTCCTTCCCCCCTGTCCCTCTGCCTCTGGCCTGCTGCTGGTCCCTGGTTTACCTTTTTCCCGCTCTCTGTCTGGGCTCTGTCTCTCCCTCTCTCGGTCCCTCTCTCGGTCCCTCTCTCGGTCCCTCTCTCGGTCCCTCTCTCGGTCCCTCTCTCGGTCCCTCTCTCCTTCGTGCAACCTGTATCTTCCTCTCTCTGTCCCTCTGCCCCTAATGCTTCTTTCTGCGTCTCTCACTCCTGATCTCTGCCCCTTTCTACCTCTCACTGTCCATCTGTCCCGCATCTTCCCTTGGGTTATTCTGCTTTTATCCCCCTGCCCGTCTCACTCTTTCTAGTTATCTCCCCTTGTCCGGCCGTCTGTCCCTTTTTCCCTTTTTCTCTGCCCTACTCTGGCCCTACTTTTCCTTCCTCTCTCTCTGCCCAGCAGCCCATCTCCGTATTTTTATCCCTCCTTCACCTGTTTGTATTCATTTGCATCTGGTTCACCCCCTTCTGCTGCCCCCAGTCCCTCTGTCACGTTCCTTGTCCTGCTTCTTGTCTTTCCGCAGCCCGCGCTCTCTCCCCACCTTTCCCTCTCTCTCCATCCTTCCTTTTCCTCTGCGTCCCGTTGTCCTGTCGCTCATCTCTCTTTTTTCCTTCCGTTTCTCTGTCCTGCTCCCTGTCCCTTCCTTCTTTGTCAATCCCTCTGTCCTGTTGCCTAGCGTGACTTTTGCTGTCTGCACCCCACTGCGCTACTTCCCATTCATCTCTTTCATCTCAGTTTTCCTGTCCTGCTCTGCAGCAGTGTATTTTCATTCTCCAGCTCTCTGACCTGCTCCCCGCCCCCTTCTTTTCCACTCTGCCCTTCTTTCCCCCTCTCTACACCTCTGTCTGAAAGCTCGTGTCCCGCTGCCTGTCCCTCTCTGGCTACATCCCACTGGCCCGCTCCCTGTGCCTCTCTTTGCATCGCTGTCGCTGTCCTTGTCCCTCTTTTCTTTCTCCCTCCATCTCTCTGTCCCACTGGCCATCTCTGTCCAGGTCTCTTTCTGTTTTTTCTCCTCTCTTGGTTCTTCCTCTTTTCTTTCGCTCCTCATCCCTCTGCCCTGCTTTGTGTTTCCGCCCCCTCGCTCCCGTAGTGTCCTGCTGTGGGTTACCCGTCCTTCTCCCTGTTGTTTTTTTTTCCCTCTCACTCTATTCCTCTGTCCTGCTCCCTAGATAGATTTTGGTTTGTTTTGTTTTTTAATTCTCAGTGTTTCTGTTATTCCGCCCATTGCTATTTTTTAATTCTCCATCTCTCCTGCTCCCCATCCTCCCCCTTTCTCTCTCTGTCATTCTTTTCTCTTCCCTCTACCTCTGCTTTTCTCTCTCCTTGCATCCTGCTCCCTCCCTCCCGCCCTCTCTGTCACGCTGTCCTGCTCACCATCCCTCTCTTGCAGGACACTAGAAGAGAGGAGAAAAGTGGCAGTGCTGCTTTTTCTTTTTACCTTTCTGATGTGTGTTTCCCCCAGTCCCTGCCTTTTCCAAGTGCCGGTCTTTCTCTCTAGATACTCCTGTCATTCTCCTCCTCTTGCTGCTCTTGCTCTTTTTCTCTCTCTCCGGCTATTCTGCTTCCCATTGCTACTTTTTCCCTTTCCATCCCTTTGTCCTGCTTTCTTGTCCTTGTCAGTCTTTCCCTTTGTTCTTCCTCCAGTCTGTCTCTGCTCTCACTGGCTCTCTATCCCGGCGTCCTGCTCCCTGTCCCACTCTCTTTTGCAGGATCGTGCTTTCTGGCTCTCTGTTCCTCACCTGGTTTTTATACCACTCTGTCCTTCCCCCTGTCTTTCCTCATCCCTCTGGCCTGCTGCCCATTGCTGTCTTTTTTTTCTTTTTTTCCTCTCTGTGTCTTTGCCTTGTTATGGTGATACTCGTCTTCTTGCTGTCTCTAGTGTTCCGTTGTCCATCTCCGCCCTGTTCCCTGTCCCTTCTCTCTTCTTCTCTCCTCTGTCATCCCCTCAACTTTTTGTCTGTATATGCCATGCTGCTGCCTGTCCCACTGTTTCTTGCCACATACCTCTGTCCAGCTGTTCTGCTCTCCACTCGTCATTTCCTCTCTCTTTCCCTCTGTCCTACTCTCCTGCACTTAGCACGCGAGTGAGTGGGGCTGCGTGTTTAGGAAGTTTTGTCTCGTAAGAGCTGTAAGACTCACAGGTATCCTTGTAGGTGGGGGACAGCCAAGTCTCTGGAGTTACAGAAGAGGAAGGAAGAACGAGGAAGAAGCATCCCAACTGTGTCGTTCTCCGGGCAGCGCCAAGAGTGAGAGCTGCAGTGAGTCCTGGGCCCTTGGGGCCTTATTCCTCCGCTTGTGCGTCCCGGTCCCTCACTGTCCCTCCCCTGGCCCCCTCGCTTTCCCACACAGCTGCTATTTTTTTTTTCCTTTCTGCCTTGCACCTCCTTTCTCCACTTCACTCTGAGTGGCCCCCTGTCCCCATCTTTTAGGTCCTCCCTCTCTCTGCCCTGTAGCCTGTGGCTATTTTTCCCTTCTCCGTATTTCTCTGTCTGGCTCCCGGCCACCATTTTTGCATTCCTCCCTCTCTGTCCTGTAGCCCGTCAGTATTTTTGCTGTGTCTGGAATTCTCTGTCCTGTTCGCTATCCCTGGTGTTCAGTCTTCCCTTTCAGCTCTGGAGCATGTCAAGAGTCTATTTCTTTCTCCCACCTCTCTTTACCCTGCTTCCCGCCCGTCATTTCAAGGTCTTTCCTCTCTGTCCTGTCACCCATCGCCTTTTGCCATTTTTTTTTTCTTTCTCCATCTCACTCTGTCTTGCTTCCTGTCCCCTTTTTTCTAAGTCTTCCCTCTCCCCCCACTAGCGTGTCACTCTAATTTTCTTTCCCTGTTGTTGTGGTTTGAGCCCAGAGGGCGATGGACTGCCACGCGGCTGCTCACTTGCCTCTTCCCCCTCAGGATGGAAAGGAGAAAATAAAGCAAAAGGCTCGGGGATCGAGGTAAGGACGGGGAGGGATGACTCATTGGCTGTGGTCATGGGCAAAAGACAGACTTGTTAGGAGAAGGAAAGGAACGTCAATTTAATTCAAATGACAGCAACACGTAGCAAACGGAGCAGGACGATGAGAAGTATAGCCACATCTTAAAAACACCTTCCCCCCTGCCCCTCCATTCTTTCCAGGCTCAGCTTTGCTCCCGATTTCTCCACCTCCTGCCCCGCAGCGGGGCGGAGAACGGCTGTTGCGGTCGGTTGGCCACACGTTGTTTCTACTGCTCCTTTCTCCTCAGGGGGAGGACTCCTCATGCTGTTCCCCTGCTCCAGCGTGGCATCCCTCTCCCAGGAGATGGTCCTCCCTGAACTTTCTCCCACACGAGTCCTTCCTGCAGGCTGCGGCTCTTCCTGAACGGCTCCAGCGTGGGTCCCTGCTGCGCCTCACAGTCCTCTTGGCAACAAAGTACAACGGCGGCGGGGGCTTCCCTCAGAGTCCCGGCATTCGTCTTTGGGAGCAGCCGCCCGCTCCGGCCGGCGGGATTCCTCCACGGGCTGCAGGTGGGCATCTGCTCTGCCAGCGACTTCCACGGGCTGCAGGGGGACAGCCTGCGTCTCACCACGGGCGGCAAGGGACGCTCTGCTCCATTGCACCCGTCCCCACCCTCCTCCTCCTCCCCCTTCTTCCACTGACCTTGTTTTTGCACAGCTGTCTCCCTCACAACTCCCACTCATCCTCCCAGGTTCTCCTTAAATGTTAGCTTGGAGGCGCAGCCACCGTGGCTACTCGGCGTGGACTTGACCGGAGATGGGTCCCGCTTGGAGCCGACAGAGCTTGGTGGATGTCCTCACGGGGGCCAGTGCTGTAGCCCCTTCCCCCGCTGCCAAAACCCCCGGCCACACACACAAGCAAACCCAACACACCCGTCTCGGTTTTGTCTGGCTCCCAGTCTCCTTCATTCTTCCCTCTCTGTTGTGTCACCTGTCGCATCTTTCCTCCCTCCCTTCCTCCCTCTCTCCCTCTCCCTCCCTCCCTCTGTCCCTCTCCGTCTGTCTCTGGTAGCTGGATGCAGCTTTTTTCTTTGTCTGTCTCTCTGTCCAGCTCCTTGCCTCCAAATCTTAATTCTACCCTCTCTCTCCCTGAAAGCCTGCCGGAACTTTTTCTTCTTCTCAGTCTCTCTGCCTCTGTTTTTTAATTCCTCCCTCTCTGCCCTGTTACCTGGCAGCATTTTTACTGACTCCGCGTCTCTTGGTCTGGTTCGAGATCCTCATTTTTGACATTCCTCCCTCTCCGCACTGCAGCCTGTCACTTTCAAAGCTCTCTTTCTCTGCCCCTCGATGTCCCCTCTTTTGTACTTACTTCCTCTCTATGGCTCCCCGGCTCTGTGTTGTCATTCCTTTCTCTCTGTCCTAGAGCCCATCAGTAGTTTTTTCTTTCCCTGGCTCTATTTTCCAGTTCCCAGGCCCTGTTTCTCCAGTTTGTCCTTCTAGGCCCTGTGCCACATTGCCACTCATTTCTTTTGCAGTCTCTCCCCGTCTGGCTCCCTGCAGGGATTTTTTAATTCCGCCCTGTCTGTCTTGTAGCCCGCTGCTGATTTTTCTTTCTCTGTCCAGCTCCCTGTCCCTCACTTAATTTTTTTTTACATCCTCCCTCTGTGCCCTGTACATGTTGCTCTTTAAATTTTCCTTCCCCGGTATCTCTGTTGATTGCTCCCTGTACCTGTTTTTTACTTCTTCCCTCTCTGTCCTGTGGCCTGTTGCAATTTGTTCTTTCTCCGTCTCTTCTTTTTCTGGCTCTTGGTCACTATTTTTCAGTTTCTCCCTCTTGGCCCTGTAGCCCAATGCTATTATTTGTCTGTCCTCATCTCCCTCGGGCTCCCCGTGCCTGTTTTTTAATTCTTCCCTCTCTGTGTTGCAGCCCATTGTTATTGTTCTAGTCTCTGTCCTGCTCCCTGTCCTGTGTTCCATTTCCTCCCTCTCTGCCCCGTAGCCTGGTGCAGTTTTGTGTTTTTTTTTTTTTCCCCCGTTCCCCATTGCTCTCTGTCCAGCTCCCTGTCCCCGCTTTTTGATTCTTCCCTCGCTGCCCCACGGCCTGGTGCTCTCTGCCCTTTCTCAGTCTCTTTCTGTCCAGCTCCTGGTCCCATCCTTTTTGAAATTCCTCCCTCTGTCTCTGAGCCCATCGTGGTTTTTCCTTTCTGCATTGCTGGCTGGCTGGCTCCCGCCCCCTGTTTCTCAGTTTCTTCTGGGCTCTTTAGCCTGTGGCAATTTTACTTCCTGCTCTCCGTCTGTCTCTGGATCCCAATTTTTTAATTCCTCCTCCTCTTCCCTGTAGCCTGTCTTTCTGGGCATTGTCCCCTCTTTATCTGTTTCCCTCCCCCTGTCCGGCTCCCAGTCCTGATATTTTAATGCCTCCCTCTCTGCCTTCTAGCTGTTGCTGTACTTCCTGTAAGCGTTGCTCTGTGTCTGGCTCCTCGTCCCTCTCTTTTCATTCTTCCTCGGGGCCTGTCAGTATACCTGTCTCTTACCGTCTCTCTCTGACCAGCTCTGGATCCCTGTTTCTTCCTTCTTCCCTCTATCTGCCCAGTAGCCCCTGGCTATTTTTATTTTCTCCATCTCTCGCTGCCCAGCGCCAGATCCCTGCTTTTTCATTCCTCATCCTCAGTCCCATAGCCCCGTGTTTTTTTGTCTTTGTCTGGCTCCCTGTCCCTGTTGTTTGGTTTCTTCCTTCTTGGCCCCGTAGCACGTTGTGATTCTGTTTGCCTCTCCTTTCACAGCTCCCCATCCCTCCCTTTCCATTGCTCCCTCTCTGTCCTGTTGCCCCTTGGGCCGTGCCCACCCCCCACCCCCCCGTCTCCCCCTTTCTCCATCTGCCTCTTTCTTGCTTCCTGTCCCTGTTTTTCAAGTCCTCCCTCTGACGTGTAGCCTGTCGCTCCTTTCTCTATCTCTCTGTGTCCCTCCCAGTGCCCCCGTTCTTTAATCATTCCTCTCTGACCTGTACCCTGCCGCTATTTTTGCCTTACTTTGTCCCTCTCTGTCCAGCTCCCCGTCCCTGTTGATTAGTTCTTCCCTTGCGGAGCCGCGGACGAACAACACGCCGAGACGGGTTCAGTGTGGAAGATAGAGCATCAATCACCGTGTGTCTTTATTGGTCCAGGGTACATATATTTATACAGACAATGATAATTATGATGCCTACTAGTCACTAGCTGATTGGCTTAAGCTCTAAAGGTCGTATTTGCATGGTCCACCTACTTGCAGTTAGCTTACAGCACAAGCTTCTCATAACACTAAGTTTCTCATGCTACTATTTCTGATTCCTCTTGACTTGTTTTCGATACACGACAGTACCGTAACACAATGTTTCTCAGACCACCGTTACCATAACACTGGGTTTCTCAGACCACTATTCCTAATTCCCTTAACCTGTTTTCGACACACCACGGTACACAGGGCTGAAGCGTCCTTGACATTCTTCATGTAACAGCAGCTGCGAGCAGCTGCAGGCAACCCTAGTGAGGCTCAGCATCAGCAGCTAGAGCAGGCTCTGATCATACAATTGCTCGGTGGGCTCAGGACCCTTGTCTCTGAGCCATTCTCCAACATTCCCTCTTCTTGCACTTACCGCTATTGCCTGTGATCTCCATCTCTTTTCATCTGGCTCCCCGTCCCCAGCTGTTAATTCCTCCTTCTGCCCTCTGTAGTCTGTCTGGAATTTTTCTTTGGTGTCTCTCTCTCTGGCTGGTTCCCTCTCTCTGTGTTTTAATCCCGCATTCACTGTCCCATAGACCCACCACATTTGCCTGTATTTCTCCCCCCCCCGCCCCTCTCTGTCCGGTTCCCCGACGCTAGTTTTTATTTCCTCCCTCTCTGTCTTGTAGCCCGTCGCCGTCTTTGTGTTCCTTTCTCCGTGTCTCTCTGTCTGGCTCCCAGTCCCTGTTCTTGACTCGCTCTCTCTTCGCGGTAGCCCGCAGCTACATTTTTTTGTGTCATCCATTGCATTCTGTCTGCTCCCCTGGCCCTGTTGATGAATGCCACCCTCTGCACTCTGCCGCTTTTCCCCGTTCTATTTCTGCCTCTCTCCCTGTCTGGATCCCTGTCCCTGGTTTTTCAATTCCTCCCTCTCTGCCATGTTGCCCTTGCGATCTTTTGCCTTTCGCTGTCTCTGCGTGGCCAGCTCTCTGTCCTTGTTGCTTTTTTTGTTTCTTGACCTTGGTGTCCCTGGCTCCTCGGCAACCCTATTTTAGAATTCCTCCCCCCCTTTCTTTGTGTACGCACTGATATTCTTTCTCCTTTCCAGCTTTTTTTTTTTCTGGTTCCCTGTCCCCATTTCTTAATTCTTCCATCTCTGACCTGCAGAGTGTGGGCATGTGTTTTGTTTTGTATTGTTGCAGCTCCTTGCCCCTTCCCTCCGTTGTTGGCTGTCCTAGCTCCCTGTCCCCATTGCCTTTTTCCTCCCTCTCTGCCCTGTTCTTTGTTGCTTTATTGTCTTTCCCTGTCTCTCTCGGTCCGGCTCCCTGCCCCCATTCATTTTTTGTCCCTCTCTTGTGCTGCTCATCCCAGGTTTTTTCTGCATATCTATCCTGCTCGCAGTCCTTTTCATCTAAGGAAACATTAAGCCCCCCCACCCTCAGGAAACATTGCACCTGGGGGTTGAGATATGCTGATTGTTTGTTGGGACATGCCCTTTGTTGAGACATGCTGTTTATCTGATAACATGGGAGTTGCAAGGGGAGGGCTGGCACCAAAGTTGTAGTTGAGGAATCCGGCACTGGGGGCTTGGGGTGGAGGATATGTTAAGGATTTCTTGGAAGTAATTGTGATATTCCCTCCCTATTCCCAGAATTGTGATACATAGGTAACATTCTACGTAATAAAAAGGAGCCGCTTCTCCCTCCAAACACGCATGCTTGTGGAGGAGTTATCCCCCATGTGCCCAGCGCTGAACAAACGTACCTACTTTATAACATTACTGGTTGTAAAGTCATGATTCTGCTCATCACTTTGTTGTTCTGCCCTGCTCTTTCCCCCTCTTCCTGCTGCCTCTCTTCCTGCTGCTGTTGCAGTTACCTTAACAAAGTAGCTTGAATCCTAGAATGTTATTTTGATTTTAGTTTAGAATATTATTTTGATTTTAAAATGGAGTTAATAGCAGCTTTAAGAATATAAAGCACACTAAGGCCCTTAGGAATAGGTAGCTAGTATGGTGTGTGCCTTGAACACTGTCCGAATCATTATGGACTCTGAATCAAAACAATGGGTACTGGTTATGGATCTTGAGTCAAAACAATAGGTACCAGAAGATACTGGGTTTGGTTTGGAAGATCAGCCAAAGAAGAAATGAGCATCAGCCAAAGATGAATTGGTGATGCGCAAGGATGGAGTTCAATCAGCGCACACAGTGATGAAGACTATTGACGACCACCAGAGGACCCCCGTCCAACATAACCATGCATGGGTTAGAGACATTTGCATATCATAATGATTTCCAGGAAATAACATGAATATGCTAATCATTACACTCCCATCATTCTATTCAAATCAATCAGTAAAGATGACCAATGATTTCTGTAGAATAGGAATATAGGTAAGGTGCGGTAACTGAAAGCCAATCATTATTAAGGTCAAACTAAACTGTGAATTTTGTTGATCTTGTGTAACCATGACTCTGCTGAAAAAGTGTATAAATATGTTGTGCTTTGTACCTGTTGGGGAACACGTTTTTTTGTGGAGTTATCCCCCGTGTTCCCCAGCGCTGGAATAAAGAAGTGCCTGCTTATCTGCCTTGTGTAGATAAGTTCTATTCGCAATTGCCTCCGCTAACATCTCTGTCCTCTCTGCTGCCACAGAGGTCCATTATAAAAGTACAGGGGAGGAGGACCACACTTTGTCTAAAATAGAGAAGAGGAAGGAAAGTCTAAACGAGGGCCCCCTTGGCTGGGCATAGATCAATGTGCACAGTGTAAAACTTTGGTCATTGGAAGAATGAATATATATGGAATTGGCGACTCGCAAAGTGACTATAATTTATGTATGAGGCTCTTTACAACGATCCAAATTTTAAGAAAAGTAAAAGAATTTACTACTGGAAAAAGAAAAGGGGGGAACTGATCTGAGAAAACACCCGATAACCCCCGCCTTTCAGGAGATGCTCACACTAACTCGATAGCGCCCCCCCCCCCCCCCCCCCCCTCCCGTGGGATGCTCCCCAGATGGCCTCCATCCATCAAAGGATGGTAACTCCTTTGCAATGGAATGAGAAAGAACAAGATGGACCATTGGTGGTCCCTATCAAAGGGCGGTAACTCCCTTGTGATTGAACGGAAGGAAGACAGGATGGGCCATCTCTGGTATCTCTTGTCCTTGAGATAAGAGGGGAACTGAAACCACTAAGCCAGAAAGACCAAGGAGCTGCAAATTAGCCCAGACTTGAAGGACAAGGTGTACGTGACTACAGGACTGAGCTTGCGCAGAAGTAAGGGTCAACTAGCAAACACCGTGAAGAAGACTATGAGCCTTCATCTGAAGACCCCTGCCCATGACCACCAGGGAGCACTGTGCAAACGCGACAGGAGGCATTTGGGGTGGGGGGATATGTTAATGATTTCTCAGAACTAATTGTAATATTCCCTCCCTATCCTCAGAGTAATGATGCATATGTATTAGAGTAGATGAATACGTAACATTTCTAAGCAATAAAAAGGAGCTGCTTTTCGCTCCAAGTGGGGAACGCATTTGGAGGAAATGATTCCCCTGTGCGCCCAGCGCTGAATAAACATACCTACTTTATAACCTTACTGGTTGTAAAGTCGTGATTCCGCACCTCATCGTCTCGATGTGTCATTTGTATTGTAATTGTATTAGAGTTGCTGACCAATCGGTGTCTAATAGGAGCATTTGGAAAAGCACCAACCTGTGATTTGGGTGTATAAAAGAAGCACCCGCAGCTGCCTTTAGCTGTGCTGGATTTGAGGAAAATCCACTGAGCCCCCAGGCCTGAATAAAGACAGTATTGCTCCTGAGCCTGTTAAGATCACCTTATTGCAGGCCGGGTACCGACGGCCCCCCCGCTCCCCACGGGCTCCAGCTGTGGGCTGGGGCCGGGGCAGCTCAGGTGGGACCGGTGAGGTGAGGATGGGACCGGGCCAAGGTTTTAATAGGCTGCAGCTGGGGAGCTGGGGCTGGACTGGGGCAGCCCCAGGTGCAGCCCCAGGTGCAGCCCCAGGTGCAGCCCCAGGTGCAGCCCCAGGTGCAGCCGGTGAGGCTGAGGGTGGGGCCGGCCCCGCCGTGCCGAGGGGCTGCGGCTGGGAGTCGGGGGGGGGGTTTCCCTGCCCGCGGGATCTGGACGAGGAGCGGAAGAGAGAGAGTCTCAGCCGGCGAGGAAGGATTCCTCCCGGCCGGCCCCGACGGGGCGCAGCACCGGCGCCGGGAGCTCGGCGCCCCCGAGCCGCCGGGTGGCCGGGAAGCCTCGCGGGGGAGGCGCTCGGAGGCGCGTGCCGCCCGCCCCCGCGTGGGTGAGGGTCGGGCAGCCGGCGCTGCGGAGGTGGGAAGGGGCGGAGGCGGAGAGACGAGCCCCGGGGCTGCGAAAGCCTCGGGCCGGGGCCGGTACCGGGAGCTGCGGCGGGTCGCGCGTCCCCCCGGGCCGGTCCCGGCCGCGCTTCTCCAGCTGCCCGCCTGCTCCCGCCTCCGGCTGCCTTTCGGGCTGGCCGGGTCCCCGCAGCTTTCTGCTGTTCTGCCGACACCGCCCCGTCCCCCGTCGCCTTCTCCACGTCCTTTCCACGCCGCTCCCTTGCTGGCTCCCCAGCCGCCTGAAGCATTTCATTCCTTCCACGCTGCCGCCTTCCCTGTCTCTTGTGAAAATCGCATCGGAAGGTCTCCCTCTACCCGGCGACTCGGATCTGTTCTCAGCATCTCCCTGTCTCTCTCCCTCCCTCACTGAAATCGCGTTTAGCGTTAACGAGCGGGCATTGCTTTATTTGGCCGGGGACGCGAGGGAATCGTTCTGCCTAACGTGCTTGCTGTACGTTACGATAGCCAAAGCTTATATTGCTCCGTTACGTGTCTATTTATCCAATTTCCAAAAAGTCATTACTGTAATCACATAATTATTATGTGTGCAGTTTAGGTCTCTGAGGGACTTCCGCGGGGGTTGTCGGTGGTCTCCAGCCACCTCTGGTGGTCTTTGGAGAGCATCCTTTCTTATACTTGTCTACGGTTTGGAATTGGTCTTTCTTTGGTTTATGTTTGCACTTTCTTATCTCTTGCCTAGCTTCAGCTAGTTTGTTCTTTTTCAGAGGGCCTTAATCTTCAAGGACAATGGCTCGCGATTAGGAGTCTCCCGATTTCCTCATGGGGCCTCTCCACATCTGCGTTTCCTGGGAGGCGTTTATCATGCTCGCCTAGCTCAGGGACCTCTGTGTGACGGACAACGCGTTGCAGGTGTTTGACCAATTGCTTAAGTTTTTACACTACCCTAAACAATGTTTTCTCCTTCACTGTTTTTCAACAAGAGGGCACTGGGAGGACAGGAGGACATGGGAAGGACTGGAGGACACTGGGGGACATTGGGAGGTCTGCGGGGCCATGGAACATAAGGGGAGACCCTGGACACAAACTGGGAGACACTGGATATGCTGCAGAGGGGCCTGGAGGACACTGGGGGTGTACTGGGAGACACGGTGGGGACTGGAGTGATACTAGGGGGTGTCTGGCAGGACTTGGCAGACCCTGGCTGGACTGGGAAATGCCAGGATGGGCACTGGGGGACACTGAGAGGGACTTGAGAGCACTGGGAGTTACCAGGGAGTCTGTGGCAGGACTGGGAGACACTGAGGGACTCTGCAGGTGCACTGGAGGGACACTGAGAGGGACTGGGGGGTGCTGGGAGACAACGGATGGTCTGAGGGGACACGGAACAGAGCGGGAGATGCACTGCAGAGGACCGTGGGGGGATGCTGGGAGGACTGAAAGGTACTGTAAGGATCCTAGGGGGTCTGAGCAGGACTGGGAGGACACTGGACGGGCTGGGACACAGTTGGGGGCACTGGAAGATACTGGGAGGGACGGAGGGCACTGGGGGAATACTAGGGGGTCTCTGACAGGACTAGGAGGACACCGGATGGACTGGGAGATGCTGGCGGGCACTGGGGGACCCTGGGAGGGACTGGAGGATACAGGGAGACACTGAATTCTTTGGGAGGCACTGTGTGAGCACTGGGAGACACTGGGAGGGAGTGGAGGCCACTGGGGCTGACTAGGGGTCGAAGGTGCAGGGAGTCTGGTTGGTGTGCAGGGGAACCACACAGTGCGAAGCAAGTCTTCCTGGGTGCACGGGGCTCAGACAGGGTGCAGGGGGTCTGTTTAGGTTGCAGGGGGACTAGGCAAGGTGTAGCAGGGCTAGCTGGGGTGCAGGGGTTCTTTCTGGGGTGCAGGGGGTCTGTTTAGGTTGCAGGGGGACTAGGCAAGGTGTAGCAGGGCTAGCTGGGGTGCAGGGGTTCTTTCTGGGGTGCGGGGGTCTGGTTGGGGTTCAGGAGGCCGAGACAGGGTGCTAGGGAGCCAGAGAGGTTACAGCGGGTCTGATTGGGGAACAGGGAGCCAAGACAGGGTGTAGGGGGCACATACAGGGTGCAGGAGGTCTTCTTGGGGGGGCAGATGGTTCAGACAGGGTGCAGGCAGGTTGCAGGGCATCTGGTTGGGGTGTGTAGGATCTTGTTGCGGTGCAGGGTTGTGTGTCGTGTGCGAGGGGTCCAGACAGGATGCTGAGTGTCTGGCTGAGGTGCAGGTGGCCCAGGCAGGGTCCAGGGGGGCCAGGCAGGTTGCAGGGGGTCCAGAGAGGGTGCAGGGGGTCTGCTTGGAGTGCAGGGGGGGAAAGCAGGGTGCATATGGGGGCTAGTCAAGAGCAGGGGGTCTCTTTGGGGGACAGGGGGTCTACGTGGGGTTTGGGGAGCCCTTACAGTATGCACAGCTGCCAATCAGGGTGCAGGGGGGGGCAGAGATGTTCCATGGGGGCTAGTCAAGGTATAGAGACCACCTGTTTGGGGTGCAGGGGGTCTTGTTGGGGTGCAGGAGACCCAAACAGGTGCAGGGGGACCAGGCAGGTTTCAGGGGTGTGTTTGGGGTGCAGGGGGTCTGCTTGGTGTGCAGAGGGCACAGACAGGGTGAACAGAGGGGAAGCGGGGCACATGGGGTCTAGTCAAGTGCAGGGGGTCTGGTTGGGGTGTGTGTGTGGGGGGCAGACAAGGCGTATCAGGGCTGGTTGGGGCTCAGGGCATCTGCTTGGGGTTCAGGGGACCTAGACAGTGTGAAGGGGCACAGGACAGCCTGTAGGGATGCCAGAGAGTTTGCAGGGTGTCCGGTTGGTGTTCAGGGAGGCCAAAGAGGTTTCAGGGGTTTTCTTGGGGTTCAGGGCACCCAGACAGAGCACATGGGGGCCAGACAGGTTGCAGGGGCCTTCTTGGGGTGCAGGGGGCCCAGACAGGGTGCATGGGATCTAGTCAAGGTACAGAGGGACTGTTTGGGGTACAGGGGTCTGGTTGGGATACAGGGGTCTCAGACAGCATGCAGGGCGTTTTGCTGGGGTGCAGGGGGCTCAGAGAGGTTTCAGGGGGTTCTGGTTGAGGTGCAGGAGCTCTGTTTGGGAAACGTGGGACCCAGACAAGTTGCAGGGCATCTGTTTGCTCTGCATGGGGTTCAGACAGGGTTCAGAGTGTCCAGGTGAGGTGCAGGTGGCCCAGACAGCGTGCAGGGGTTCTGTTTGGCATGCAAGGCATCCAGGTGAGATGCAGTGGGTCTGATTGGGGTTCAGGGCACCGAGACGGAGTTCAAGGGGTGCAGGCAAGGTGCAGGGTGTTCTGGTTGGGCTGCAGGGATTGTAGACAGGGTGCAGGGGATATTGCGGGGGTGGAGGGGGTTCAGACTTGTTTCAGGGAGTTCTGCTTGTGGTGCAGGGGGCCTGTTTGTGAAGCAGGGGACACAGACACGTTGCAGGGGGTTCTGGTTGCGGTGCAGGGGGTCTGGTTGTGGTGCAAGTGTGTCAGGGTGCAAGGGGTCTTGTTGGGGTTCACATGGTTCAGACAGGGTTCAGGGGTTCTGGTTGGGATGCAGGGGTCTCAGGCGGGGTGCAGGGGGCCTTGTTGGGTTGCAGGGGGTTCCAACAGTGTTCAGGCGTTCTTGGGAAGTTGGAGGAGGTTCTGTTTGGGGTAAAGGGGTGCTGTTTGTGATGCAGGGGGCCCAGACAGGGTGCAGGGAGTCTTGTTGGGGTGCAGGGGGTTCAGACAGGTTTCTGGGGATCCAGACAAGTTTCAGGGCGTTCTGGTTGGGGTGCAAGGGTCTGGTTTGGATGCAGGGAGCCTAGACAGAGCGCAGAGGGTTCAGACAGGCTTCAGGGGGTCCAGGCAAGTGTCAGTGGGATCTGGTTGGGATGCAAGGAGCCCAGACAGGTGCAGGGGGTCTTTTTGGTGTGCGCGGTGTTCAGACACGGTTCAGGGGGTTCTGGTTGCGATGCAGGGGGTCTTGTTGGGGTGCAGGGAGTTCAGACTGGTTTCAGGTGGTTCTGTTTGTGTTGCATGGGATCTGCTTGGGATGCAGGTGACCTAGACACGGTGCAGAGGTTCTTGTGGGGGGGTAGGTGGTTCAGACGGAGTTCAGGGTGTCTTGTTGACGTGCTGCATGTTCAGATAGGGGGGTCTAGGCAAGATGCAGCCATTTCGGGTTGGGTGGATGGTTCTGGTTGGGACACAGGGAGCCTAGACACGGTGCAGGTGGTTCAGACGGGGTTCATGGGGTCCGGGGAAGTTTC